GTGGGTGTGGCGGGACCCTCTCCCGGCCCCACTGGCATCCTCGTCCTCCCACCTGCCTTCTGTGGGTGTGGCGGGACCCCTCCCGGCCCCACTGGCATCCTCGTCCTCCCACCTGCCTTCTGTGGGTGTGGCGGGACCCTCTCCCGGCCCCTCTGGCATCCTCGTCCTCCCACCTGCCTTCTGTGGGTGTGGCGGGACCCTCTCCCGGCCCCACTGGCATCCTCGTCCTCCCACCTGCCTTCTGTGGGTGTGGCGGGACCCCCTCCCGGCCCCGCTGGCATCCTCGTCCTCCCACCTGCCTTCTGTGGGTGTGGCGGGACCCTCTCCCGGCCCCGCTGGCATCCTCGTCCTCCCACCTGCCTTCTGTGGGTGTGGCGGGACCCTCTCCCGGCCCCGCTGGCATCCTCGTCCTCCCACCTGCCTTCTGTGGGTGTGGCGGGACCCTCTCCCGGCCCCGCTGGCATCCTCGTCCTCCCACCTGCCTTCTGTGGGTGTGGCGGGACCCTCTCCCGGCCCCGCTGGCATCCTCGTCCTCCCACCTGCCTTCTGTGGGTGTGGCGGGACCCTCTCCCGGCCCCACTGGCATCCTCGTCCTCCCACCTGCCTTCTGTGGGTGTGGCGGGACCCTCTCCCGGCCCCGCTGGCATCCTCGTCCTCCCACCTGCCTTCTGTGGGTGTGGCGGGACCCTCTCCCGGCCCCGCTGGCATCCTCGTCCTCCCACCTGCCTTCTGTGGGTGTGGGGCGGGACCCTCTCCTGGCCCCGCTGGCATCCTCGTCCTCCCACCTGCCTTCTGTGCGTGTGGCGCGGGACCCTCTCCTGGCCCCGCTGGCATCCTCATCCTCCCACCTGCCTTCTGTGGGTGTGGGGCGGGACCCCCTCCCGGCCCCGCTGGCATCCTCGTCCTCCCACCTGCCTTCTGTCCTGCGCTTGAGCTTGGAGCTCCTCTGTCAGCCCTGGTGCGGCTGCTGAGCCTGTTTTTTGGATCAGGACTCAGGGAGAAGGAACTTCATTCACACACCCAAGACCACACTGGTGGGAAGGAACAGGCCCAGGGCGGAGGCTTCTCCTCCCCTTGGTGAGTGAGTTCCACACCTGCTGGCAGAGGCACTGGAGGAGACATTGGGGTGCAGGGTCACTGGGAGGACGGGGCGGGCAGGGGCTTGCCTGACTTGGTGCAGCTTGTTGTCAGTAGCTGCCTCTGTCCTGCTCTGAACGTGCTGGGCCCTCACCCCACTCTCCAGGTCTGGGTTTCCTCCCCTGTAAGTCACACCATCAAAGCTTCACAGCCGCTTCCAAGTCTCGGGTCTCTTGGGTTTTGGATCTCACGCCCAGGCTGGGTGGGAGCACGGGCGGGGCAGCCCTCCCCCAGGAAGGCCGAGACTTCCTCACACAGTCATGGGGCCAGGAGACCCGGAATGCAGGCTTTCCCAGCTGTGCCACAAGCCCCCGTGGCCAGCGGTCCGTTGGGCCTCCATGGAGCCGAGGGGAAGGGGCCACTCACCACCAGGTCCCGGAGCACACAGGGCAGGTCCCAGGAGCAGAGGCAGCTTGGGACCTGCAGGGCTGTCGGTCTCCCTTATGCTCCACACACAGCGTGTCCCCAGGGGTGTCTGCAGCCCGGCTGTCCCCGTCCCCACCCCCCACCCGCCGCAGATTCCTCTGCACACAGTTTCATTCATGCGTCCTCTCATGCAGGTCCTGTGGGACTGAGCTCTGGGCAGCTGCCAGGAGTCTTAAGTTCTGGTTCAGGGCCAGGGAGGTAGATGTTGAGGGGCTGGGGCTCCCTGGTCTCCCTCCCAAGCCAGCCGGGAAAGGAGGCTGTGGGTTCCCGCATAGTTCTGGATGCACCATTGCTGTTTATACACAATTGTAAACAGTGCTGAGCACAGGCAGGGAAAGAAAGGGCAACTGCTGTCAGGAAACGGGGCTCCCGTGACCCAAAATTGGGTCCCCGGCCGGGCACAGTGGCTCACACCTGTAATCCGGCACTTTGGGAGGCTGAGGCAGGTGGATCACCTGAGGTCAGGAGTGTGAGACCAGCCTGGCCAACATAGCAAAACTCCATCTTAACTAAAAATACAAAAATTAGCTGGGCATGGTGGCGGGCACCTGTAATCCCAGCAACTTAGGAGGCTGAGGCAGGAGAATCGCTTGAACCCGGGAGGTAGAGGTTGTAGTGAGCCAAGATCGTGCCACTGCCCTCCAGCCTGGGCAACAGAGCGAGACCCCATCTCAAACAAAACAAAGCAAAAAACAAAACGGGGTCCCCAGGATGAGATCCCCAACACTGCCATCCAGGATGGCACCAAGGCCCTGCCCCAGGTGTGGCCGTGCAGGCAGTGGTGGGCAGAGGAGCCCCTCGAGGGTGTGGGGCTGTGGGAGGTGCACTTGGGGGTGGGCTGGGAACCAGTCTGGCCACAGGTAGTGGAGGAGGGGGCTGTGTGGCAGCTCCGGGACCCCAGACCTGTGGCATGTCCCATACCAGGCCCTCTGCCTCCTGGGAGGAACTGAGCTGGTGGCCTGCTGGCTGGCGTGCTTTGGGAGAGGGTGTTTCTGGGGTGATTCTAGGGTCCAGCCCTCCAGGAGGCAGCGAGCTGGAGACCCCTGCAGAGCAGCGCTCCACAACTGAGGGGACTCGGGGCCCCGGGGGGAGGGGTGTCTGAGGCTGGATCCTCCCAACCCCCATTTTATTTTGTATTTAGTTTTAATTACACAAGGAATATATAAATACTTTTTAGTTAAACAAGTGGAGTCTTAGATCAGATTAAATTCCCTTTTTAGACCTTTGAATCTCTCCCTTGTTCCCACCAGCGGGAGGCCGCTGCTGGGCTTGTCACGCATCCCCTGTGCTCCCGCTCTCTGCTCTCTCTGAGCTGGATCGGCCACTCCCCCAGGTGCCTTCCCTGGGCCCCAGCCTTGTGCCTCCGTGGCTGCTGGAGGCCTGGTGTGGGTGGCTCCCGGTGTCTGGGGTGGCACGTGCCCTCTGTGTGGGGTCACGCACTCGCCGCAGGCCATATTTTTGCTCATGTTCGTCTCCACGGTGCACGCTGGGCTGCAGAAACCCTTCCTGTGTGCAGGTGAGGATCTGGGTAGTTGCTGGTGCCGGGCCCATGGAGACATGACCCTCCCAAGTGCCGGCTGAGGTGTGTGGTGGGCAGCCGTCCAGGCCAGGCCAGTCCCTGCTGGGCGCTGCCAGGGCCCCTTCGGCCGACGTGCATGGCCACCCGACTCCCCGCTGTTGTCTCGGGAGCCTTTGCTGAGTGGGGTGGATCAATTTTTCGGGTGTGTTTTAGTAGCATAATTACAGGGAGTATTTCAGGCTCCCTCTGACGGGCTGTTCACCAGGCTCCAATCTGCACGCTATTTTTCTGTGGGTATATATAGCTGGGGCCGCTTCTCCTGCCTCAGCTTCAGGCTAAAGAGGGACAGCGGCCGCCTCAGCCACCCCCTGTGGTTTCCTTTGCCTGTGGATGGGCTGCTAAAATGGGCCAGGAAGAGTGAGGAGCAAGGCTGGCTGTGGGGCCACAGCTCTACCCCCCAATGCAGGGAGGGGCTAGGACCATGCCCATCTGTGAGCCACGCAGGTTGGGGGAGTGGCCTCAGACAGGGGAGTCCTGGACCCCGCAGTGCCTGGCTGTGTTTGTCTGTCCTCCCTCCCGTGCGTCTGGAAGACTCCAGCGTAGGGAAAACAACGAAACCCAACCGTGAGTTAGATTCCCAAGCCCACAGGAGCCCCCGAGGCCCGTGGCTGTGGGCAGACCTGCGGGGCCATACAGGAGGGGCAGGCCGCCTGCCCAGGAGGGACTCGAGGACCCCAGGTCTGGTCTTGGTCTCACTCACCGCCCGGACTCCCCAAGGCCTGCAGTTTGCAGTCTCTCAGCTGGGACCCGCTCCCTGCCTCTGTGCGGGCTCAGCCACCGTGTGGCCCTCCCTCATTCACTTGATTTCTGTTTATGGTTAAGGCACCTTTTAAAACAACGCATCATTACAGCAACTTGAAAGGGAGTTTTGAAAAGGGAAGTGATCATCCTTCCCACCGCCCCTGCCGAAACACGGGTCTGCTTTTCCTTTCCCTCTGGGCGGGTGGCAGTGAGGACCCGACGTCGGCACCTGCAGGGCTCCTGCCCCCACTTCCACGGCCTTTATCTCCCTCCTTGGACGGAGCTCATCCTTGTGCTTTTCCTAAAAGAGCAGGTCCTCCAGGCACAGTGGCTCGTGTTTATAATCCCAGCACTTTGGGAGGCCCAGGCAGGTGGATCCTGAGGTCAGGAGTTCGAGACCAGCTTGGCGAGCATGGTGAAACCCCCTCTCTACTAAAAATACAACAATTAGCTGACTGGGGCAGCGGGTGCCTGTAATCCCAGCTACTTGGGAGGCTGAGGCAGGAGAATTGCCTGAACCCAGGAGGCAGAGGTTACAGTGAGCCAAGATCGTGCCACTGCACTCCAGCCTGGGCGACAGAGCAAGACTCGGTATCAAAAACAAAAAGCGAGTCCTCACTCCCCTGAGAGAGTGAGGCTGGAGGCAGGGTTGCCGCCTCCCACAGAGTGACCTCCATGATGCAGGCCTTGTCTCTGTCCACTTAGGGAGCTCTGGGCACCGTGGCCAGGGTGCCCTCTCCCTCCGGCTTCTCCAGCTCACCTGTCCCCTGGGCATGGCACTGTGCACCACTGCCCCGGACTCGGTCAGCTGCCCCAGCCCTGCAGCCTGTGCCTGTTCCCATAGCCATTGCACCCTCTGGCCTAGATGGCCCCAGCCTCTGTGCTGTCCCTGCCCTTGGCTCTGGTTCTGTGTCCAGGCACATCCCGCAGCCACGGGGGCCATCCGAGCCCATCTAAGCTGCTGGTCTCCACATCAGCACCTGAGACTGCTCACCGCCCACCTTGAACAGCCTGACACCTCCGCCTGGTGCAGGCCCTTCTCTCCTTCCCATCCCTGATGAGAAGGGAGCCGGGCTCAGTTCTCCTGCCAGCCGGGGGGTGGCAGGCACCCATGATGCGCATACACATTTCCCTCTTGGGACAGACGGCGGCAGCAGCTGCCACATTGCACACACGACGCGCAGGCTCAGGGCCGTGGGTGGCAGAGTGGCTGTCAGCAGCGGACTGGCTCGCCCCAAGCCAGGCTTCGGCCCCACAGTTCTGTCCCAAGCCGTGGCCCTTCCACGGTCAGTCCCATCGCTGAATCCCCTGCTCCGCCCTCCCCCTGTGTGGGGCCCCTCAGTTCCCTCCTGTTTGTTCCCCGCTAACCTCTAGCAGCTTCTCCTCCCCAGACGCCCTGAGCACACACGCTCACCCTTCCCTCCCCTCCCAGATGTGCACAGAGGAGCTTCTCACACCGGTGCAGCCAGCAGAGCCCTCCCAGGGGAGCTGAGCCCCGGCAGTGCCTTAACTGAGCTGCCAGATCCCAGCCCTGCATCTCAGGTCCCCAGTGACACGTGTTTAACCTGAAAGGAAACTGCCCCTGGGTCTGAGGCCCCAACTGCCCCACGGCCGGCCCTGCACGTGCTGGAGTCGGGCTCTGGCCGTGGCCTCCCGTGGCTTTGAGCTGCCTGAACTGGACGCCTCACGAGGGTCTCATCTGTGTGTGCGGTGCCTTCTGAGGAGTCTCAAGTCTCCCAGGGGTTTAAATGACGGGGTCTTTTGTTCTGACCTGTTCGTACTGTCAGCCAGCCTCCTGCGAGTGCTCCCTGCCTGAAGCCGCCTCTCCCTTGTCTTCGCCATGACTTTGTGTGTGTGTGTGTGTGTGTGTGTGTGTGTGTGTGTGTGTCTGTGTCTTTGTGCGTGTGTTGTTGTTGTTTTGTTTTTGAGACACTCGTGCTCTGTCTCCCAGGCTGGAGTGCAGTGTCTTGATGTCTGCTCACTGCAACCCCTGCCTCCCTAGTTCAAGGGATTCTCCTGCCTCAGCCTCCCAAGTAGGTGGGATTACAGGCGCCCACCACCACACTCAGCTAATTTTTTATTTTTAGTAGAGACGGGGTTTCACCCTGTTGGCCAGGCTGGTCTCAAACTCCTGACCTCAGGTAATCCACCCGCCTCAGCCTCCTGCCATGCTGGGATTACAGGTGTGAGCCACTGCGTGGCCCCACCACGTCTTTTTAAAAGCAGGTGTTTTATTCAGATGAATCCCAGACGATCTTGGGGGGTTCTGGTCAGGGGCTCCACCTGCCCCTCAGCGTCCTCTCCCTGCGTGGGCGGCTGTGGCATCTGGCTTGCACTGGGCCTCTTCTGCCTGGCTCCTGGCCACTGGGACTGCCCTGGCATCCTCTGTGTCCCGTGTGGGGGCCTCTGCCTCCTGCAGCAGCCTGTGCCAGGCGCTCCTGCCGGCTGTTGGGCATTCCTGCTCACCGTCCAGCAGCCAGGCCTCTCCCCAGGGCCTGCGGCCTGTCAGGGTCAGGGACAGCCCCTCCGCTGTGCTCCGCAGCCCCGTCCCCTCACTCCCTTCCATCCTGGGTGTCACCAGCACGACCGGGACTCTGTCGTCCCCAGTGGCTGGGCCGGGGCCTCCATGGGTGTCTACCAGATGGAGCAGGTTCCTTTGGGTCCTCAGTGGCCGGGCCGGGGCCTCATGGTGTCTGCTGGGTGGAGTGGGTTCCTTTGGGTCCCTGCAGAGTGAGCCTCCTCCCAGCACCGCCCCGTTGTTACGTAGCGACCGTCTTTGTGTCTGTCTTTCCTTCCTTTGAGGGGTTCCCTGGGGTTAATTCCCAGGGCTTGCAGGCCCATGTCCGAGGGACTGGATGGTCTCAGTGCCCCAGAGGCTGTGCTGAGTGGGGTGTTTTAGACTGTGTGGGCACTGCTCCCTCCTGCACAGCTGGCTCTGGGTGCCCCGTTTCTTGTTGAATCCTCCAGGGAGCCCCAGGGGGCCCAGGAGCGCTCTCCCCAGTCCCTGTGGTATGAGACAAGTGGTTCCTTCACCCTGGATTCTGTCCTTGTCTGGTCGGTCACTCCTCAGGGGCTCAGTGTGGCCATTTCCAGCTTCCTTTTCAGTCTTTCTGGAGCCCCACTGAGACCTGCAGCTGGGCCAGTGGCGCCCACCCCTGTTTCTCCTCCACGCAGTGTGCAGAGGTGCCTGGACAGCTGCAGGGCACATGGGCGCCCAGAAGTGAGTCTCCTTGACCCTGAGCTGCCCTGGCTGGGCTGTCACAGCTGGAGGCTGTTTTCCCCCATTCAGCACCCATGGGTGTCTCTCTGCAGTTTATATTACTTTTTATTTATTGAGACAGAGTGTTGCTCTGTCGAGTGCAGTGGCACAGTCTACTCATTGCAAAGTCCGTCTCCCAGGTTCAAGCAGTTCTCATGCCTCAGACTTCCTAGTAGCTGGGATTACAGGAACCTGCCACCACACTGGGCCTCTAGTTTATATTATTACAGCCTGGTCAGGGTGTCACTGGGTGTCGCTGTCCTTGGATGGGAAGGGCGTGCAGGCAGAGAGGCTGGGAGGAGGTGACAAAGGTGCGCTTTGATGCTTGGGTCCCAGGACATGCCCACCCAGCCCTGCCTGGTGACTTGTTCCTGTGGGGCTGGGAGCTGTGTCCCAGACCTTATCGGTGGACACAGACCTTTCTAGCCAGGGGAGAGAGTGGCCTGGAAGGGCCCCAATCTCTGAAGGTCAGCAGTGCCTGGGGGGAGGAGGATTGCGGTGCTGAAGGGACTTGAGGGACCTGCCCGGAGGCATTGGCGATCAGGGATGGTGGCACCTGAGGGGACTTTCAGCAGGGCCAGAAGTGCCCAGAGCAAGCTCCGGTGGGACCCTGCACTGGGGGGCTGAGGTCGAGTGACCCTATTCCTAAGACCACCCAGGAGGACACTGGTGTGGGATGGCCAGACCCTTCTCCCTGCATGGAGAAGCTGCTGTCTACACCCCTGACCTACCTGTCAGCCCTTGCCTATCAGGCTCTGCCCCTAGGAGTCTAGATGCCTCAGGGGTGGCCTTGAGCCCCTGGGGTTTTTTTAGCGGGAAGCACCAGCCGCTGTCTTCTCCCCTCCCCTAGTGAGGCCAGGCTGTGCAGGGCCATGTGGAGGCCGGCTGCCCTGCACTCAGATGCCTGGCTTCCTGCCGACCCTCGGCCCCTGGCCACCTCTGGTCTCAGGCAAGGCCCTTCTCCCTGCCCACCTCCTCTCTGGCCCCCAGGCCGGGTGGACAGACCTCCTCTGCAGTTTCTGTTCAGGGGTCCCTCGTTGGCTTCCCGCTACTGGAGGAAAGTTCTGTCTCCCGGGCCTCCCCTCTACTCCGATCCCCTGAGTGAGAGCCTGGGCTTGAGGCCAGGAGTTACTGGGGGCCGGAGGAGGAGGCTCAGTCTGAATCAGTGAGACCAGAGAGGGAGGAGGCTCGTGGACCTGAGAGCTGGCTGGAGCCGCTGGTGACAGATGGAGGAGTAATTGCTCCTCCAGAGCACAGCCAGCTTGAGCTCCCTGGAGTGCCAGAAGCTTCTGGGTGGACAGACAGGCCGAGTCACATTCCAGAGGCTGACAGAGCCTGCCAGGCACCCCTGGGGCCAGCTGGAAGCCATGTGCCTCCACTCACATGTCCCATGGGCATTTGGAGGGGAGGCTGTCCCTGCCATGGCCCATCCCAGCCTTCGGCCTCAGGAGTATGTGAAGACTGGACCAGGGCTGCTGTGGGCATTCCCCCTCAGAGAATGGGGAGGAGGGGGCACGGGCCTTTTTATGGGGGAGGAAGCCATGCCCTCTGCCACACTCTGGCCATCTCTCTGCCTGTAGACTTGGGGCCTGTAGGGACAGTGTGAGTGAGGGCTGGCAGGGGCCCTGTGAGTGGGGCCTGCCCTGTGGCATGGGTGGGGCCAGCAGGGGCCCTGTGAGTGGGGCCTGCCCTGTGGTGTGGACGGGGCCGGCAGGGCCCTCAGCTCCAGCATGGCTGTTGGTTATTTGTACCTGAGCCTGAGGCCCACATGGAAAGTACGTTCCGAGCGGTCGTTCATGGCGGTGGCTAGGCCACAGGAGCCCGCTTAGCTGTCCCAATCCCCAGCTCACTTGTTGGGGTTCCAGGCCCTCGTTCCCAGCTCAGACACACACTTAGGGCTTCAGCACTGGACGCAGGTGCTGGATCCCGGGGTCTCAGTGGCACCAGAGCTGGTCATTCTGAGAGCTGTGCCCAGAGTCTCAGGAGGGCCTGGGGCCCCAGCTGGATGGGCATCTGGACATCGGCCCCGCTGGTGTCACCTCTGCAGCCTTGTCCCACCCAGGACCTCCGTAGGGCCCTGCTCTGACTGGGCTGAGAGGGACACCCATGGCTGTTTTGGGACTCCCGCTGGACACTGTCACTCCTAGAGTGGCCCCGCCAAGGTTCGACTTGGGCAACCTCGGTGTGGCCCCTGAGCCCAGCAGCGGCTGGAGTCGTGGCAGTGCCCCCTGCTCAGTAAAGCTTCGTGCTCCTCCCTGCCTGCTGGACTTGGAGCCCACGGGTTGGGAGCCCCCGCCTGGCCTGGTTTCTTGTCACTGCTGCCTCAGCTCGCACCTTCGCAAGGGGGTGACATGAAGACTGGACCAGGCTGCCGCACAGGCTGGGAGCTAGTGTCAGACTCGGCGCCAAGTCCTGGCTGTGCTGCTCAGCACTGTTGGGCCAGTGGCCGGGCAAGTCCCTCGGCCTCTCTGAGCCTCTAGCACTTCATCTTTAAGAAGGGGACTGGCCCGGTCCTCCCGAATGGGGTCACTGGGTGCAGAGTTCCTGCATTGCTGGGCCCAGTGCCAGCAGCAGTTGCTGTGTCTGTGGGGCCCTTCACAAGGTTGATTTTTATCTCCCTGTGAGCCGGCACTGGGACAACCTGCCAGGTGACGGGCCGGAAGGACCTTGCAAAATGCAACAGGATGTGAGGGGTGGAGCCACTCCACCCAGGCCCCGCCTGCAGACGACAGGACCGAGCCTCTTAATCACCTGCACCCAGGGCGTGTGAGGGCAGGGGGTCCGTCCAGTGCCACCCACTGGCTCCCTATGGTTAAGGAGCGCCTCACCCAAGCCCTCAGGGCACCCCAGTGGCCTCCCAGGTGAGGATGTAAGGCCAAGACCTCTGGTGGTGGCCCAGTGGGGGTTGGCTGGCCCGGGCCTGGCTGCTCCATGAGAACTGTGGGGCGTGCTCAGCATGACTTGGTGGGGCTGGGCTGCTGACTGGCCTGGCTGAGTCACTGGCAGAGAAGGCACCATGTGGTGGATGTGCTGGGCAGCCGGCAGGAGAGCACCCCCACCCAGGACCATGTTCAGACAAGGGAAGAGGCAGGGGCCTAGGCAGGCACCATCCATGGTGGGCCCCGGCGCTAACGGCCACCTCTCCTGATGGACTGCAGCTGCAGAGCGCCCCTGAGGAGAATGCCCGGCCCAGTGTCCTGGCAGACTGTCCCCATGTCCCCAGCTTAGATACTCCCAGGGCGGTGGGCTCTACCCTGCTTGAGGTAACAAGCTGCCCCTGGGCCAGGGCTGGGAGCCGCTGACGGAAGGAGTGAGACCTCACCTGCCCTGGACTCTTCACTGTGCCGTCCTCGAAATAGCCTGGCCAGGCAGCCATGGCATCCCCCATCCCACAGGCAGGAGCTGTGGGCTCCTGAAGGTGGAGCTGGCTCCCAAGTCCACAGCCAGAAAGTGATGCAGGCGGGGCCTGGCTGTGGGGCAAGTGTGAGCGGGTCACGGGGAGAGAGCAGGCTGTGCGCGGGCGTCAGGCTCCGAGGTCCCTGGGGCGCGTCCTGGGAGCTGCGTGCTGGAGCCTCGTCCTGAGTCCTGGGAGCCGCGTGCCGGTCGTCCCGTGGGGCTGCCTGCAGGCCTCCTCTGGCTTTGGCAGGTTGTCTGGACAGACTGAGGCTCCGGAGGACTGGATCGTGCACTTTCTGCCGGGAAAGAGGGTGGGGAGGGCTGGGGCGTGCGGGCAGGGAGGGCATCAGTCCCTCTCCCTGGAGACTGGCTATGCGTCTGAAGCTGCTCACTTCCTCCCTTGGGGGCAGAGGTGTGGGGGTCCTGAGGCTCCAGGCTGGAGGGGGTTAGCCCCTAGATCCCCCCGCTGCCCTGCCATCTGGTATTGGAAGGGGTATGACCCCCAGGGGATCTGTTTGCCACACTCTGCCCCATGCTGTCCTCTCTGTCCCCTCTTCCTGCTTAGGAGCAGGGCCAGAGCTGAGCTAGCAGGGGGGGACTTGAGGCCCGTCCTGGCCCCGCCCACACCCAGGCTGCCCTGCCCCCTCCGTTTCCCGCCACACTCTGCCCACCAGAGCCACATGCGCTGTTTGAACCTTGGCCCCAGATCTGGCCCAGGTCCTCAGGAGGAGGCAGTGACAGCCAGGCCTGGGCTCCTCTCCCTGCTGTTGACGGGAGGCTGCAGGTCCCCGGGCTTGGTCCTGACCCTCAGGAGCGGAGGTGGCTGATGTGGGGGGGGGGGCTCTGGTTGGGTGTGGTGGCACAGCTCCGTCACTGCTGAGGGGCTCAGGCCCAGGCTGGGTTCAGGTAGGCGCTCCACAGGTCTGTCTTCATGTTGGAAAGGAAAATGCCAGGACGCTGTAGGTGTTTTATTCATCCCTGTCCCTGAGTCCCAGGTCCAAATCCAAGCAGAAAATTCCACACCTGGCCTCATGCGCCAGGTCACGGTCAAAAGCCAGAGTTACTGAAAATATGCAGCCGGCGCGGTGGCTCACGCCTGTAATCCCAGCACTTTGGGAGGCCAAGTCCAGGCGGACCACCTGAGGTCAGGAGTTTGAGACCAGCCTGACCAACATGAAGAAAACCCATCACTACTAAAAACACAAAATGAGCTGGGCGTGGTGGCAAGCCCTGTAATCCCACTCTGGAGGCTGAGGCAGGAGATTCGTTTGAACCTAAGAGGCGGAGGTTGCCGTGAGCCGAGATCGCACCATTGCACCCCAGCCTGGGCAACAAGAGCGAAACTGCATCTCAAAAGAAAAACAGAAAACTTCGGGCAGTATGGCCATTTTCACGATATTGATTCTTCCTAAAACACACACACAGAAAACAGGATCAGGGTATGGTGGCTCACGCCTGCAATCCCAGCACTTTGGGAAACCGAGGCAGGAGGAGCACTTGAGGCCAGGAGTTTGAGAGCAGCCTGGGCAATGTAGTGAGACCCCCGTCACTATTTTCAAAAATAAAATTGTGTGGCTGCCTTTAGGGTATGTGTAGAAGATATATGTGAAATGTAAATAGAATTCTGCGTGGAGACCCATCCCCAAGGTAGCTTATTACGTATGTGCTGATATTACAAAATTCACAACATCCAGAACTGGAGGCACTTCTGGCCCAAGCCTCGCCCTGGACGGTGAGAGTGAGGAGTGTGGGTGCGCTGCTGCGTGCTGGCAGCTTTGCCAGTGCCTCTCGGTGTGTGGCTTTGAAGTGAATGGGGCTGGCATCCTCCCTGTGCAGATGAGGAAACTGAGGCCCAGCTTGCCTTGCCAAAGTGCAACTGGCCATGGCTGTTCTGGCTCCAAGGCCCAGGGTCTGCAGCCCCGACACCGCTGTGCCCCGGGCCACGTCCTGCAGCTAGAGGCGTCTCTCGAGCTTTCTGACCCGCCCATTGTGGGCAGCACCCCCTCCCACCCCGCAGACTGGCCGAGGCCTGGAGGGAGCAGGGCCAGGCTGAGGCTGCAAGGGTGGAGACCACGGCCAGCCAGCCCCTCGCTGCCAGGAAGGGCACATCCATCCCGGCCTCTCCCCAGGGAGGAGGGAGGAGTGGCTGAGAGGGAAGCGCTGATCTTGCCCCGGGGACCGAGGCCTCTTCTGCAGCAACTAGAAAGCCCCCGCCCACAGGCTGCTTGTCAGGGCCGCCCAGGACCCCCGGGAGGTCGGCTGCTTGCTCTGCTGTTCAGAATCAGATTAGTTTTCCATAAAAACAGGATGTGGTGGGTGAGAGGGCAGTGTGTCCACCTTTCTCACTCCCCTTTTCCAGGAACTGAGCGCATGCATAGGCTTTAGTGAGGACAGCCCAGGCCCTGCTGCACCCCCACAGGGAACAGCCAGCTCTCCTCTCTTAAGTGGACACTTAATCAGCTTTTCCTCCTTGCCTGGGGAGCTTCTTGGAGCCAGCCTGCCATGGTGGGGACACCATGCTACAGGGTCCAGGAGCCGAGCTGGGGCATGGGAGGAGGGGCCGTGAGGCCCGGGCAGTGTGCCAGGCTGCAAGAGGGGCCGAGCCACTGCCCCGACCCGCTGGCAACCCTGCATCGAGGTTGGGCCTGTGAGGTTGGCTGGTTCCTGGACCCCTCTCCCCAGGACATGCCCGTGGTGACACATGGCTTTGGGGGCTCGTGGGTCCCACATCACAGGCCTCTGCTCTAGAGGGCCCAGTCCATGGGGTTCTCTGTGGAGGGCCAGGCAGGAATCTCAGGGAGCTGGGGGTGGGAGTGGGAGGAGCATGTGCAGGAGTCTCGTGCTGTCAGGGAGCCGGGAAGTCTGCCAGGGTTTGGGGGTTGTGCTGGGGAGTGTGGGTTTTGCCCTGTGGTGGTGGGAGCTGCCTCCAGTTCCGATTCCCTTGAGGCTCTAGTCCTGAGTCGGGCTGTAGGGCAGGGCAGGGTGGGGTCACCCTGAGGGGAAGGCTCCGTTAGGGAGCGCTTGATAACCTAGGGCTCTGGGGGCCCTGAGAGAGAGGGGAGGGGAGCAGAGGTTTGCAGGGAAGCTGGCGGCTTCCTCCGCAGCCACTTGAAGGCCGTGGTGGAGTTCCGAAGCTGACTGAGGCTCTGACCCTGTAGCTGGTCCCCTTCCCTCCTGCCTCAGCTGTTCTGGTCTCTGGGGGATCAGAGCTGGGTAGGGGGGCTCTGGGCTATGGGGGACTGTTTTTGTGACTCCAAGCTCCCTCAGCACAGCCCCCAGAGCTCCTTCCTCATGGGCAGGGCCTGGCACAGCCGCAGGCCAGGGATGCCCTCGCAGATGACCCTGGATGGAATTCCAGAGCTCAGAAACAGCTCTTTCCCGTAAGGCTGTCCCAAAACTCACAAGAGTGTTTCCTTTTGGGGAGATGAGTGAAGAGTGCCTCAGCTTGATCCAGGATGAGGCTGATCGATCAATTAGGGAAGCCAGTCGACCCGACCCGTCAGAGGGCTGATGGAGGAAGCTGTGCTTGGTAAAATAAACATCTTGGGAGGAGCGTGTGGAAGTGCTCACAGGCTGACCGTGGCAACCGTCACTGGGGTGTTACTTTGTACTTCTCTGCATTTTAAACACTTCTGAATATGGAGAGAAGGAAAGTGAATGTTCTGTGAGATTTCATTGAGAGGGGAAACTGAGGCACACTCTGGCCAGTTTGGGCCCAGGGTTCGAGCCTGGGGTGGCCCCGGCCCTCATGGCCCAAGGTAATTGTCCCTGTGGGCTCTCAGAGCAGCTGGGGCAGGGTCCACGTTCTGGGGCTGGTGATCCCAGGGGCAAGCCAGGCAGTGCCCTGCCTGCCTAGGGGTTATGAGCCCAGAATGTTGATTTTTTTTTTTCTTTGCTGGCTTCATGAGCTTGTTGAATTTCCAGATTATGTATGGGGCCCCCGGCATCCCACCTGCCCTAGCCCTGTGGCCACGTGGCCAGCAGTGCAGGCACCTGGGCCCAGAGCCTCAGAGACGGGGGCTGGGGTGGGGGGGGGGTGGTGCCTCAACTTCCCCTTTGAGCCCCTGCCGAGGTGCTGGGAGGGACCACACAGGCGGGAGGAACTCGGGGTCCCCAGGCCTCGGCCACCCCAGCCTGGTGCTTGTTATATATTTATGCCTTTCCGGCTACCTGTGAAATGATGATTTATTTTTGAGATGGAGTTTTGCTCTTGTTGCTCACGCTGGAGTTGGGCATTGCCGTGGTGCAGTCTCGGTTCACCGCAACCTCCCCCTCCAGGGATCAAGCGATTCTCCTGCCTCGGCATCCCGAGTAGCTGGGAGTGGCTGGGATTACAGGCAGGCGCCACCACGCCCGGCTAATTTTGTATTTTTAGTAGAGTCGGAGTTTCACCACGTTGGCCAGGCTGGTCTCAAACTCCCGACCTCAGGTGATCCGCCTGCTTGGCCTCCCAAAGTGCTGGGATCACAGGCGTGAGCCACCGCGCCTAGCCCATGGATTTTATTTTAAGGACATGACGCACGTGATTGTGGGGCTGGCTAGTCCGAGATCCCCAGCTGGGCCAGCTGTCCAGAGCCGCTGTCGCAGTCGGAGTCGCTGAAGGGGGCGGTTCTCTGTTGCAGCCCCGAGAAGTTCTCTTCCGGGGCATTCAGGCTTCTCTCTTCTGCCTTCACCCGATTGGATGAGGCCCTCTTGCTGTCTGCTGATTGGATGAGGCTCTTGTTCCTTCGGCTGATGGGATCAGGACCTCGTGCTGTCTGCTGATTGGATGAGGCTCTTGTTCCTTCAGCTGATAGGATCAGGACCTCGTGCTGGCTGCTGATTGGATGAGGCTCTTGTTCCTTCAGCTGATAGGATCAGGACCTCGTGCTGGCTGCTGATTGGATGAGGCTCTTGTTCCTTCAGCTGATAGGATCAGGACCTCGTGCTGGCTGCTGATTGGATGAGGCTCTTGTGCCTTCAGCTGATGGGATCAGGACCTCTTGCTGTCTGCTGATTGGATGAGGCTCTTCTTCCTTCAGCTGATAGGATCAGAACCTCGTGCTGTCTGCTGATTGGATGAGGCTCTTGTTCCTTCAGCTGATAGGATCAGGACCTCGTGCTGTCTGCTGATTGGATGAGGCTCTTGTTCCTCCAGCTGATGGGATCAGGACCTCTTGCTGTCTGCTGATTGGATGAGGCTCTTCTTCCTTCAGCTGATAGGATCAGGACCTCGTGCTGGCTGCTGATTGGATGAGGACCTCATGCCCTCTGATGATTAAATCAGTCTCACAAAATACCTGCACACCATATTGGGACTGGCATTTGACCAAACGGCAGCATGGCCCGGCTGCACTGACAAATGGATCAAGCCTCACACCGCACCCGCAGGCGTGACCACGGCACCCAAGCTGCTGACCGAGAACACAAGCCGTGTGCTGACTTGCACGTGGCGTCTCTGGTCACACCGCCAAGCTTTTGGGCAGCTCCTCCAACCTCAGCCCCCGCCTGAAATAGAGATAGCGGCCGGGCGTGGTGTTCACACGTGTAGCCCCAGGACCTTGGGAAGCCCAGGGGGCCGGATCACCTGAGGTCAGGAGTTCCAGATCAGCCTGGCCGACTTGGTAAAACCTGATCTTTACTAAAAATAGAAAAATTAGCTGGGTGTGGTGGCAGGTGTCTGTAATCCCAGCTACGCAGGCAGCTGAGGCAGGAGAATTGCTTGAACCTGTAAGGCGGAGGTTGCAGCCGAGTCGAGATCGCGCCATTGCTCTCCAGCCTGGTCAACAGACGAGACACCGTCTCAAAAATAAGTAAATAAATTAGAGACAGCGACTTCGGCTCTCTAGGGACCAGGGAGCCAGGCTCCAGGCTGTCCAGCAGTGCTCACCTGGACACGTGTCCAGGCAGTGCTTCTGGGACGGCATCCACTGGGGGCCAAGACTGTCTTGGAGGTGCAGGTACCCAATTCTGTCCCCATTTCACTTACTGGGAACTCAGGGTACAGAGAGGGGAGGGCTGAGCTAGGAGCAGACTCCTGACTCCTGCAGAAATATGCTGACAAGATGTGCATCTGTCCCGGACACCTGCTCTGAGATTCCCCTCCCTCTCCTGCCCTGCCTCAGTGGCCCGAGGGGAAGAGGGGGTAAGGTTCTGAAGGGGGTGTGACCAGACACCTGCCTGTGTCCCCTGGCCTCTATGAACTGCCTCTGAGTGGCTGGTGACTCTGCTTCTACCCTGCCGGCAAGGGAGGTGGCCAGGTGATGTTCCTCCCTGGCGTCTGGGGGAGTTCCCAGAGAGCAGGCCAGCCTGTAACCAGGCCCTGGAGCAGTCTAGACAGGCCAGGGGTGCGGGGTGCCGCTGGGTAAATAACAGGGTGGGGGCTTTGAGTCTGCACCAGCCTCAGTCCTGGGCCCAGCACTGCTGAGGACACAGTGGGCAGGAGGAGGTGCTGCTGGGGGGTTGTAGTGGTCAGGGCTCTTAGGAAGCCCTTGTTGCCTGTCTGGGGTGAGTTGTTGGGGCCATCGTTGGAATGGCTGCCAGTGTCTGCTCCTGACAGGTGTCCAGAGAGCCCAAGGGCAGACTCCCTCGCTCTGATGCTGAGGGCGGAGTCCTCATTTTGGGAAGTCCCCGCGTGACACCATGGGCCAAAGGCGGGTCATGGCAGGGAGATTTTGATGCATGGCCTCTGCCTGGAGAGCACATTCATGCCTCCCTGGGGACCCTTTAGAACATGGGCCACAGCCCTCGCCTGGGTCTGGGTGAGCCTCAGCCTGAGAATCTGCCTTGTTCGGGACCCGGCGACGCTGGTGGTGTGGACCTCAGCTCTGGAGAATGGGTGATGTGGGGTCCGAGCGCCTGGAGGAAGCCAGTAGGGAGGGGTTGCTGCATTCATGCTGCTGGGGCTTCGAGAGGACCCCGTCTCCTGTGGCCGAGACCCCATGTCTCACAGCATGTCCTGCCTCATCCCCCTGCCCTCCGCAGCTTGCTGACTTCTGATTTTTCCCCCAGGACCTTCAAATCTGGAGTTCCCAGATCCTTCCTGCCTCCGGGTCCTGCTCCGGTGCCCCCCTCCCCACGAGCCTTTCCTGAGGACCCAACTCTGCATCTGGGGCTCACTGTGGCTAATCATGCACTTTGGCCCCCAGGAGGCTGTGGGCTCCTGAAACCCCTCTGAACTGTGGGCTTCCAACCACACCTGACCCATGTTCCTGACCCTGTGTGTGGGTTTGCAGGTATGCCTGGGGCAGGATGGCTTTGAGGGCCTCACAGAGCGCAGAGAACTGCCTCGCAGCTTCCAAAGCCGCCTCCCACCCTTCATTTCAGGTGGATTGGCAGTCTTGGCAGGAATCCTACCCTCTCAATTAGTCTGGAATGCTGGGGGCGGGACGGCTTCAGGTCACAGAGTGACCTTGTTTACCGAGACCTTCACAGCGGCCCCTCCATGCCAATCACTGTCATCAGTGTGGTCCCCATGGCCTCTGGATGTGCTGTTCACTGCCCGGGTCAGTCCGAGGTGTCAGGGCACACCTGCCAGCTGTTACCAAGGGCTGCCCTGACCAGGCACGTCACTGTGCACATTCGTATCATGGCAGACCCAGGCCAGCAGCTCCAGGTAACGAGGACATGTTGGCGCCTTCCTGTTTTGTTGTAAATAGAGATGGGGTCTTCGTATGTTGCCAGGTTGGTCTGGAACTCCTGGGCTCAAGTGATCCACCTGCCTCAGCCTCTTAAAGGGCTAGGTTATAGGCAGGGGTCAGCACACCTGGCCTACCTGCTTTCTAGATGAAGTGACAGTCCCAGAGAAGAAGCAGGGTTTGCCTGCTGTCCGGGAGCTGATCTGCTCACCTCCAGCATCTGCCTTGGGCCACCCTGTTCACAGAGGAGGCACTCACATGCAGAGGCAGCGAGGCCCCAGGAAGTGCCCTAACTGAGCCACCAGGAGCTGACCCTGCATCTCATCTCTGTCTCCAGAGGATGTTGGCTGCCAGCTCAGCAGCTGGGCCTTGGGCAGGTGTGAATCATGACCTGGAACGCCAGGCACCACTGGCTCCCCCTGCAGCCCGTGCCCTGTCCAGGTTGCCCAGGGCCAGACTGTTGAGGTTGCACCCTCCAGAGGGGCTCCCCCCATGGAAAGCTGTGGTTCTTAGGGAGCCGCCAGTGCCTGAGTCCTGCAGCCTGGCGCTGCTGGGTGTAAGATGAGGACATGGGTGTGCTGGGGGTTGGGGGTTCCAGGACAGAGCCCATGGGACCTGTGTGCTCGTGGCTGTCTATCCTTCCCAGGCAGGCCTCGTCGGGGCTGGTGTGCAGGCTGGCTGAACATGTGCTGTGTCCACACAGCACCCTATAAGCCCACCATGCCTCGGTTTCCCCACCTGGCAAGTGTCACAACAGGAGCCGCTTCCTGGCACAGAGCCAGGGTCAGGCCTGACGCGGCACTTGCAGGCTGCCGAGAGACCCAGAGGGTCAGGGGCTACCCCATCCTTCTGTTTTCTGCCTCAGGTGACCTGGCAAGCTGCTCCAGCCATAGCACTGCCAGGGGCCTGCCCTTGGCATCAGGGTTTGCCACTGAGCTGGGAGCCCCTTCTCCCCAGGCACATTCTCTCCTTGAGGCTGGAGGGGGTCCTGCCCTCCCCAGCATTCTGGAGCAGCAGGGATCCAGGAGGGCAGTGTCTGCAGCTTAGGTGGGGGCCAGTGGGCAGGGCCGAGCCACTTGGACCATCTGAGAGTGGCAGGAGAGCGCCCTGTGTCCATTGCTGGTGTCAGGTGACTGAGGCCATGGTTTGTGAAGGGAGGACAGCTGAGTTGGAGACTTGACTTTGTCACCAGCCCTCTGAGTGCCTGCTGTGTGGGCACAGTGGGGGCCCCTTCTTCAGCTCTGGGTGGGCCAAGAGGGAGGCCTTGCTGCTCATAGAGGCAGCTCTGCCTGACCCAGCCCCTTCCCAGGGCACAGTGGGAGCACAGGGTTGGCCCCGTCAGACATCTGGGACCCGCATCCTTCCTGAGGCCCCACCCTCCACCCACCGTCCCCACCTATTTACCTGTATCAGTGCCAGAGATGGCTGCGCAGATAAGCCCTGGTTTCCTCCCTTCGGAGGCTGGAGAGGAACCCACCCTCGAAGAGTGGGGGGGCGGAACTCCAGCCCCACCCATGCCCTGGAATCTGACCTCTTCTCCACTGCAGAGGGGTGAGGGGTGAGGCCCAGAGCTGTGGCCATGCTGGGGAGCCCAACATGGAGAAACGCTGGGGCTTCCACACCCTGGCAGCACTGCCGGTCATCTGTGGGGAGAGTCGGGAGGAAGGCGGGGAAGGGCACCCAGGCCCCACTTGGTGGGGGATGTTTTCATCTCTGCTCAGTCTCCTGCCATGCTGGGGTCATTCACTGATGACCCCAAGTACCAAGAAGATGGGGGTGGGGTGCTGAGCAGCATTGAGAGACCTCAAAGGCACTTCCCAGCTTGCCCTCCGCGTCACACAAGCACAAGGGTTGCCGTGGTGTGGCAGACTTTCTGCCTCGGGCCGTGCCGCTGGGACTCCGGTCGGCATCATCATGCCCTCCGAGTCACTCAGCCTGGCGCCATCCTGGGCAGGGCAGTGCTGCAAGAGCTCAGGCCCAGGAGTGCAGGTCCGCTGTTCTACCCACCACTGGGTCGCCTGGGGCACCCCTCCCCTCCTGCAGCCTCTGTGTGCTCATCTGTGAAACGGGCGCGGTAGAGTCACCCCTGGCTTGTATGAGAACCCTTGCCCCGTTCCCTGGGCAGAGTCTGTTCCCCCAGTCCCACCCATGTGGCTGCACACAGCGGGTGCCTGCTGACCCTCCATTCCTCACAGTCACCTCGTTCACAGACCCCTCACTGCCCTGCAAACCCCTCCAAGGGCTGTGGGCTGTGTGTGTCTGCGACAGTGGCCTGGCTCTCCACGCCAGCAGGTCTGAGGGCAGATGGCTGTGGCAGGTGCGGGGGGTCCCCAGCCCCAAGTAGCCAGCAGGCCTGCAGCACTCTGCCCTGTGCAAGTCAGATATGAGCCATAAAATCGAGTTTCCTGGACACTGAGCTAATTAAACCCGGACATCGAGCTAATTAAACCCAGGCACAGACCTAATTAAATGCTCCAGAAGCTCCTCGGTGCCCCAGGCTGCTGGCTGGCGGCCCAGTAGGTAAGGAACATTCCCTTCACTGCCTCCTGCCTTGCAGCTGAAGGCGGGGCGGCTCCCCTCTCGCCCCTGCCTGTCCTGGGCTCCCTGGGTGCTGCCTGCCCTGTGGCCGTGTCCAGCTGTTGCCTTTGGGCAGAGCTGCTCCCCAGGGCCTTGGGTTCCCCCGTGAGATGGCAGGGATGGTTTGAAGGGCGCGGAGGTTTTCAGAGCTTTGTGACGGGCTCTAGAAGCCATTTTCTGTCATCACTGCACAGCGGTGTGGACGAGGCTTTTGAGTTTCTCTCAACTCTCCTTTGTCCGTGAGGCAGGAAGAGGGGCTTCCTGAGTCCTCAGCTCGGGGCGGGACGGGATGGACAGAGGAGCACACAGGATCTGGCCTGAGACTGTCCAGCGCCCGGGCAGAGTGGAGCCTAGGCAGTGCCAGGGTCACTGAGGGCACAGAGGCCCTGCTGGCGAGGGCTGGGGCGGGCTCGTGGGGCGGTGGGCGCTGGAAGCAGAACTCTGCTTGTGGAGTGGGGGCTGGGTACCACGTCCACTGGGGCCTTCGAGGGGCAGGTGGGGGTTCTCGCAGAGAATGACAAGCAGCTGGTGTTCCAGAGCGTGCGTGGAGCAGGCCCGGAGGCCAGGGTGGCTGGTGAAGGTGGGTCTGGCCTCCAATGGGGGAGCCCCCAGTTCTCTTCCCCACACGGGCTCCACCTCTGTGTGCTCTCAGGCTCCTGTGCTAGAGCTCGGAGGGGTTAGGCCACGTGGCGTGCGTGAACTTCACCATAGGCCTCGTTGTAAAGAGTGGGGGGGGTCTGATGGGGGAGCTGGCTTCCCCCTGTCCCCTAGGCCAACCTTGCCAGCCTTCCTTTCCTAAGAAAGTGGGATCCGTCTGAGCCCTCATGGCCCCTCTGGGTCTGGGCTTGGCTTTCGTGCTCTGCCTGGGGTTGTGGCAGGGAAGTCCCCCAGGCTCCCTTGCAGAGCAGGGCCGAGCAGTGGCTGCCGGGAGTGCCCTGGACCACGCCTGCTCCTTCCTCTTCCTCTCCTCCGCCTGGCCCTGCCCACCAGCATAAGAACTCACACAGAAGTGTTTATGTTTCTCTTCCAAGCCAAATAAGGCAGAGAGCGTGCTCTTGGGAGTTGGAGCAGGCTGGGGAGGGCAGCGGGGGCTTGGACCAGGACCCCGGCTCCCCACAGCTGCCTTGGCCTGGGAGCTGTCATCTGTGAACTCTAATCCTACCCTGCCCTCCCCTGGCCCCTTTTAGAGCTTCCCATGGTCAGCTGGTGGCAAAAGAAGGCAAGACCCAGCAAGGTGCCCGGCCTGGCCAGAAGGCCCAGGGTCTAGCCCTGTGGCGGCTGCTGTGATCTCTGGGACTCAGACCGTTCACATCCTTCCCGGCTTCTGTTCCCTGCAATGGGAGGAAGACTGGACCAGGCGACCTCTCCTGCTTCCAGCCCGTCTGTTTCCTCCAGTCTTTTTTCTTTTTGGCCAGTTCACTTGTTGGTAACTTCAGCGACACATGAGAACATTCCCCTTGTAAAAGAGGGCAGTGGTGTGGCAGGAGGGACCAAGGCCCTCTTCTGCAGAGATAAACACGGCGGCGGCGTGTGGCCGTTCCTGGGCCTTGTGATATATCCTAGACATGCAGAATTTCCATTTTTACACAAAAGGAATGGCAGGCGTCCGACTCTCTGCGGCTCGTGTCACTCGGAGTGCCACAGAGCTGGGTGCATGTTGCTCCCTCATGCTGTGTGTCAGGCACCGCTGTCTCTGCAGTCCTGCGAGGACGGAGTTACAGTTCTTGGTTTACAGCTGAACCAACTAAGACAGACAGATCGGGCCCATCTGTGGTCATCTCAGCAGCTGCGAGGGGTCAGGGCCGGAGCCCACCGTGTCACGCTACAGGGCGTGTAGAAACTCGACACACGGGTTCTGCCATGCACCCTGCTGCCCAGTCTGCTCTGCAGGTGGATGCCGAGGCCTTCCGCATCTGCTGTGTCTTGTGGGTCCATGGGCACCTGTGGAGTGGAGGCGGCAGGCTTGCATTTCCCAGCGCTGCCTCTGCCACAGGCAGAGAAGCGGTTATGTGTGAGTTACGGTGTGTTTGGCGTCACAGTAGGAGGATCCCTGGGGACAGCTGAGTGATGATGGGTGGGGACAGAGCTTGCAGAGGCCACGGTTGCCTCCAGGCCAGGGCACTGCTGGGGCCAAGACTGGGATGCAGCAGGGTGTTGGTCTGTTGGGGTGTGGCAGGAATCCTGTAGGGTCACTTGGCACAAGGGGGCCCAAAGTGGTGGGGGCCTTGAATGCCAGACCAAGGAACTCGTCTCAGTGCCACAGGCGGTCTCCATGCACAAGGACGTGAGCTGAGACGGTCGTTGCTCCCTTAGGGCTGTCCCCTTGTGTGGGCAGAGGCCGGGCAGGCCGCAGCCAGGAACCCACCTTGGCTTGGGTGAGTGGGGCTGCAGAGTTGGGGAGGCTCTTGGGGATTCCCCCCGGGATCCCGCTGCTCTGCCCTCAACCCTGGGGCCGCTTGGTCTAGCCCTGTATCCTCTCTGCCAGTGAGGTCTGCGCAGAGAAGTGGAGGCACAGAGGGTGGTTGAGGGGTGTCCCCCAGGCCTTTCTGTGGCACCTTCTGGGGCTGGCATCTGTGAAATCTGCGTTAACAGGCCCAGTGCCTTCCTGCCTCCTGGGGCGTCTGCTGGAGCCGAGGCTGCGGGGGAGTCTGCCTGTGAGTCAAGCCTCTCGCTGGGCTGTGCTGGGCTTGATTTGCCCACCTGTGGGATGGGACAGTGCCACTCTTAGGTTGTTGGGAGGACCCAAGGAGGATGATGCCTCCAGCCATGATAGCTGGCCCAGCTCCACCCCGAAGCCCTGCTCCTTAAGGGCCAGGAACCTCCAGGTTGTGGACTCCAATCCTCGGGCTCTCCTGCTTCTTAGAAGGTCGAGATGGGATCTCAATCCAGCTCATGGCACCACATGCCTTTGGGAACCTCTTTCCGACCTCTCTGCCCTCAGCCCTTGTTCAAGCACCAGTCCCTCTCCTGTCTCGTGCCCACTGGGCCGTCGGTCCCTTTGGAGGCCTGTCCCTCTCCTGTCCCCTGTGCCCACTGGGCCGTCGGTCCCTTTGGAGGCCTGTCCCTCTCCTGTCCCCTGTGCCCACTGGGCCGTCGGTCCCTTTGGAGGCCTGTCCCTCTCCTGTCCCCTGTGCCCACTGGGCCGTCGGTCCCTTTGGAGGCCTGTCCCTCTCCTGTCCCCTGTGCCCACTGGACCTTTGGTCCTTTCGGGAACCTGTCCCCAGCCCACCGCTGCACTTGGAGGCTGCCTATGTCCACACACACTGGCATTGTCACTGGGGCCTTTTAACCACACGGGAAAGCAGGCAGGTCAGGTAACTCTCCCCACCCCCACCCTGTGTGCCCCCCACACACTCAGGGCCTGTGCCCAGTGCTCCTGCACTGCCACCCTCTCACATCCCCCTTCTCACACCCTACAAGCATCCTGTCTTCCAGCGCCCCCACTTCAAGGGCTCAACCCCCTAGTTGGTCTAAGCCGGAGTCTAAACCTGGAATGCCGCCTGCCTGCCTCACCCAGGACCAGTGCAGCTCCCCAGACACCAGTTGTGTGTGTGTGTGTGTGTGTGTGTGTGTGTGTGTGTGTGTTTATTTTTCTTTGAGATGGGGTCTCACTCTGTCACCCAGGATGGAGTGCAGTCATGCATCTTGCTCACTGCTCCTGCCTCAGCCTCCTGAATGGCTGGGACTATGGGCACGCACCACCATGCCCAACTGATTTTTGTATTTTTAGTAGAGACAGGGTTTCACCATGTTGGCCAGGCTGGTCTTGAACTCCTGACCTCAAGTGCTCTGCCTGCCTCAGCCTCCCAAAGTGCTAGAAGAACAGGCATGAGTCACTGCGCCCGGCCCCAGCCACCAGTTTGGTATGGCACCCAGGCGGCTGTGGCCCTGAGGACAGGGCCACCCTGGAGATCCTTACAGGGTGTCAGCCCACCCAGCCCCTCAGTGGTCAGAGCTAGTCAGAGCCCAGGGCAGAACAACTGACTCCAGGTTGTGGAGGGGCCCCTTAGGATCCTTCTGGGCACCCGGGGCGGGTGGGGCGGGAGCCTCCGTGCCTGAGACTGAGCTCCCTGTGGACAGCAGGGTGTGTGTGGGCGTCCTGCACAACCCCCTGTGGCCTCGTGCCCGTGCGGAGTGGATGGTCACCCGAGGGCGTGGATCACCCTCAAGGCTTCCAGATGCTGCCTGCAGAGCCACTCCTCCCTGCCTGGTGTGTGACACCGTCCATGGCTGCTCACTCCTGTGACCCTGGACCCACATGCTGGAAAACACCTGGATGCCAGTCCCCAGTCCTGTGCCTTCCCTGCTGTCCTGGCCCCTGGGCGGCCCCCGGGCTCTGCCCTATGTTGGGAACCCGGGAATTGCAGCCCTGCCCCCTGGCCCCAGTTTCTCTTTCATCAGGACCTGCTGGCCAGGTAACTCCTCACCCCCATAGTCTCCTTAGATCTGCTGGTCCCCCCAGTCCCACCTGTCTGCTGCCTGAGGTGCTCCCTCAAGGCCCGCTCTGCAGCTCTTGGCCTGGGGTGCTCCTCTCATGGTGCCGCCTGCACTCTGCCCCCTTTGGAGGTGGGGGCTTTGAGGGTAGGTGGCACTGTTCCGTGAAAAGGCTGTAGAGGCAGGGCACCCCCAAATACTGAAGGAGCCGGGAAATCAAAGGGGAGAGACAGGAAGCGTGTTGGTATCGGGCGATTCACGGGGGGAGTTTCAGACAGACGCGTGGTGTCGGGCAGCCACTAGACAGGTGGAACTTTGCACGGAAAACCCAACCTGGGGCTTGTATTCTGGGGAAAGTATCCATGACCTGGGAGGAATGCACAGGTGACTGGAAATGCCCCGGGCAGGGTGGCCGGGTTCCTCCTGCAGCGTCAGGTTCGTTTAGGAGGAAACTGGGCACTCCTGCTTTTTTTCTCCATGTGAATGCCAGGGAATGGGTGTTCCTACCGAAAGACACTACATCAACTAGACGGTCTCACCATTCCCAGACCTGGGCTTGCTCAGCGTATTCGCATTTAAATAAAGTCACTCTCGCCCCCGTAGCCCGCTAGACCCGTGCCATAAATGGGGTGGGGAGGCAGGGGCCTGGCTATTTGCTGTGTCCTGGACTGGCTCCATCTCATCTGCAAAATGGAGGTGACAGTCATGGTCTTTGCTTTGCAGGTGCCACAGGGTTATACGGGATGGACCACCCAGCCCTGTGCCTGCACAAGGGGCCATGCTGACGTGATGTCTGTGGGTGGGTCCACCCTCTGGTTGGGCTTCCTCCCTCCCTGGGTCTCGTCAAGGCCCCTGCCAGGTATCCTTGGGCGTGAGGCTCCTCCAGCCCCAGCTTTCAGCTCTGTGCAGGTGTGGAGCAGGACACACGCCAGGGCCTTGGCTCACACGGTGCCCCAGCTTGCATCTGCCCCCTCTGCCACGAAGCCTCAGCCCCTGTGGGTCCCAGTCACCGGCCCGCATTGCCCTCAGCCTTTCTGTGCCACTTCCTGCTCTCCGCCCGCACCCGCCTTCGGCCCAGCAGTGTGGCGTCACACACAGGCTGCTCGGCTGTTTCACGGAGACTCCCTACTCAAGGTGGTCTCAAAATCATGGACTTGGGGTCTCCGTGCGGCTCCTGGAGGGAGCTGGCTTCAACTTGGGGCAGGTCAGAAGCTTGGATCAGGTGTCCACGTGTGAAAGCCCCACCCCGCGGTCCTTCCTGTGACGGTTCTTCAGACCATATTGGGTTTGGTTCAGCCCACATTAGAGGAGGCCAGGCTCGGAGCAGGCGGCTCCTTTTCCATCACCACCAGGATCTAGGGGCCGGCGGGTCCTCCTCCCCCACTATGGATGTGGCCAGCTTCAGGGGTCTCATACCACGAGCTGCATCCTGGCAGGTGGCTTGGACGGCTGACATCCCCTCAGCAGGTCTCCCTGTAGGCCAGGAGTGGGTGGGGTCCAGCCCTCTGTGTGGAATGTTCTAGAATGTTCCAGTTGTGTGGCTTTTGGTTCCGGCTACCACCATGTGGCATTTATGGCATTCCTGGCCAGCACCCACTGAGATCAGAGGCCAACCCATCCCTCAGACACCCAGGGACCCAGCTGCTGCCATGGGGGCTGCCTCTCCCAACCCACCCCGCCCACGCTTCCCTCAGCTGTAGGACAAGGGTCTGTGGATGCGTGACAGCTGGGTGCTCTGCTCCTCGAGGGGCTGGGTGTGGGCCATGAAGAGTCAGACGTGTGCCGGTGGGGCAAGGGGGTCCGGCGGTCGGGAGCCATAGCTCTCTCTGACCCCTTCCCATAGCTGCTGACTCGGGAAAAGGCATGACCCCCACAGAGTCACAGGCCCAGCCTGGGCATCTCCTGATGGGAGTGCCCACCTCCCTCTGGCCGAATTTCTTCCTTCTCTGACTGAGCCTGATTTGAGCTTCTGACCTGCCCTGAGTTGGAGCCAGCCTTGAAGGCCAAAAGAAACGTCACCTCCTCCAGGCAACCTGCTCTGATGCCTCCCCCTCTGGCCTTAGCCTACGACGTCACATTTGAGGACACATCAACACACTTAGAGCAGCAGCAGTTCTGGCCACACAGGCAACACACGACACAGATACAAGGAGTGTTTCAAAAGCCCAGGCCTTGCAGCCAGGAGGCGTGGACCTGGGTCCGGGCCTTGCCCCTCTCCGAAGCTCCTCCCCTCTCAGAGACCATCCCATCTAAAAATGGGGGATTGGAGCACTGGCCGCTCCTCACTCCTTCCCTGCCAGTCAGATACTCCGATGACACGAGGCCAGATAAGGGGAGGAGTGGTGGGCTGGGCTGTGACCCTGAGCTCCTTCTCATCCCACTCCTCAGGCCCTGTCTGCTAGGAGCTGGGAGATCAGCCAGGGCCCGCCTGTGTCAGCCCATCCCAAGTGAATGTGGGTGGCAGATGGGCCTGGGGCTAAGCAGCCTTCTGTCCCCTAAGCTTTTTCTCGTCTCTGCTGGTGGTGACCTCCCACAACCCAGGGCAAGCCTTAGCTGTCCGTCCATCTGTCCACCATGTCCCAGATCCCAGACCAAGCCCTCTGCCTGGGGAGGCCTGCTGGGTATTGAATGAATGAATGAATGAATGAATGAATGAATGAATGAATGAACAAACTCTGGGGAGTGTTGCTGATCAGCCCAGGGCAGGCCTATGGTGGTTATAGACCATGGCGAGTCCTGGTCTCAGTCCAGGGGCTTGCTCTGCTGCTTGCTGGGTGACCCCTGCAAAGTGCCTCCCACACCCTCCTGCGTCCACTGTGACTCTGCTCTGCCCCTCAAGGTTCCCCTCCGCTCGGCCGGGGCAGGGTGGTCAGGGAGGCCTTCAGCTCCGCCCCTCCGTCACCGTCCTCAGTCCCTGCACCTCCCCAGCCCCTGCAGCCTTGGCCTCTGCTTCTGACAATGCTTCGCAGATTTCACAGCTGGCTATGCTTCTACTCTGGCAAAATATACATACAGTTTCCCATTTTACTATTTGTTTCTTTTTTCTTTTCTTTTTGAGAGAGTTTTGCTGGTGTCGCCCAGGCTGGAGTGCAATGGGGCAATCTCAGCTCGCCTGGGTTCAAGTGATTCTCCTGTCTCAGCCTCCCCAGTAGCAGGGATTACAGGCATGCGCCACCACACCCGGCTAATTGTGTATTTTCAGTAGAGACGGGGTTTCTCCATGTTGGTCAGGCTGGTCTCGAACTCCCAACCTCAGGTGATCTGCCCGCCTTGACCTCAAAGTGCTGGGATTACAGGCCTGAGCCACCACACCCGGCCTATCACGTGTCATTTGAGTCACGTTTCAGGACACAGCTCAGGAGCACATTCCCACTGTGCGGCCGTCACTGATGCCCATCTCTAGGATGTCTTTGTTTTCCCAGAGGAAAGTGCACCCGCGGCACCACCTCCTGCTCCCTGCCAGCCTCGGAGTCCTGTGTCCTTCGTCCCTAGACCCACGCCTGGTGTCTGTACCACAGTAGGGCTCCCTACCATGGGCTTCAAACCCATCCCTGTGCTCTTGACCTCATTCAGCATTGAACGTTCCTGGCAGGTCAGAGCAGGGACTGGCAGGGCGGGTCCTCAGGGAAGGGGCTGACGATGCACGGACGAATGCCACCTGGCTGGACAGGTGCAGAGGGGAGGTGCCCCCCACTCTGTGGACAGGGCTGGGGCAGACCCCACCTGGCTGAAAAGCGGAGCTCTGGAGAACAAGAGAGAACTCGAAGAGCCTTTGCTGTGAACGCGTTTTCCTCCCGTCTCTTGGGCCAGCTCATACTGATTTTGTTTTTGAGGAAAATGTATGATGTTTAATGGGAGGAAGAGGCATCTTCACTGCAGGGAGGACTCCTGGGGCAGCTGGGCAGCTGCCGTGTCCTGCAGGGCGGGCGGTGCCCCTGGAGCCCTGCGGTCTGCGACACGTCCCCTAAAGCCTAGGCTGCCTTGAGCCCACAGCAGCGCCGAGCAAGGCTCTTTCGTGCCTGCTTCTGGGGAGGGTGGAAGGCGAAGTCAGTGCCATGGGAAGGGAGGGGCTCTGCTTGCTGAGTTTGCCACGAGCCCCTGGCCCTCTCAGGAGCAAGTGTCAGCCCCATGGTACCGACAGGGAGACAGGCCTGTAGGCCCCATCAGGCTGAAAGGCCAGGCCTCCTGTGCTGGTTGGGTGGTGCTGTCGTGGAGCTCTGGGGTCTTCCTCTGCCTGCGCCTCCTCTAACGTGCCTGCATTTTCCACGCCCCTGGTCTAGGGTGAGGCTTGCGTCCTAGGGACTGAGGGGCAGGCAGGTGTCAAGGTGAGAGTTGGGGCTCTTGTGGCACCAAGGATGGGGCGGATGATGGCACACGTGGCCTGCCCTGGGCACGGAGGCGGACTGTGGAAGGACCCTGTTGCCTACTCCCTGGCTAGGGATTTAGGGGTGTGGTGTGAGCAGCAGCCCGGGGGCTCACTTGGATGTGGGTATGAGCTCACTGTGGCCTCCTGACTCTGCTGCTAGAGGGTGGGCTGGAGGCTGGAGGGTGGAAGGTGGCCTGCTAATGCCTCTCAGGCAGCATGCGACGCCTTTCCAGGGCCGGTGTCCTCCCTGGTGGCCCTGGAAAGGCTGAGGGGTCCCATCACTCATGTCCTGACAAATCTCATGTTCCTAGGAGGAAGCAGGTCTGGCTAGCCCGTGGCAGGCATGACCTCCTGACTGCAGACCCCATCAGAGCAGTGCAGGTGCCAGGGGAGAGCCCAGAGGGGAGCGAGGAGCTGTGTGGTTGGGGCCACAGATGCAGGCCCCGGCTGGGCTCTCAGGCTGAGGGTGGGAGGCCAGGCCCAGGGACCCTCTGGGAGAGGCAGGCGGCAGACACAGGACACAGCGTGAGGCCCGCCATGTCCCACTGCCCCGTGCCTGTCGGAGAGCTCCCAGATGGGTGCTGGCTGCAGGAATAGCATTTGTTCCTTTGAGACGGAGTCTTGCTCTGTCACCAGGCTGGAGTGCAGTGGCGCAATCTTGGCTCGCTGCAACCTCCACCTCCTGGGTTCGAGCAGTTCTCCTGCCTCAGCCTCTCAAGTAGCTGGGACCACAGGTGCCACCACCATGCCCAGTAGCTGGGACTACAGGCACCTGCCACCATGCCCAGCTAAGTTTTGTATTTTTAGTCAAGATGGGGTTTCGTCATGTCTGCCAGCCTGGTCTTGAACTCTTGACCTCAGGTGATCGTCCTGCCTTGGCCTCCCAAAGTGCTGGGATTACAGGTGTAAGCCACCACACCTGGCCCAAGAATAGCATTTTTAAAGGAAGAAAAGCAAGGTAGGAAGATGGGTCACAACCCCAGCGCCCTGCACGGGAGGCTGGTACCTTTGGCATGGCGTATGTCAGATATGAATGGAGGCACGAGGTGGGTTACATGGGCTCTGGCCCAGGGTGGCACTCACGGGGTACACGGCCTTGAGTGTGTGACGAGCTGGGCCAAGGGTGCGCTGTCCTCTGGGGTGGGGACTGGCTGTCCTCTTGGCGATGAGGCTGACCCCCATCCCATCTCCCCACAGCCTGCCTGCTCCGCTTCAGCGGACTCTCGCTGGTCTACCTGCTCTTCCTGCTGCTGCTGCCCTGGCTGCCGGGCCCCTCCCAGCGCAGCCTCCGAGGTAAGCTAGGGGACCCCACCCATGTTTCCAGGGTGGGAGGGGGCGGGCATTCGTTTGGGGCCAAAATTCATACAGCTTTCCTCATCTTTAACAGCCCGGGATGAAAGATGAGAGGTCTGGACATTTTTTTATTTAGACAGAGCCTGACTATCGCCCAGGCTGGAGTGCAGTGGTGCCATCTCGGCTCACTGCGACCTCTGCCTCCCAGGTTCAGGTAATCCTCATGCCGCAGCCTCCCAAGTAGCTGGGATTACAGGCGTGCGCCACCAGGCCCAGCTACATTTTTTCATATTTTTAGTAGAGGCAGGTTTCGCCATGTTGGCCCGGCTGGTCTTGAACCCCTGACCTCAGGTGATCCGCCCTCCTTGGCCTCCTAAGTGCTGTAATTACAGGTGTGAGCTTCCACGCCCAGCCATCAGAGTTTCTTATTCTCATTTGTAGGCTTCAAGCTAAACTCAGAATCTTTTCTAATCTGTGTTGCAGGACTATGGGGGTCGAGGGGGCTCATGGGGGTGGATGCCCTGTGTCCCTTGAGAGGCCACAGGGAGTGGGTGGGCTCCAAATGTCCCTCAGGAAGCTCAGACCTGTTTCTGTAGGCTCCAGGCATGTTTCCTGGCTGCTGAGGCTCTGGCAGCCTGGGGGGGGATTCAGCCACTTTGACCTCCCTCTACTGCCCTCTGTGGGGTTGGACCTCAGTTGACCTTGACCCACTTGCAGGGCGGGCGCAGGGGCTCCTCTGGGAACCACCACCTGGTCTGAGCTGGGCCAGGACTGTGTTGCTGTCTCGTGTCATCCAAACAGGGGGCAGCCAGGCCAGGCGCCGAGCTGCAGCCTGGGTAACAAGGGTGGCAGCAGACCCTTCGTTCTGTGACATGCCACCTCCCTGCCCTATGGGGCCATGTCCATTACTGTGCCAGCGTTTTAGGAGACCAGGCTGTGGAGCAAATACTCTGAGACCTGTCCCCAAAGGCCACTGGCCAGACATGGTGGGGCTGGGCCCTCTGCTGGCCTTGGGGTTTTGGAGGGTGATGAGTCGCTTGAAAGGGAGGTCCCCAGGGAGGAGCAAGAGACCTTCCCCAGCAGAGGACCGAGTGGGCGTGACTGCGGGACCAGGCAGGGAGACGTGCTCTCGGGCGCTGCCCTTCTGGGAGGTGGTGGATGCAGCAGGCTGGCTGCGTTGGGACTGGGCCGTGGCTGCAAGGTATCCACCTGGCCTGCCTTCCTGGGCTCGGGGTCTCTCCCTCCATCTCCAGAGCCGTGGGCTGGGGTGATTATCATACTCCCCAGTCCTGCTCCCTCTCCTCCTACGGTAACCCTGTGGCTGTATCCTGTCTGCCTGCCTGGCTAATCCAGGCCAGCCTCCCTGGTTAAAGATCAGCTATAGGGCAGCCCCCATTTCCTCTTCTGCCTGGACTCCGCCTCCCCTCTGCCTGCGAGCTCCTGTGTTCAGAGGTTCTGAGGACCGGGAGCTTCTGTGTTCAGAGGTTCTGAGGACCAGGACGCAGGCATCTTTGGGATCCCTTATTCTGCCAGCAGGTGGAAGGTCGCCCTCTGGCCTTTCAGTATCTGGCTCTGAGCATCCCACAGGTTTCCTCCTAGCTCAGGGTGCTTTGCGGTGGGCAGCTTTTTTCTTTTTTCTGAGATGGTTGTAGCCAAGTGAGTTAGAAGGAAAGTACCACACTGAGTTCCAATTGAGAGTCATTTATTGCTAGTGACTGTGAGCGAGCTCGAGCTGAAAATCTCTCGGCCCCGAGGAAGGGGCTTGATTTGTTTTTATACCTTGCTTAAAAAAGGGGAGGGGGAGCCTAGCTGAAGAAGAATTTACAGAAGCAGAACAAGCAAGTTAGATGAGGAGGCTGGTAACTAGGAGGCAGGAGGCTCCACAATTGCTGGTTACTAAGGGGGGTACACACCAGGGGCTCCACGATTGCTGGTTACTAAGCGGGGTACACACCAGGGGCTCCACGATTGCTGGTTACTAAGGGGGGTACACACCAGGGGCTCCACGATTGCTGGTTACTAAGGGGGGTACACACCAGGAGCTCCACGATTGCTGGTTACCAAGGGTGTTTTTCGGTACTTGCCATACAATCAATCAAGAGGGTATTCACAATAGCAAGTAGGTTTGCCAAGCAGGATATGCTTACGATGGTTATATGCCTCTAAAGTTCTAAGCACAGCATGGCCCCATCCCACAGCTCAGCCCTAGCTCAGTAGCTGGCTGGGCCTCATGGCTCAGCCTCAAGGCACCCTGGGTCCCTTGGCTGGTGGATCAGGTTCTGGGGGCTCCCACGAACACCCCACGGAGGGCTGGATGACCCAGGTATGCACTAAAGGGAGAAATGGCGGGAAGGGTAAGGTGGAGGTTAAGATGGAGTCCGTCTCACTTTCAGCAAGGTGGAGACTGTCAGGCTGACACAGGGTAGGTTAGCACAATGGAATCTTGCTCTGTCGCCCAGGCTGCAGTGCACTGGTGTGATCTCAGCTCACTGCAACCTCCACCTCCTGGGTTCAAGCAGTTCTCCCACCTCAGCCTCCCCAGTAGCTGGAATTACAGGTGCCTCTCATCATGCCAAGCTAATTTTTTTATTTTATTTTGTTGCTTGCTGAGATGGAGTCTGACACTGTCGCCCAGGCTGGAGTGCAGTGGTGCAATCTCGGCTCACTGCAACCTCTGCCTCCCAGGTTCAAGCAATACTCCTGCCTCAGCCTCCTGAGTAGTTGGGATTACAGGTGCCTCCCACCAGGCCCAGCTAATTTTTTTGTATTTTGAGTAGAGATGGGGTTTCACTGTGTTGGCCAGTGGTCTCAAATTCCTGACCTCACGATCCATCTGCCTCGGCCTCCCAAAATGTTGGGATTACAGGCATGAGCCACTGTGCCCGGCTAATTTTTGCATTTTTGTACAGATGGGGGTTTCACCATGTTGGCCAGGCTGGTCTTGAACAGCTGACCTCAGGTGATCGGCACTCCTAGGCCTCCCAAAGTGCTGGAATTACAGGCATGAGCCACTGCGCTCAGCGTTTTTTTTTTTTTTTTTTTAAAGGCAGTGGTGCCATCACGGCTCACTGAAGCCTCCACCTCCTGGGCTCAAGCGATCCTCCTGCCTTAGCCTCCCAAAGTGCTGAGATTACAGGTTGAGTCACTGTGCCCAGCACAGGCACTGATCTTGGATCACAGGTACAATTCAGGGGTGCAGAGAAGCATTTTGGGGAGGGGCCTAGTGTGGCTGAGTGCTGGGAGACGCTGGAGCCCTAGGCGTAAACCCCTCCAGGATATGTGGCTGGGGCTGGGTGGGCACCTCCCCATCATGGTCCCCATCCCGGGCCTCCCTTTTGCTCTGTGGAGCTGCTTCTGTGTGTTCCCGGGCCCTTGGCATTGTGTTCTGTAAATATTTCATGCCCCAGGCGCGACGGGAAACAGTTTAATCAGCAGTGGGAGAGAGCAGGTGCCCACCCAGGCCAGGGGAGGATTGGGGGTGGGAAGATGTGGAGAGGCCCAGGAGGACTTCCCCGCTGCCCAGTGTTCCGGGAGGGAGAGGAAAGTGTGAGGCTTGCCCGAGCCTCGTGCCCAGGGCTTTACGATCTGTGCTGCTGCTGGGCTTGGCGTCACCCTGCTGGAAGGTTTGACGCCATCTGGTCCTGGATCCCCTCGCAGGCATCAGCCTGACCCTTGGGGGTCTGGAGGTCGAGCTCAGACTCAGCAGGGAGGAGAGTACAGGGTCTGGGTGGGACTGGGGCTGGGGCAGCAGGCACAGGCCCTGGTGCTCCAGGCAGAGCCATAGGGGTCAACTCCCAGAGACCCACTTATTATTTAAGGACTCGGAGAAGCCCCATCCCTGCCTTAGGATAAAACCCACCTCTTACCATGCCCCCTGCAGGGAGGCCCTGCCACCCTCCCCAGCCTCACTGGTCAACCTTGTGTGGTCTCCATCCTCTGTCTCAAAAGCCCCCTCTTGTGGCCGCATCCCACAGCTCAGCCCTAGCTTAGTAGGTGGCTGGGCCTCAGGGCTCAGCCTCAAGGTACCCTGGGTCCCTTGGCTGGTGGATCAGGTTCTGGGGGGCTCCCATGCACACCTCACGGAGGGCTGCACACTCCCCAGCGATCAGGCCCAGCCCTTGTCCAGCAGGTATGGGGAGCAGGTGTTGTCCAGCAGGTGTGGGGAGCAGGTGTTGTCCAGCAGGTGTGGGGAGCAGGTGTTGTCCAGCAGGTGTGGGGAGCAGGTGTGGGGAGCAGGTGTTGTCCAGCAGGTGTGGGAGCAGGTGTTGTCCAGCAGGTGTGGGGAGCAGGTGTTGTCCAGCAGGTGTGGGGAGCAGGTGTTGTCCAGCAGGTGTGGGGAGCAGGTGTTGTCCAGCAGGTGTTGTCCAGCAGGTGTGGGGAGCAGGTGTTGTCCAGCAGGTGTGGGGAGCAGGTGTTGTCCAGCAGGTGTGGGGAGCAGGTGTTGTCCAGCAGGTGTGGGGAGCAGGTGTTGTCCAGCAGGTGTGGGGAGCAGGTGTTGTCCAGCAGGTGTTGTCCAGCAGGTGTGGGGAGCAGGTGTTGTCCAGCAGGTGTGGGGAGCAGGTGTTGTCCAGCAGGTGTGGGGAGCAGGTGTTGTCCAGCAGGTGTTGTCCAGCAGGTGTGGGGAGCAGGTGTTGTCCAGCAGGTGTGGGAGCAGGTGTTGTTCAGCAGGTGTTGTCCAGCAGGTGTTGTCCAGCAGGTGTGGGGAGCAGGTGTTGTCCAGCAGGTGTTGTCCAGCAGGTGTGGGGAGCAGGTGTTGTCCAGCAGGTGTGGGGAGCAGGTGTTGTCCAGCAGGTGTTGTCCAGCAGGTGTGGGGAGCAGGTGTTGTCCAGCAGGTGTGGGGAGCAGGTGTTGTCCAGCAGGTGTGGGGAGCAGGTGTTGTCCAGCAGGTGTGGGGAGCAGGTGTTGTCCAGCAGGTGTGGGGAGCAGGTGTTGTCCAGCAGGTGTTTTCCAGCAGGTGTGGGGAGCAGGTGTTGTCCAGCAGGTGTTGTCCAGCAGGTGTGGGGAGCAGGTGTTGTCCAGCAGGTGTGGGGAGCAGGTGTGGGGAGCAGGTGTTGTCCAGCAGGTGTGGGAGCAGGTGTTGTCCAGCAGGTGTGGGAGCAGGTGTTGTCCAGCAGGTGTGGGGAGCAGGTGTTGTCCAGCAGGTGTGGGAGCAGGTGTTGTGGAGCAGGTGTGGGGAGCAGGTGTTGTCCAGCAGGTGTGGGAGCAGGTGTTGTCCAGCAGATGTGGGGAGCAGGTGTTGTCCAGCAGGTGTGGGGAGCAGATGTGGGGAGCAGGTGTTGTCCAGCAGGTGTGGGAGCAGGTGTTGTCCAGCAGGTGTGGCAGCAGGTGTGGGGAGCAGGTGTTGTCCAGCAGGTGTGAGGAGCAGGTGTTGACCAGCAGGTCTGGAAGATGCCTACCGACCACTCCTCAGCACGCTGCATGGCGGGCCCCTGAGCGTTTGCAGGCTGTGCAGGAGTCCCAGGGCTGCAGGTCTTGGGGAGGTACATGCCCTGTCAGCCATCTAGTCCCATGCCCCGGGGCCTCCCACCCCTTCCTGTTTCCTCCTGAGAGCTCTGCAGGCTGGAGCAGCGGGAGCCCCACACTTTCGTTTTTTTGAGATGGTCACCTCTGTCGCCAGGCTGGAGTGCAGTGGCACGATCTCGGCTCACTGCAACTTCTACCCACCAGGTTAAAGTGATTCTCCTGTCTCAGCCTCCCAGAGTCGCTGGGATTACAGGTGCCCATCACCACACCCAGCTAATTTTTGTGTTTTTAGTAGAAACAGTTTCACTATGCTGGCCAGGCTGGCGTTGAACACCTGACCTCAGGTGATCCACCTGCCTCGGCCTCATAAAGGTGTGAGCCACTGCACCTGGCCCCCTGCACCTTTTTCTGCATGGCCAAGGGCCATGCTCAGCACCCCCCCCAGCCGTGGATGGGGGTGGCAAGAACAGCTCCCCACAGGCTCCCTCCAGCAGCGAGCGGATGGGCCGGGGCCACACAGTGGCTCAGGAACAAAGGCTGATGGACGGCTGCCGGCCAGAGCTGGGCGGGTCCCTGGCCCGAGCCTCCTCTCACTCCCTTTCCCAGGATGGAGAGGCCACTGTGAGCTGGGCCGTGGCCTTCGGGGTGTGTCCTGCCAGGAGGGAGTGTGAGTAGGGGAAGGAGACCCCACTGGGCCTCCTAGGCTTCCGGAAGAGAGAGCAGTGGGTCCCTGAGACGGTGGCCTGATCTCCATCCCTGGCCCGGTCTGTCTTTCCCAGCTCTGCATTTGGGGGTGGGACCTGCAGGGGCAGAGTGACAGGGTAGGCAGGGACAGGGGCTTCAGGTGGAAGAATGTGCAATGCCACACGACCCTTGAGGTCACGCTGTTTGCAGACCTGGGCATGCGTCGGAGAAGAGGGCCAGGTCAGGGTGCCCCCTCAGCCTCTGTGTGACTGCCCACCCCATGCAGGTCAGCAGGGCTTCGGTTGCTCTGCAGCTGGCCACCTGGCTCCCTCCCCTCTCCAGCAGCGTCTCTTCTTGGGGACAGGCTTCCCATCCCAGGGTGCCTCGCAGACTCTTAGCGCCCTAGTCTGATCGGGCCCAGCAGTGGTAACCTGTGCAAACCAGGATGTTCTGGCCGCCAGAGAAGTGAACCAGGAAGGAGGTAGGGACAACGGGAGGGAGTGACGTCCGTGGTGGAGCCAGAGACGGACATCCTGGACTGCAGTTGTGCAGGGCAAGGCGGGCGGGCGGGAGCCAGGTGGCCCCAGAGCCCTTCCCTGCTCGGGGATCTCTGGTCAGGCACTTTCCTCCCAGGCTGCTGGTTCGTGTGTGCAGGGAGCCCATCAGCCTGGGCACTCAGGGACCCAGACCTGCTCTCGGTGCCCAGGGTCCTCGCCAGCCCCAGCAGGAGCCCCACGTGCATGAGGGGCAGGTGCACCGTGGGTGTCTGTGTGTAGAACTCAAAATGCCTTCTGCAAATACCACATGCGCTGAGTGTCCAGTGCCACGGGGACCCTGCTGGCGAGGTCGCTTCAGTGTCAGGCTGGAGGGCGCAGTGAGCAGGACTCACAGCCCAGTTTCCCAGGCAGGCCTGGCAGGGGCCCGTTCCCCAGGTCAGTGGTTTCATGTTACCCCATGGTGGCCCTGCCGTACAGAGGCGGGGATGTGGGATGCCACTCTGGTGCCCGTCTGGAGCCCCTGTCTGGCGGCCCCATCTGGTGCCCCGTTTGGTGCCCATCTGGTGCCCCTGTTGTCTGGTGCCCCTGTTGTCTGGTGCCATCTGGTGCCCTTGTTGTCTGGTGGCCCTGTCTGGTGCCCCTGTCATCTGGTGCCCTGTCTGGTGTCCTCTCTGGTGCCCTTCTGTTGCCAGACTTGTGCTCTGCGGAAGCAGGTGTGAGCAGGGCAGTGAGAGGCTGGGCCCCATGGGTTCGGGGCATGGAGGCCCCGGAAGGTCCTGTCCTCTCAGAGTCCTGCTGTGGAGGTGGCGGCTGCATCCCCCCTTCCTGGCCTCTGTTTTCTATTCCTCCTCCCACCTTCCCTCCTGCTCATCCCTTCCATCCTCCACAGGTCAGAGGCCACAGCTGCAGGGTCAGCAGGTCAGGGCCTGGGGCAACCCCAGGAAGGCGTGAGTGTGAGAAGCTAGTCCAAACCTGCCTTGCCTGCGGACAGGGAATCCCGGGCATCTGAGTGCTGTCTGGCCGCCAGGCTGGGCGATGTGCAGGGCAGGTGCCTCGGCCATGGGTCACCAGCCGTCACTCCAGGAAGGGGGCCCGAGGGTCCGAGGCCAATCCCAAGTCTGTCACCTAACACCGATTGTGCCTGAAAAACTGAACAGAGTGGACACAGGCCCTGCGTTTGCACCCCGAGCTGAGAGAGGGCAGATGAGGTGCTGCCACCCCTGCCTGGCCCCCCGTCTCTCTCTCTGTGTACCTGTGCCTGGCAGGAGGTGGCAGCACCATCAGGTTGCCCAGAAGCCTTGTCCTGCTCCCAGCTTCCCAGCTCCCCATGGCCCCACTGGATTCAGGCCCCCAGCAGGGAGGCCTTGGGCTGCAGGGCGGGGGCTGGGCGGGCACGGCCTGTGGCTGGCACTTGGGAGCCCTGGCTTCGTCTTTGCTCTCTGCGTGCATGTGGATAGCTCACTCTCCAGCAGGAGTCAGGACCAAAGTCCTTGGTCCACCAGGGTCTGAGTCCTGACCCCAGGGCTGTGGACAGCTTTCTTCCCACCGCCGCACTTTCCGGCAGGAGCCTCCAAACCCTCACCCTGGGCCAGTGACTCCTGCACCACTGGCTGCTCCCAGCCACAGAAAATGCAGAATAGCCTGGGCCCTTCTCACAGCTTCCTGCAGCTCAGCGACAGCGAGGGTCTGGGTCTGGCTCTGGTCTGGGTCCGAGGTGGCGCACAGCAGGTGGCTGAAATGCCAGGCCGGCTGTAGTCACTGAGTACCATGCATACGGACACAACTTCCTGCAGCCTCTCAGCCCCAGGGAGGCAGCTTCGTGCCCACTTCTCAACAGACAGCCTGGCCCCGCACCCCCCACCACTCTGGCCACGGCTTCTCAGGGGCACTCCCGGTGCCTCAGCCTCCATCCAACTGCAGGCCCTGTGGGATGAGGTGGAGCTGCTCACCTCTCCTTGTGTTTATTTCCTCTGCTTCCAGAGCTGAGCAGTGGCAGGTATTTGCTGGATGAGCCAGGAAAGCTCAGGTGGTAACCCCTGGGCCTGGGCGGCCATTTCCTGCCTGCTTCCCCCAGGAAGGTGCCTGCCTCCTTGTCAGAAGAGTGAAGAGTGACCCCAGGGAGGCGTGGGGAGTGGGGCCGGCCTGCCTGCTGGGGTCCTGAGTCCGTGCCTGGCATGCGTCTCGGGCCTCTGGGCTGTGGCCTGGCTGGGGGCTTCTCCCCATCCCGAGTCCCACCTCACCCACCTGCTTTGCTGCAGGTCACACGGGCCGTCTCCTGCGGGCACTGCTGGGCCTCAGCCTGCTCTTCCTGGCGGCTCATCTCACCCTCCAGATCTGCCTGCACACCGTGCCCCACCTGGACCAGCTCCTGGGACCCAGCTGTGAGTCACTGAGGGCGTGGGGCAGGGATAGCCATCCTGGGTGTCAGGGAGAGGCCCTGCGGTGACCTCTAGTCTCCTGGGTCAGCAGGTCAAGAGGCGGGGTCGACTCAGCCTGATTCATGTCTGAACCAGATTGTGAAGGTGAAATACCTGGGGGTGACCAGGCCATGGCGCTGGCTGAGCAGACCCTGACTTGGGTTCCCCCGTCTTTCTCTGCAGGCAGCCGCTGGGAGACACTCTCGAGACACATAGGGGTCACGAGGTAAGACACCCGTACCGCCCCCCGGCCTGCCACCTGCAAACCTCCCTTGGGGATTTCAGGTCCCTGGAGGGGCGGGGGAGACCCAGAGCCCCATCCGTGCTCCCACCCACCCTGTCCTCCTGGTCTGTGGCCGCTCCCTGCTCTCCGCAGGCTGGACCTGAAGGATGTCCCCAATGCCATCCGGCTGGTCGCCCCTGACCTGGGCATCTTCGTGGTCTCCTCCGTCTGCCTCGGCCTCTGTGGGCGCCTCGCAAGGAACGCCCGGCAGAGCCCACGTACTCAAGAGCTGGTAAGGGGCAGCTGCATCTCCTGTGTGTCAGGGGGGTCATTCGAGAGCCGTGGTCTCAGCCATTTTGAGGGCTATTTTAATCTTTCTTATACAAATGTAGGCTTTTGTAAGTCCGTGTTCAGAGGGGAGGAAGTTGCAAGCCCCCCCACCCGCACCCTGGGCCCAGCCTGCGCTGTCATCCATCCAGACCCTTTCTACCCTCTGGGCTCTGCCTCTGGTCTGAAACGTCCATGCCCAGGATGGCATCTGTGCCCCTAGAAACTCTTCATAGGGGGATGATTTGGGGCCACACATTGGTGGGAACCGGCAGTGCTGAGTGGGTCTGGCTGGAGAGCCCCTGAGGCGGGCTGAGAAGAGGCAGCCTCCGCCAGCCCATGCGTGGACAGGCAAAGAGGGCTGGCAGCCCCCGGAGCCATGGGCCTGAAGCAGGGCCTCTGTCCTCAGAGGGCCAGGCCTTGGAGTGACTTGGAGGACCGGCCCTGGGGAATCTCTCACCTACGGCTGCTTCCCACGGGCAGGGTGTGAGCTGGGGCCGCAACACTCCCATGGACTGCTCAGCCTTCCTGCCCCTGCCCGGCCTCACACTCTCTCCCGCAGCTCAGCCAGGATTTCTGGCCATCTGGGTGTCCTGGCCCAAGAACTCCCTGCCCGCTCCCCCCCAGGGACGCCAGGGCACACAGCCTCCTCCCACCTCCCCTCCCAGCATCCACTCATTGGACAGCTGACGCTTGCCAGGCACGTGGGCCTGGACTTCCAGGAGCCCCAAGAGGGAAAGGGGTCCCCCAGCCTCACAGTGGGTCGGGTGCACCCACTCAGCCTGCAGAGCTGGCCTGCCCTCCTGCCTGTCCTATCCCCACCCCACGGGGCAAGTCTGGCCCCTGAATTTCAGAGGCTGGAATGGGGGCCTGGAGGTCAGGTGGCATTTCCGGGCATTCGTGGGGGTCCGACCATCATCGAGGCTGTGCCGCTGCCTGTCCTTCAGGTGTCCCACCCCTCCCTCAGCAGCCCCTCCATGCTGGCAAGGGCATGGGGCACCAGCTTCCTGGAGCTCAGCTGCCGGGAAGGGGCTGGGTGGCCGGACTCTGGTCATCCTGGTGTGATGGGATCCTGAGTGGGTGGCCAGTTTGGACAGACTTCAGAGTGAGGTGGGGGCCTCACTCAAGGCACCTGCAGGGCACAGTTCCAAATCTAGGAGCCCCCTGCCCCGGCCTGGCAGGGCTCCCGGGCACATGGCCCCAGGCGACCCTCGCTCCCACACATGGGCAACACGCACACATGTGTAGCCATTCGTCAGGTGTGCCAGCCAGCCTGAGGGGCACCGGCCACTGGAGGGGGTAAGGGACATCTGCAGCGTCACTGCAGTGCATGGGGCCCAAATCCGGGCTGGGCGGAGGCCTCACACCTGTCCTTCCACAGCAGCCGCTCTGTTCTCTCCACTCCCAGAATTGCTCATTTTTCACAGCTCTGCTCAGATTTCCCAGGGCCAGGGCCAGGCTGTGGGCGGGGTGAGCTCAGCCCTTCCAGCCCCAGCCCTGGCGCTCCGGGGTCTGGTGGGAGAGCCCTGGGTGTGAGCCATGGTGCCCTTCAGTCCGACCCAGACTTGCTCGGCTGCCATGTGGTCTCTGAGAGGGGTGGGCGCAGGGCCTCAGGCTCTCCTGACCTCATCTCCCCGTTCCCCTGGCCTTGGAGACTCCCAGCACCCCTGAAGCCCTGGATGCCTGTGAGGACGGGATGGGTTTGCTTCATCCGTCCCACCAAGCCCCCGTCCCATTTGACAGAAGGGGAACAACCTCCGAGAGGCTGAGTAACGGGCCTTGGCCTGCACAGCGAGGAGACTGTCAGAGCCGGGATGGGGTCTGTCGTCCAGCCCCACAGCCTGTGCTCTCAGCCTGGGATTCGGTGCCTCAGCCACCAGGAGAGCTCCCGGCTCACAGATGGGGACACTGGGCTGCTGGCAGGCAGAGCTGGGCATCTGACGACAGCCGTGTTCTTTCCACCACACCCTGGCTTTCCCCTCTGGAAACAGCTGTTCTGGGAAGTCTATAGTCAGGACTGGGGAAAACAGGCTGGCAGGTCTCTCCCCCAACCCCGGGCAGGGCTGTCACTTCTAGGCAGCTGGCCACCTCTGTTCCCCCAGATGGTCAGGGAGAGCAGGAGTACCACCCCTCACCTCTATGCATAGCTGGCAGGGGTGCCCAGGAGACTGTGGCGCCTGGCCACATCCCTCAGGCCCCCCTTGCTCTCTAGAGACCCCCCGCACGGGTGTAGACTAGGCCCTGCCACTCCCGGCTGTGTAGTTGGGGCGGTGAAGTGTTCTGGTACAGTCTGCGGTCAGTCTGTACCTGGCCAGGTCATCAGGTGCCAGGGCTTGGCAGCACACACCTGGGTCTTCAGCCAGGGTGGGAGCTGCTACCAGGAAGGCCTGGAGGGCCTGTGAGCTCCAGTGAGGAAGGAGGAAGGTGTTGGGCGGGCTTCAGAGACAGCCGGGGCCCGTGCTCAGAGAGGCTGGCCTGTGGCCCTCAGAGGCTAAGGACGTGGTCGCCACCTGCTCTGCTGGCTGGGCAAGTGTGGGCTGGAGAGGTGGCCTCCATGCCACACACCTGACCTTCCTCCTGCCTGTGACCTTGGCAGGATGATGACGAGAGGGACGTGGATACCCGCCCCCTGGCCGGGCTGCAGGAAACCCTGACGCTGGCCCCTACGCGGAGGTCACGGCTGGCCGCTCGGTTCCGGGTCACAGCCCACTGGCTGCTAGTGGCTGCTGGGCGGGCCCTGGCCGTAACACTGCTCGCACTGGCAGGTACCCACTGAGGCAGGGGGCACTGGCAGTCACACTGGGAAGGGTCTCAGAGCTCCCCAAAGGTTGCAGAGACAGTGGGAGACACAGCACTGGCTGGGTACAATCCTGTACACCCCCGCCCCGCCCCGCCTCGCCCCACAGGTATCGCCCACCCCTCGGCCCTGTCCAGCGTCTACCTGCTAGTCTTCCTGGCCATCTGCACCTGGTGGGCCTGCCACTTTCCCATCAGTGCTCTGGGCTTCAGCAGACTCTGCATCGCCGTGGGCTGCTTTGGCGCCGGCCATCTCATCTGCCTCTATTGCTACCAGACGCCCTTTGTACAGGCTCTGCTCCCACCTGCCGGCATCTGGGCCAGGTAAGGACTCGCCACATAGCCCCTTTTCCCTCCTGCCCCAGTCCTGCCCACCTGGCCCGTCCAGCCCGTGTGGCCCCACTGCCTCCAGGGCAGTGGGCACAGTGTGACAGGCCTTCTATGGACAGGGTGCTGGGTCTCAAGGACTTTGTGGGTCCCACCAACTGCTCCAGCCCACACCAGCTGGTCCTTAACACCAGCCTGGACTGGCCCACATATGCCAGCCCCGGGGTCCTGCTGCTGCTGTGCTACGCCACGGCCTCTCTGCGCAAGCTCCGCACACACCACCCCTCCAGCCAGGTGAGCGGCCGCCACCCTCGGAGTGGAGGGGGCTTAGGCCAGGCCACGGGGCCCAAGGGGCTGGTCTCAGGGCCTCCTGCCTCTGGGTGGATCATAGAGCTGATCTGGGCTCAAGGCTCTGGTCTCTGCAGAGGGAGGAGGCGGCCAAGGGGGACGACGCTCGGGAACCGGAGCTGGAGCTGGAGCTGGAGCTGGCAGAGCTGGACCAGTGGCCCCAGGATGGGGAGGCTGTGCAGGTGAGCAGCCGGGTGGCTGGGGGCACGGGGCCAGCCCCTGCACGGCTCACTGCTGCTCGTCCACAGCACATGGTGCCCACCACACCTGATACCGAGGCTGAGAACTGTATCGTGCACGAGCTGACTGGCCAGAGCCCTGTCCGGCAGCCACCCGGTGAGTGCCCGTGCTCCCCCCACCTTCCAGTCCCACCTGCCTGGGGAGGAGGCCGCTGCTGCCCCCTGGTGGCCGTCTGGCGCTCTCCCATGCTGGCAGCACCCTTCTGCTTCCTGTCCCGTCGGGTGCCCAGGCAGCCACGTGATGGTGTCGCTGACCACCCCCCCAAACCCCTAGGGCAGCCATGTGGCTGTGTTGCTGACCCCGTGAGGTCTCCAGGTCCCCCAACCCCACCCCAGAGAACGTGGCTGTGCCATCTTGTTCTGTTTGCTGTGGGAGCTACTCCAGGTGGCCCTGTGGTCCCAGGAGGCCACTTGTTGTGGGCAGGGGCCAGCCAGGGAACTCCATTGGCCATTTCGCCTTGGAAGGGCCTGGGGGCTCTTTCTGGCTGCTTTCTTTCTTTACCGTAACTCCTGATTTTCCATTTTGCAATGTGTTTCCGAATGAAGCAAGTGAAGGCAGGGCCTTGGGGCGGGGATCCCAGGGTCTTCAGGTGCACAGACCTGGAAGGGGGTCAGGCCCACCTTGTGCACCCCACCGTTTCAAGGAAACTGACATCCAGAGAATGGCAGGTGCTGGCTGGGCAATGCCTCACTCTCAAGGGCAGTGTCAGCCCAACCGCTGGACCCCATGTGTTCTGCCCAGAGCCCCCCACGGCTACCATGGGCCTGTCCGTCCTGCTGTGTGCTTGCCCACGGCCCAGATTTTAGGGCATAGTCAGATGGGGGGGCCTGAAGATCACCTTGCTGGAGCTGACCTCTGCCCCCATCTGCAGTGCGGCCCAAGCGGGCTGAACCTAGGGAGGCATCCCCTCTGCACAGCCTGGGTCACCTCATCATGGACCAGAGCTACGTGTGTGCGCTCATCGCTATGATGGTAGGTGGTCCCGGGGGGCGGGCAGGTGTGGGGCACTGCCCAGGTGGGCGGCTCTGCAGCCCCCTCTGCCGCACAGGTGTGGTGGCCCCGGGGGGCAGGCAGGTGTGGGGCACTGCCCAGGTGGGCTGCGCGGGCAGCTCTGCAGCCCCCTCTGCCGCACAGGTGTGGCCACGGGGGGCAGGCAGGTGTGGGGCACTGCCCAGGTGGGCTGCGCGGGCGGCTCTGCAACCCCCTCTGCCGCACAGGTGTGGTGGCCACGGGGGGCGGGCAGGTGTGGGGCACTGCCCAGGTGGGCTGCTCGGGCAGCTCTGCAGCCCCCTCTGCCGCACAGGTGTGGTGGCCCCGGGGGGCAGGCAGGTGTGGGGCACTGCCCAGGTGGGCTGCGCGGGCAGCTCTGCAGCCCCCTCTGCCGCACAGGTGTGGCCACGGGGGGCAGGCAGGTGTGGGGCACTGCCCAGGTGGGCTGCGCGGGCGGCTCTGCAGCCCCCTCTGCCGCACAGGTGTGGTGGCCACGGGGGGCGGGCAGGTGTGGGGCACTGCCCAGGTGGGCTGCTCGGGCGGCTCTGCAGCCCCCTCTGCCGCACAGGTGTGGTGGCCACGGGGGGCGGGCAGGTGTGGGGCACTGCCCAGGTGGGCTGCGCGGGCAGCTCTGCAGCCCCCTCTGCCGCACAGGTGTGGTGGCCACGGGGGGCAGGCAGGTGTGGGGCACCGCCTGGGTGGGCTGCTCGGGCGGCTCTGCAGCCCCCTCTGCCACACAGGTGTGGAGCATCACCTACCACAGCTGGCTGACCTTCGTGCTGCTGCTCTGGGCCTGCCTCATCTGGACGGTGCGCAGCCGCCATCAGCTGGCCATGCTGTGCTCGCCCTGCATCCTGCTGTACGGGATGACGCTATGCTGCCTACGCTACGTGTGGGCCATGGACCTGCGCCCTGAGCTGCCCACCACCCTGGGCCCCGTCAGCCTGCGCCAGCTGGGGCTGGAGCACACCCGCTATCCCTGCCTTGACCTTGGTGCCATGGTGAGTGTGCACCACCACATCTGGGGGGGGTGCCTGAACCCTTGCCTGGGAGAGTGGCAGCGCCAGGGAGGCGGGTTCGTGTCCATCTATCACAATGGGGTCTCCTGCCAGCCCAGCACCAGCCCAGAGTAGCTTCTCAGTGAGCGTTTGTTGGCTGAATACGTGGACAAGCTAGTGTTGCTGTGTCCCTGCCTCTGAGTGTGGGCTCTGCCCATCAGCACCATGCATGACCCTGGGTCTTAGTGACAAGCCGTGCGGGCCATGTGTTCACAGAGTGCCCACCTGTCTGTGTGAGATGGCAGTGCCAGCATTCTGTCTGTCACCTGTTTGCAGGCCAGCGGGTTGTATGTCAGCTGAGGGACTTGTGAGCCTGTGTGTGCAGACATGCGCCTGTGTGTGGGCCTGTGTGCGTATGAGCCTGTGTGTGGGCCTGTGTGCTTGTGAACATGCACGTGCATGGCTCTGTGTGGGCCTGTGTATACAGATGTGTGACTCGTGTGAACATGTATGAACCCATGCACACATGGCCGTGTGAGCATGTGCTCATGTGCCTCTGGGAGGGTGGAGCGAGTGGGTGTTCAGTGCCTGCAGGGAGGCTGGTGTGGATGGGCTGGTAGCAGCTGCCTCCCTGAGGGCTCCCGCCTGCCCCTGGTGATGGGAGAGGCGCTGGCCCCGGCTGACTGGCACCCTGCCCCTGGTGATGGGAGAGGTGCTGGCCCCGGCTGACTGGCACCCTGCCCCTGGTGATGGGAGAGGTGCTGGCCCCGGCTGACTGGCACCCTGCCCCTGGTGATGGGAGAGGTGCTGGCCCCGGCTGACTGGCACCCTGCCCCTGGTGATGGGAGAGGTGCTGGCCCCGGCTGACTGGCACCCCGACTTGTGGCAGTTGCTGTACACACTGACCTTCTGGCTCCTGCTGCGCCAGTTTGTGAAAGAGAAGCTGCTGAAGTCGGCGGAGGCTCTGGCTGTGCTGACCGAGGTCACTGTGGCAGACACGGGTGAGTGTCGGGACAGGGTCGGGGGCTGCCCTCCTGCCGGGCCCGATGCCATTGCCGGCCTCCTGGCTTGGCCCATAGAGCCCACGCGGACGCAGATGCTGCTGCACAGCCTGGGGGAGCTGGTGAAGGACGTCTACGCCAAGTACTGGATCTACGTGTGCGCCGGCATGTTCATCGTGGTCAGCTTCGCCGGCCGCCTCGTGGTCTACAAGATCGTCTACATGTTCCTCTTCCTGCTCTGCCTCACCCTCTTCCAGGTGCCCTCCCCGAGGCCCTCGCGCTAACCCTTACAGTCCGCACAGCCCTCTACCTCCCCAGGGTGCTCACTGCCCCCCCTCGCCTGGCAGGTCTACTACAGCCTGTGGCGGAAGCTCCTCAAGGCCTTCTGGTGGCTCGTGGTGGCCTACACTATGCTGGTGCTCATCGCCGTCTACACCTTCCAGTTCCAGGACTTCCCTGCCTACTGGCGCAACCTCACAGGCTTCACCGACCAGCAGTGAGTCCAGGCCGGGGGGTTGGGGCCGCGGTGCCGACACCGGGGCATGCACTCTCCCCGGGCTGCGGCGGTTCTGCGGGAGCCGGGCCGGTGCTGACGCGGGCCGTCCTGGCACAGGCTGGGGGACCTGGGCCTGGAGCAGTTCAGCGTGTCCGAGCTCTTCTCCAGCATCCTGGTGCCCGGCTTCTTCCTGCTGGCCTGCATCCTGCAGCTGCATTACTTCCACCGACCCTTCATGCAGCTCACCGACATGGAGCACGTGTCCCAGCCCAGCACGCGCCTCCCACACTGGACTCACAGGTGCGGCCCCGGCCTCCCTGGCCGCCTCGGAGGGGTACAGCCTCCTGGGCCAGGGAGGGAGCCGGGGGATTCAGACACGGGCCACAGCCTCCACGTTTGGATCCTGACGGGCATTTGCTCCTGCTCTGGGGCTGGGGTAGCGTGGAGGTCACGGGGACCAAATGTGAGCTGCAATGGAGGCGGTGCAGGTGGGGGCTTCTTCCAGCTGTGGGAGATGAGAGGGGCAGGAACACAGGTGGGAGGTGACACTGTTGGACCCTCTCCCAGGCAGGATGCAGCCAGCGGGACCCCACTGCTGCGGCAGCAGCCACAGGAGGAGGATGAGGGCCCCAGGGATGAGGGGCTGGGCATGGACATGCCCCACCAGGCCATGCAGGTGCCTGAAGGTGAGTCGGGCAGGCACAGCACGGCTTCCCCCCGGTTTGCTGTGCACGTCCCTTCTGAGCCCTAGAGCCTCTTCTGCACAGGGGACCCGGGAACCCCCATTTCAGCTCCTGCTGCTCCCACCATCACAGGCACAGCCAAGTGGGGCCTGGTGGCCGAGCGGCTGCTGGAGCTGGCGGCCGGCTTCTCAGACGTCCTGTCACGCGTGCAAGTGTTCCTGCGGCGGCTGCTGGAGCTGCACGTCTTCAAGCTGGTGGCTCTATACACTGTCTGGGTGGCCCTGAAGGAGGTGTGTGGCAGGCACCTCAGCTTCCCGCCTGGGGTGGGGTGGCCTCCCCGAGCCCGGCCTCACGCCCCCATGCCCCCGTGCCCGCCCACAGGTGTCGGTGATGAACCTGCTGCTGGTGGTGCTGTGGGCCTTTGCCCTGCCGTACCCGCGCTTCCGCCCCATGGCCTCCTGCCTGTCCACCGTGTGGACGTGCGTCATCATCGTGTGTAAGATGTTGTACCAGCTCAAGGTTGTCAACCCCCAGGATTACTCCAGCAACTGCACCGAGGTACCGGCCCCCGCCGGCCGGGTCGGGAGGAAGCTCCAGGCAGCCGTGTTCAAGGTCCCACCCTCCCCGGGCGGCCGCTTCAAGGCAGCGGGGCCAGCAGTGGAGGTGGAGGGCCCTTCCCCGGGGAATCAAGGGGGCTTCTTGGAGGCAGCATCCTTCCACCTGATCTGTGGACTGGGGCCCACTTCCCGCACACAGGGGTGTCCGTCCGGACAGGGCTGTGGCCCAGGGTGTCCCGCGGTGAGGACCAGGCCCCGACAGGGAGAGATGCCCAGGGAGCTGCTGGCAGGCGCTTCCTCACATGTCCCTCCTCCCTGGACCTCTCTCCACTCCCCCAGCCCCTGCTTCCCTTTTCTGCAACACCTGGTCCCCTTCCCTGTGACGGTGGCTCCAAGGCCAGCAGCCCCCGTGTTCCTGGCTGGGGCAGCAGTGGACCTGCCCTGGAGCTGTGGCTGTGGTGGGCTCCAGGCAGGACTGGGGGGCACTGTGGCCTGGGAGGGGGCACTGATGCCCGGACTCTTGCCAGCCCTCCCCCAACAGCACCAACCTGCTGACCACGGAGATCAGCCAGTCCCTGCTGTACCGGGGGCCCGTGGACCCTGCCAACTGGTTTGGAGTGCGGAAGGGGTTCCCCAACCTGGGTTACATCCAGGTGAGTGAGGGGCTGGTGGGCTGGTGGGCTGGTGGGCTGACCTGGGTTACATCCAGGTGAGTGAGGGGCTGGTGGGCCAGTGGGCTGACCTGGGTTACATCCAGGTGAGTGAGGGGCTGGTGGGCTGGTGGGCGGCTGAGCACCCGGCTGCCCTCTGACCCTCGCCTCCTGCAGAACCACCTGCAGGTCCTGCTCCTGCTGGTGTTCGAGGCGATCGTGTACCGGCGCCAGGAGTACCACCGCCGGCAGCACCAGCTGGCCCCACTGCCCGCCCAGGCCGTGTTCGCCAGCGGCACCCGCCAGCAGCTGGACCAGGACCTGCTTGGCTGCCTCAAGTACTTCACCAACTTCTTCTTCTACAAATTCGGGCTGGAGGTGAGGAGAGGGTGTTGCCCCTCCTGGGGCAGGGCTGGGTTGAGGGGAGGGAGGGTGACTGCAGGGGCCGCAGGCCTGGGCCCCACGTGGGTCTGCTTGGGCCGTGGGGTGCGGGGGCACAGGGCCAGGCAAGGCTTCCCCCGGACCCCTTCAGTGTGTTGGTGCTGACAAGAGGCAGGAGGCCAAGTCAGATTCACTCTGCCATCCAGCCCACGTCTGGGAGCCTCAGTTTCCCCGGCATGATGGCAACCGCCAGCCCCTCCAGCCCTCTAGATGGGGCTGCTGGCCCTGTCCTTGCTCAGTGCCCACAGCCTCCAGGCAGGGCTGCCTGTGTCTGAGGCCCGCCAGGTGGGAGGAGAAAGCCCCCTTCTCCGGACTCAGCCCCGCCCGACCCTGCCCTCTCCCACCCCAGATCTGCTTCCTGATGGCCGTGAACGTGATCGGGCAGCGCATGAACTTCATGGTGACCCTGCACGGCTGCTGGCTGGTGGCCATCCTCACCCGCAGGCGGCGCCAGGCTATCGCCCGCCTCTGGCCCAACTACTGCCTGTTCCTGGCGCTGTTCCTGCTGTACCAGTACCTGCTGTGCCTGGGCATGCCCCCGGCCCTGTGCATCGGTGAGGGGCACGTGGCTGGGGTGGGCGTGGGCTTCATGGCCTTGTGGATGCCCGGAGGATGTTTCTTGCCTGCCCCGGGCTCCTGTCCACCCTCCTGGACTCAGCCTCGGCCTCCCTCAGTCGCTCCTGTGTGTCTCCTGCCCGTCCCGCATGCCACCTGGGCACTGTCACCTGCGTTCCCTCTCGGGGGTGGCCTGGCCCCTCCCGGCTCAGCTGTTCTCGCTTCCTTTTTGCCCCATATTCTCTTTTGAGCTATTTCAACCTTCAGGGAAGTCGTGGGAGTCCTCTCTGGGCCCCACGAGGGGCAGCCGGGATGCCTCACACCCAATGCTGCCTGGAGCATGGGTCTCCTGGGGGCTGACGTCCCTGAGCCCACAGCCCCCACACATGGGCCGTCCACTGACGGTGTCACTGTTCAGCGTGTCCTCTGGATTGAAGCAGCCCCAGCCTCAGCACTTCCTTTGCGGCGGTCTGGTTTTGAGATAGGATCTGGTCTGATGCTTGCCCGTGATCTCTCGTCTCGGGTCACCACCCCCGCCACCCCCCACCACCTCGCTTGTCTCTCGGGAAGCTGTGGAGGGTGCTTGGCGGTGTTGCCGGGGCGCTGAGCCTGGACTTGTGTGGCTGTCCTGGTGTTGAGGGTCTGTTCCAGGCGTATAGCGCCCTGTGGTCTGAGGCAGGGGAGTCACCTTCGTGTGTCCTGTCTGCCCCGAGGTGGCACCCAGCCTGTTGGTGTCGGCGGGCTGTCCGGGGCCGTCCTGCCACAGCTTCAGGAAGGTCTTCTGTTGTCTGTGCGTCTGTCAGCTGGGTTTCCTGCAAGGAGAGCGGCCACTTCTCACTAGCATCAGCAGCCCCTGGGCGTCCCCTCAGCTGCGCGGACCCTGGCCCTTCTGGTGACACGTGGTCACGTTGTCCTGGATCCAGTCCTCGGGCCCTTTGAGCCGTGCCCCGGAGCTCCTGCCCTGTCTTCCAGTCAGGCCCACTGAGGCACAGTTCAAACACAGCAGGCGTAACCCTAACCCTCGTGGCCCCAGGCCACCCTCCCCCTGCCGGCCGCTGCTCTGACCATCTCTAGGTCTGCCTTTGCCAGACACCTCAGGGGCAGGCGCACCCAGCTTGGCACCTTCTGTCGCACAGGGAACGGCGGAGATTCACCCATGTCAGTGTGCCAGCAATTCAACTCGATTTTCCACTTCTTATGTGGACTTACCCCAGAGTCACAGGGAGCCCCCAGTGCCGCAGTGCCAGCCTTCCCGAGTGTCAGCCATGAACACAGGCCAAGGAAAATGACCAGAACAAGACGGGCTTCCGTGCTGAGTGGGAATGGAGCTTCCGGCACGTGCCTCCCCCGTCCTGTCCTGGGACCCCGCACGGGAGCCCAGATGGCCTCTGTCCCCTCATGGGTTCCTGTCTCTCCTTGTCTTTCCCGGCCTTGAGACTTCTGACGGAGCACTGGGCTGTATTTTATAGAGTACCCCTCGGTGTGCCTTTCATTAGACCAGCTCTTGCATTTTGGGTACCACCACAGACGTGAGACGTCCCTCCAGTGCCCCTCACTGGGGTCGACGCACCTTCTCCACTCACCTGCAGAGGCCCGCGTCTGCCAGACTTTCTCATGTGACGTTGGCATTCTTTTTGTAATGAATCAATTCTTGGTCAGACAAGGTGGCTCACGCTTGTAATCCCAGCACTTTGGGAGGCCAAGGCAGGTGGATCATGAGGTCAGGAAACCAAGACCATCGTGGCCAACATGGTAAAACCCCATCGCTACTAAAAATACAAAAAATCAGTCAGGCGTGGTGACGGGCACCTGTAGTCCCAGCTACTCGGGAGGCTGAGGCAGGAGAATCGCTCGAACCCGGGAGGCAGAGGTTGCAGTGAGCTGAGATCCCGCCACTGCACTCTGGCCTGGTGACAGAGCGAGACCCCGTTTCTAAGTGAATACTTATATATATACATACGTATTTATTTGGCTGGGCATGGTGGTTCATGCCTATGACCCCAGCACTTTGGGAGGCTGAGGCAGGAGCATTCCTTGAGGCCAGGAGTTTGAAACCACCCTGGTCAACTTGGCAAGAATCCTTTTTTTTTTAGAAGGGAGTCTTTCTCTGTGGACCAGGCTAGGATGCAACCTCTGTCTCCTCGGTTCAAGCAGTCCTCCTGTCTCAGCCCCCGCCCCCAGCAGCTGGGACTAGAGGCATACACCACCATGCCCAGCTAGTTGTTGTGTTTTTAGTAGAGATGGGATTTTACCATGTTGGCCAGGCTGGTCTTGAACTGACCTCAGGTGGTCCACCTGCCTTGGCCTCCCTGAGTGCTGGAATTGCAGCCCCTATGCCTGGCCCTATTTGTTAATGCTGCTTTTCTCTTACCTCATCTCTTCCCCATAGATGAATTGGCATCTTCTGTAAGGAAAAGCTGTGCTTTCTCCTCTGCTGATTTATTTATTCAGTTATTTATATCTGGGTGGATACAGGATGTGGGACCAGCACCATTCACTTTGTCTAGTGTGTGGTCATGGCTTTGGGCCCTGGGAGCTCCGGGCCCTGTGGGCCTGCCCCACCCTTTTCAAGTTCGTCTTTTTTCTTTTGAGATGGAGTCTTGCTCTGTTGCCCAGGCTGGAGTGCAGTGTGGTGATCTCAGCTCCCTGCAACATCTGCCTCCTGGATTCAAGCTATTCTCGTGCCTCAGCCTTCCAAATAGCTGGGATTACAGGCGCACACCTCTACCACACCCAGTTAATTTTTCTATTTTTAGTAGAGATGGGGTTTCACCATGTTGGCCAGGCTGGTCTTGAACTCCTCACCTCAAGTGATCTGCCCGCCTCGGCCTCCCACAGTGCTGGGATGACTGGCATGGGCACCGCACCTGGCCCGTCTTGTTTTCTGCTCCAGGCACGGCTGTCTCATCTTGTGCTTCCCCAGTACAGCCCTGCACGCACAGCCACTGCTCCGGGGAGCGGATCGAGTTCCAGGAGCATGAGGTTTAGAGAGCGACATCTGCAGCAGGTGTGCCTGTCGCTACGGGGCTGCCTCTGCCTCTGGTCCCTCCACCTCTTTTTTTTTTTTTTGAGATGGAGTTTCGCTCTTGTTACCCAGGCTGGAGTGCAATGGCGCGATCTCGGCTCACCGCAACCTCCGCCTCCTGGGTTCAGGCAATTCTCCTGCCTCAGCCTCCTGAGTAGCTGGGATTACAGGCACGCGCCACCATGCCCAGCTAATTTTTGTATTTTTAGTAGAGACGGGGTTTCACCATGTTGACCAGGATGGTCTCGATCTCTTGACCTCATGATCCACCTGCCTCAGCCTCCCAAAGTGCTGGGATTACAGGCTTGAGCCACCGTGCCTGGCCCTCATCCACCTCTTTCTTGTTGAAACACCTGCTTTCGAGAGGTGCCGAGGCCAGCTCCTCTTCCCGTCTCCTTCCATGAGGCCGTGCCGTAAGCATCCTGTGAGATCAGTGCGTCCTGGGGTTCCCTCTGTGGCAGATGGTGCTGTGGTTTTTGGAAATGCGCGGAGTCATGCATCCACCCCCACAGTCCTTAGGGACTGACCCTCCCTGCCTCGCATGCCTCCCAGGAAGTGTGGCCAGGGGCTGGTGGTGCCACGGCTCCTCCCCCAGCAGCCCCTGACCCAACCCATCCGTGGCAGATGGTCCTGTCAGGACGTCACGTCAGCAGGCCCTGTGATTGGCAGGCCCCTCGGGGCTGTCTCGTGTGGTCTGCGGGCCCCTCGGGGCTGTCTCGCGTGGTCTGTGGGCCCCTCGGGGCTGTCTCGCGTGGTCTGCGGGCCCCTCGGGGCTGTCTCGCGTGGTCTGCGGGCCCCTCGGGGCTGTCTCGTGTGGTCTGCGGGCCCCTCGGGGCTGTCTTGTGGATCCCGGGCCCCTCGGGGCTGTCTCGTGTGGTCTGCGGGCCCCTCGGGGCTGTCTTGTGGATCCCGGGCCGTCGCACTGCGCAGTGTTCTCTGGTGTGGCTGCCACAGGTGGAACCTTTCCCCGCTGCAGGCATCTGGCTGTGTGCGGCTTCCAGCTATTGTTTTCAGAGCTGTCATACCATGTGCACTGTCACGTCAGGGACTGTGACACTGTGTGAGCCCAGCACCCCCACCCCCGTGTCCTCTAGCCTCTCACTTGGTTCCTTTGCCCCCAGGGCTTGGTGCACAGTCTAAGGAATGTGTGGGGACACCCGGTCTCTAAGTTCTCAGGGGCCACATGTGTCTGCAGGGGTGGGCGTGAGATGATACTCATGGACCCTGAGTGTTGGTGATAAAGTCCTGGGGTCTGAGGACACTGGTTAGCAGGTGGGGACGGGTGTCTCAGGCCCCAGGCAGGCCAGGCCCTTCCTGACATGACGCCCCCAACCCCAGATTACCCATGGCGCTGGAGCCGGGCTGTCCCCATGAACTCCGCCCTCATCAAGTGGCTGTACCTGCCTGATTTCTTCAGGGCCCCCAACTCCACCAACCTCATCAGTGAGTGTTACCCAACGACCCCTGCCTCCACAGAGGACCCCCAGAGCACACACGTACTCCAGTCTGCTCACAAGCGTGCGCCCAGTTGTGCAGTCCAGGCATGTGGCAGCCTGCAGGCCCTGCTCTCATACGAATGTGCACAGACACCCACACCGCAGCTCCCCCAGGGGCACCTGGCCACTCCCCTGGGCAGGCATGTGTCTGCTCCCAGTGGCTGTACACCCCACCAGACCCGGGGTGGGAGGCGGGCTACATGCACTGCACCCGCCTTGTGTGGGTCCCCGTGCACTTGGCCCAGCAGCGGCTCCCACGTCCTGCAGGTGACTTCCTCCTGCTGCTCTGCGCCTCCCAGCAGTGGCAGGTGTTCTCGGCCGAGCGCACGGAGGAATGGCAGCGCATGGCTGGCGTCAACACTGACCATCTGGAGCCGCTGTGGGGGGAGCCCAACCCTGTGCCCAACTTCGTCCACTGCAGGTATGTACCATGCCACCCTCCACCGGAGCCTTCTGGGAGGGGTGGCCGGGGCGCCCGCCATGACGCTCCCCCGTGGCAGGTCCTACCTCGACATGCTGAAGGTGGCCGTCTTCCGATACCTGTTCTGGCTGGTGCTTGTGGTGGTGTTCGTGACGGGAGCCACCCGAATCAGCATCTTTGGGCTGGGCTATCTGCTGGCCTGCTTCTACCTGCTGCTCTTCGGCACCGCCCTGCTACAGAGGGACACACAGGCCCGCCTCGTGCTATGGGACTGCCTCATCCTCTACAATGTCACCGTCATCATCTCTAAGAACATGCTGTCGGTGAGCCCCGCCCCGGCCCGCCCGACCTGCCCCAGGGCCTGCCGACGCCGCTGACCCCACTCTCCGCAGCTCCTGGCCTGCGTCTTCGTGGAGCAGATGCAGACGGGATTCTGCTGGGTCATCCAGCTCTTCAGCCTCGTGTGCACCGTCAAGGGCTACTATGACCGTGAGTGGTGGCGACGGTGGCCGCAGGGAGGGCGTGGGGATGCCCCCGGCTCCTGGGCCCCGAGCCTGACCCTTGTTGGTACCTGCCTTGCAGCCAAAGAGATGATGGGCAGAGACCAGGATTGCCTGCTGCCCGTGGAGGAGGCTGGCATCATCTGGGACAGCGTCTGCTTCTTCTTCCTGCTGCTGCAGCGCCGGGTCTTCCTCAGCCACTACTACCTGCATGTCAGGGCTGACCTCCAGGCCACCGCCCTGCTGGCCTCCAGGCAAGCTTTGGCCCGGACACAGCCCAGCGCTCCCGTCTCAGGGCTCGGAAGGGGCAAGGGGAGGCACCTGGCTGCCTCAACTCCTGGACCGTGGAGAGCAGGCTCCACCGCTCTGTGACTTGGGTGTGTCACCTAGAGGGAGAACGAAGGACAGCAGAGCCCTGGCACCATCACCCTGGCCCCTGTGCTGGGTCTGTCGGAGACCACAGGCTGCAGCTCAGACGCTGGCTCGTGTCTAACCCCCGGCTGACTTTCCCGCTAAGGGCTAAGTGTCCCCACCAGCGGGAGGACCACCGTGTGGTATTGCCGATACCCAGGGAGGGGCTCTGGCTTAGGGCCAGCTTTGTCTGCTTCCCTGCAGCTCTGGGTGGGTAGGTGCCACCAGATGCCCCCGAATCGGTACAGCATGGGGGTGCTATCCTCTCACCGCACACAGCATGCAGGCTGGGGGCAGCAGCTGCCTCCCAGTGCGTGCCTCTTACCCACCCAGCTGCTCGTGCTGCTCCGGCCAAGTGCCAGGTGCCCATACCCCATCTCCGCCTCTCCCTAGGGGCTTCGCCCTCTATAACGCAGCCAACCTCAAGAGCATCGACTTCCACCGCAGGATAGAGGAGAGGTCCCTGGCCCAGCTGAAAAGACAGTAGGTGACCCCTGGGGCGGGGCCTCCCTGGCCCCTCCTCCTGGTGCTTAGTGTACGCCCACCTCTCCCCGCTGCAGAATGGAGCGCATCCGTGCTAAGCAGGAGAAGCACAGGCAGGGCCGGGTGGACCGCAGTGGCCCCAAGGACCCCAGCCCGGAGCCAGGTGAGCGCAGCTGTAGCCTGGCACACAAGGCCCTGTGTCCAGCATGTCTGTGCCTGCTGGTGTGTGCTGCGTCTGTGCCCACGTGACGTCCCACAGGGCTCCCAGCCCCCCGTCCTCTCCCTGTTACCACCCTCTGTCCGGTAGGCCCGTGATTGTCCATCTACACACATGGACTCTGAGCCCCATGGCCTTACGTGGCCCCCTTTGTCTCCAAACATCTTGTCCCCAAGCCAGGGGCACTCATGGCCCCAGCCCCTCACACTCATCCTGCCCCTTCACAGGGCCCGACAGTCCTGGGGGGTCCTCCCCGCCACGGAGGCAGTGGTGGCGGCCCTGGCTGGACCATGCCACAGGTACCCCCAATTAGCCCAACTGTGGCCACCCTCTCAGGGCCTCTGTGCCACCCCACCTGTCCTCTTCCTAGGCTGCTAACTTCCCCCGACCCCCAGGCCCTGAGCCTCAGGACATGCTGAGGTCTTCTGGGTCCGGGGGTGACTCCCTGGCTGCAGACCCTGGGCTGAACCTGTCCTCCCCTCCCAGCTCTGCTCCAGCCCTTCTGCTGGGAGGAGTCTCAGAGGGTGCTTTTTTGACACAGTCGGGGTGGCTGACCAGCAGTTTCATCTGGGTCCCAGCAGCACCGTGTCGTTTTGCATTTTCCTATTTAATTTTTTTGAGATGGAGTCTCGCTCTGTCACCCCAGCTGGAGTACAGTGATGCGATCTCAGCCCACTGTAACCTCCACCTCCCGCCTTCAAGGGATCCTCCTGCCTCAGCCTCCCGAGTAGCTGAGACTACACGTGTGTGCCCCACTCCTGGCTAAGTTTTGCATTTTTAGTAGAGACAGGGTTTCACCATGTTGGCCAGGCTGGTCTCGAACTCCTGCCCTCAGGTGACCCGCCCGCCTCAGCCGGGCCTGTTGTTTTTCTAATTCTCCCACAGCCTCATGGGTTCCCCCAGTCCTCTGCAGTCAGCCCACTCTGCACCCCAGCCCGTGCTGGCTCGGCTGCCTTGCCTTCACTGCTGGTCTCGTCCCACCGCACTGGCTCTGCTCCTCAGCTGTCCTGCCTGCCCCTCTGGTCTCGTCCCACCGCGCTGGCCTGTGTCCTGTGCATGCACTGCTCCTGCCTGCCCTGCTGCTCCCCAAGGGAGGACGGCTCTTGGGCCTTGGCCCTTCGGGTGTGGGGGTCCAAGGGAGCCTGGCTGCACAGCATTCGGGTCTGTTACTGGCCCATCCACCCTGAAGTGGACCAAAAGGCCTGCCAGGGTCTTGCTGGGGTCCCCTGGGGGGAAGGCTGGCTCTCAGCCCTGCCTGCCCGCAGTCATCCACTCTGGAGACTACTTCCTATTTGAGTCGGACAGCGAGGAAGAGGAGGAGGCTGCACCTGAAGGTCCCAGGCCTTCCACCCAGAGCGCCTTCCAGGTTCGGGGAGGGCCGTGTCTGTCCCGCTTGGGGCCCTAGGCCAGGGCAGCATAGGGTATGACAGATGCCCTCAGGGCCTGGCAGCCCAGCTCATACACTATACCTCTCGGAAGCCCACCCAGGCCTCCCAAGTCCCATGGGAAACCAGGTTGTGGGGCTGTGGGTCCTGTGTAGCCTGTTCCCCCTCTGCCTGCAGTCCTGGCGCTGACCACCCAACTTCTGGTGGCTGCCACGGTCTGACCTGTGAGATGGGCCCGACACCTGTGTGCTGGCCACCTGCCTGTCCTGGCTCTTGTTCCTGGCCCAGGAGCCAGGTGGGCTGCATGTGTGGGTGTTCTCCCCCACAGCCCTTTAGGGTCCCCCTCCCAGAGGGGCTCAGGGACACAGAAGTCCCAGTAAACAGACAGATCTGGTGCCAGGCTTGCCCAACCCCGGTTACTCCTCCCCTTCCCAACTGGGTCTGATGGCACAGAAGGCCAGGTCCTGACCCAGAGGCTGGCCCGCAGATGGCGTACCAGGCATGGGTGACCAACGCCCAGACAGTGCTGAGGCGACGGCGGCAGGAGCAGACAGGACAGCTGCCCACAGGTGAGCTGGGGGGCATGGAGACTGAGGGGAGGTGGCAGGGCCTCCCATCACTGACCAGTGTCCTGTGCCCAGGAGGTGGACCCAGCCAGGAGGCAGAGCCGGCAGAGGGCCCCGAGGAGGTGGCCGCAGGTGCGTGGGCCCCCGGGGCTAGGGAGTCGGAGGTCTTTCCTGGCCCCACAAGCTGCCCCTCCAGCGCCCCTCCCACCCTCCTGCAGGCCGGAGCCACCTGGTGCAGCGGGTGCTGAGCACGGTGCAGTTTCTGTGGGTGCTGGGGCAGGCACTGGTGGACGGGTTGACGCGCTGGCTGCAGGAGCTCACCCGGCACCACAGCACCATGAGTGACGTGCTGCGCGCAGAGCGCTACCTCCTCACGCAGGAGCTCCTCCGGGTGAGCCTTCCCGCACACCACGCTCGTCCCTGCTGCGCCCGGCCACACCCCTGCCCGCTTAACCTCCCGGTCCCGCGCCCACTCCATCCCCTAAACTGCCTGCAGACACTAGAGCTGGGACACAGTCCGTGCAGCCCTGAACCCCATCCTGTACCCTGCAGGGTGGAGAAGTGGACCGGGGCGTGTTGTTCCAGCTGTACACAAGCCAGGCCGAGGCCACGCTGCCAGGCCCCACTGAGGCCCCCAACGCACCAAGTACAGTGTCCAGGTAGGGGCTGGGGTGACCCAGTTGCTGCCACGGGAGGGTGGCAGTGCCCAGCCATCCCAGACCCTTGCCCTTCCCTTGTGCACCCAAGGACTGTGGGGGTTCTGCCCTTACCCTCCTTGCAGCCTGAGGTCAGGCAGCACAGGCTTCCCTGTGACTCGGTTTCACTTCCCAGTGGGCTGGGGGCAGAGGAGCCTCTTAGTAGCGTGACGGACGACACGGGCAGCCCCCTGAGCACCGGCTACCACACGCGCAGTGGCAGCGAGGAGGTGGTCACCGATCCCGGGGAGCGTGAGGCTGGTGCCTCCCTGCCCCAGGTGCGGATGCGGACGGCCAGCGAGCTGCTCCTGGACAGGTACGGGTGGGACACGGAGGCACGGCCCTGCATGTAGGAGAGCAGCCTGCCTGGGACTGGCAGCAGGTACGGCCATTGTGCCTGAGCAGTCCCGGGCTCCCCCAAACTCGCGTGCCTCCCCGCAGGCGCCTGCGCATCCCTGAGCTGGAGGAGGCGGAGCTGTTCGCGGAGGGGCAGGGCCGGGCCCTGAGGCTGCTGCGGGCGGTGTACCAGTGTGTGGCCGCCCACTCGGAGCTGCTGTGCTACTTTATCATCATCCTCAACCACATGGTCACCGCCTCTGCCGGCTCGCTGGTGCTGCCTGTGCTCGTCTTCCTCTGGGCCATGCTGTCCATCCCGCGGCCCAGCAAGCGCTTCTGGATGACCGCCATCGTCTTCACCGAGGTGGGTGTGGGTGTGGGTGTGGGTGTGGGTGTGGGTGTGGGTGCGGCCGCGGGGGAGGGGTGCCTGGCCCGGCACGGCCCCCTGCATGCTGAATCCCCGCCCCTGCAGGTCACCATGCCCCCCTGCATGCTGCATCCCCGCCTCTGTGGCCCCCTACAGGCTGAATCCCCGCCCCCGCAGGTTGCCACGCCCGCTACCTGCGGAATCCACGCCCCCCCGCATGCTGAATCCTCGCCCCTGCAGGTTGCCACGTCCCCCTACATGCTGAATCCCCGCCCTTGCAGGTCGCCACGTCCCCCTGCATGCTGAATTTCCGCCCCTACAGGTCGCTGTGGTCGTCAAGTACCTGTTCCAGTTTGGCTTCTTCCCCTGGAACAGCCACGCGGTGCTGCGGCGCTACGAGAACAAGCCCTACTTCCCGCCGCGCATCCTGGGCCTGGAGAAGACGGACAGCTACATCAAGTACGACCTGGTGCAGCTCATGGCCCTCTTCTTCCACCGCTCCCAGCTGTTGGTGAGTGTGATCCGTGGCACTGAGGGGTTGGGTGGGCCCGCGGGGCACCTGCACTCTCCGCCCGGGAGCCCAGGCCTTCTCACCACACCCTCCCGCCCCGCAGTGCTACGGCCTCTGGGACCACGAGGAGGACTCACCATCCCAGGAGCGAGACAGGAGCAGCGGGAAGGAGCAGGGGGCTGAGGAAGGGCCAGACGTCCTGCTGGGACCCCAGGCCGAGGCAGGCACAGGGCTCCAGGAGGAACCGGCGGTGCCCAGGGCCACTACCGAGGACCATGTTCAGGTGGAAGAGAGGGTCGGAGCTACAGATGGGACCCCAGAACCCCAAGTGGAGATCAGGCCCCAAGACACAAGGCGCATCAGTCTACGTTTTAGGAGGAGGCAGAAGGAGAGCCCAGCACGGAAAGGACCGGCAGCCATCGGTATAACCGCCCTGACCCCTGGCTTCCTGGCTACCCTATTCTGCCCATGGGGCTGCCACAGGGAGGGTCTTTCTCGAATAAGATGGCCAAGCCCAGTGCAGGGCCCACCTGGATACCAGGAAGGTGCTTCTGAGCCACAGCTCCTGGCTCTGCCCCCAGGGATGGCCCCCCACCCCGTGCAGGGATACGCTTGGCCCAGGGTGGCCCCTGAAGTCTGCCCCATAGGACACAGCCCCAGCTGTCCCCTTGCCGGTGACACTGGAAGGTTTCTGTGCTCAGTGTGCTGGTCTCTCACATGGGAAGAATGCCGGCCTCTTAGGGTGGCCACAAGCCATGAGCCAGACCCAGTCCCCAGGGGGCACAGACAGAAGTCAGCTCTTCCCCTGCAGAAGCTGAGGACAGGGAGAAGGAAGAGAAAGAGGCCCCCACTGGGAGAAAGCAGCCAAGCAGCTCCAGACAAAGAGTGCGGGCGGCCGGGCGGCGGCTGCAGGGCTTCTGCCTGTCCCTGTGAGTGAGGGCAGCCGGGGGCAGCTGTGCAGTGGGGGCGGGGAGGCAGGCACTGGCACCAGGCTGAGCCCCCACTTCCGCAGGGCCCAGGGCATGTACCGGCCACTGCGGCGCTTCTTCCACGACATTCTGCACACCAAGTACCGTGCAGCCACCGACGTCTACGCCCTCATGTTCCTGGCTGATGTCGTCGACTTCATCATCATCATTTTTGGCTTCTGGGCCTTTGGGGTGAGCCAGACCCGGGACCCCCCAGTGGACGCAGAGCCCAGCAGCAGCCACCCACGTCCCCTGGGGCCTGGCTCCCCCTGACCTGTGCTCTCCCGGCCACAGAAGCACTCAGCGGCCACGGACATCACGTCCTCCCTGTCGGATGACCAGGTCCCTGAGGCCTTTCTGGTCATGCTGCTGATCCAGTTCAGTACCATGGTGGTCGACCGCGCCCTCTACCTGCGCAAGACTGTGCTGGGCAAGCTGGCATTCCAGGTGGTGCTGGTGCTGGCCATCCACCTGTGGATGTTCTTCATCCTGCCCGCCGTCACCGAGAGGTGGGCCCATGTGCGGGGGAGGACTGCGCAGTCCCTGGGGCCGGGGCTCCACTTCCGATGGGGTCTTTGACCTGACCATCCCACCCCAGGATGTTCAGCCAGAACGCGGTGGCGCAGCTGTGGTACTTCGTGAAATGCATCTACTTTGCCCTGTCCGCCTACCAGATCCGCTGTGGCTACCCCACCCGCATCCTTGGCAACTTCCTCACCAAGAAATACAATCACCTCAACCTCTTCCTTTTCCAGGGGTGAGTGAGGGGCCCGCCGGGGTAGGGGTCGTGAGAAGTGAGATCCTCCCGTCACGGCCCGGGCAGGAGGAACCCCACCTGAAGGGATCCCTGGCTGTGGGCAGGTTCCGGCTGGTGCCATTCCTGGTGGAGCTCCGGGCAGTGATGGACTGGGTGTGGACAGACACCACACTGTCCCTGTCCAACTGGATGTGCGTGGAGGACATCTACGCCAACATCTTCATCATCAAGTGCAGCCGGGAGACAGAAAAGGTGCCTGGGCCAGGGCGGGGGCCTGAACAAGGGGCCAGGGATGTGCCATCTCCCTGGGACAGAGGCACTGCTGCTATGGGAACCAGGGGTGCTGGTAGTCCCCCCCAGGGCTCGCAGGCAATGGGGAGGGACACGAGGCAAGCCCACAACTCACTGACCCCGAGGCCAGTGATCTTGGCAGCTGCAAGTGGGTGCTGGGGGCAGGACTTGGCCCTGTTCCAGGTAGGTGGCAGTAGAGCAGCCCCCAAGCTGAGCCTGGTGCAGTGGGGACCAGTCAAACAGTTACCTGAGTTCTTGTTTAATGGCTTTATTGGGAGAAAATTCATGCATCAGCCCATTCAGCCATTTAAAATGTACAATTCAGGTGTGTTTAGTATATTCACAGACGGCCATCTGCCACTAACATCAACTTTAGAGTATTTTCACCACTTTAAAAAGAAACGCAGGGCCAAACACAGTGGCTCACACCTGTAATCCCAGCACTTTAAGAGATGGAGGAGGGAAGACTGCTCAAGGCCAGGAGTTCAAGACCTGCCTGGACAACGCAGTGAGACCCACCTCAGCAAATGTAAAAATAAAATCAGCCGGCTGTGGTGTTCATGCCTGTGGTCCCAGCAGTCTGGGAGGCCAGGAGGTTACGACCAACCTGGGCAACAGAGCCAGACCTCCCCTACAAAAAAACCAACAGCTGGGTGTGACGGTGCACACTTGTGCTCCCAGGTACTCTGGAGGCTCAGGTAGGAGGGCTTGAGGCCAGGTGGTGACGCTGCATGAAGCCTCATCACACTTGGACAACAGTGTGAGACTCTGTCTCTAGAAAGTCAAAAGAAACCAAGTGCCCACTGGCTCTCACTCCGTTTCCCCCTCCCCGGACCCTGGTAACCCCTCATCTACTTCCTGTTTCTACATGGATTTGCCTGTTACGGATATTTCATGAAAACACGATCAGCTAGCCTTTGTCCTTCTGTGACCGGCTCTCCCCATTCTGCAGTTTTTGAGGTTCACCCCGTGGCAGCACGGCCTTCCCTTTCATGGGCAAATGACATTCCGAGGTAGGGATGCACTACAACCTGTTCATCTGTGGATGGACTGAGGGGCTGTTTCCCATGCTGCTGGCAGGCACCGCGGTGTACACGTGTGCGCCCGTGCCCTTGGTGCTGTGTGGCGGCGTCTTACATCACGAGCAGCTGCTGCTCCGCACTGTTCCAGCTGTGCCATGCCGAAGTCAGGCTGTGGCCTTGTGGGCTGCTGGGAGAGCTGGAGACTGGTCTGTGATCTGCAGGAAGGGCGGAACTCAGTGGATGTCCTGTGTCGTCCCCTCCAGAAATACCCGCAGCCCAAAGGGCAGAAGAAGAAGAAGATCGTCAAGTACGGCATGGGCGGCCTCATCATCCTCTTCCTCATCGCCATCATCTGGTTCCCCCTGCTCTTCATGTCGCTGGTACGCTCGGTGGTGGGCGTGGTGAACCAGCCCATCGATGTCACCGTCACCCTCAAGCTGGGCGGCTATGAGGTGAGCCTGCACTCGCCCGCCTGTCCATTCCCATGCCCCAGGGGTTCTGGCCAAGGCGGTGCCAGCCCTCGCTGCCCATTCGTTCATCTTCACGGCCCTGTGCCTCCAGCCACTGTTCACCATGAGTGCCCAGCAGCCGTCCATCATCCCCTTCACACCCCAGGCCTATGAGGAACTGTCCCGGCAGTTTGACCCCTACCCGGTAAGTGGCCTCTGCCCTGTGACAGCCTGGTGGGGTGGGGGAGGAGGCTGCAGTCACTGAGGGTGGCACCTGCACCCAGCTGGCCATGCAGTTCATCAGCCAGTACAGCCCCGAGGACATAGTCACGGCGCAGATCGAGGGCAGTTCCGGGGCCCTGTGGCGGATCAGCCCACCAAGCCGCACCCAGATGAAGCGGGAACTGTACGATGGCACGGCCGACATCACCCTGCGCTTCACCTGGAACTTCCAGAGGTGTGGCCCGGGCTGGGGGCATGGCCTGGGGGGCTGGACCCACGGCCCTGGGTCATGCTGTGTTTCTGCCCACAGGGATCTGGCTAAGGGAGGCACCGTGGAATACGCCAATGAGAAGCACATGCTGGCCCTGGCCCCCAACAGCACTGAGCGGCACCAGCTGGCCAGCCTGCTGGAGGGCACCTCGGACAAGTCTGTGTGAGTCAAGGGCCCCGGGTGGTCACTGGACAGAAAGGCAGGGCCAGGCCTGACCTGTTCCCACCTCCCTGCAGGGTCATCCCCAACCTCTTCCCCAAGTACATCCGTGCCCCCAACGGGCCCGAAGCCAACCCCGTGAAGCAGCTGCAGCCCAGTGAGTGGGGGCACGGGGCTGGGGGGGGACAGGGAAGGGGGCACAGCCCAGTGAGTAGGGGCACAGGGCTGGGGGGGGACAGGGAGTGGGACTGCAGCCCAGCCGTCTCCCGGCTCCACTCCAGATGAGGAGGCCGATTACCTCGGCGTGCGTCTCCAGCTGCGGAGGGAGCGGGGCCCAGGGGCCACTGGCTTCCTCGAGTGGTGGGTCATTGAGCTGGAGGACTGCCAGGCCGGCTGCAACCTGCTGCCCATGGTCATCTTCAGTGACAAGGTCAGCCCACCGAGCCTCGGCTTCCTGGCTGGCTATGGGTGAGTGTAGGGCTGGGGGGCGCCCTGCAGCTCTGGAGGGCTCCGGGTGGCCCTGGCACTCACCGGCTCCCCCCACAGGATAATGGGGCTGTACGTGTCCATCGTGCTGGTCATCGGCAAGTTCGTGCGTGGCTTCTTCAGTGAGATCTCGCACTCCATCATGTTTGAGGAGCTGCCCTGCGTGGACCGCATCCTCAAGCTCTGCCAGGACATCTTCCTGGTGCGTGAGACCCGGGAGCTGGAGCTGGAGGAGGAGCTGTACGCCAAGCTCATCTTCCTCTACCGCTCGCCAGAGACCATGATCAAGTGGACTCGTGAGAAGGAGTAGGAGCTGCTGCTGGCCCGCACGGCCCCACAGCGGGTGGCACTCCTAGGGCCGGGGGAGCTGCTGCCCCGTCCATGGCTGCCAGCTGTGACACATCCTCCCGGCCTGCCTGAGCCCTGATGCTGCTGTCAGAGGACACTGCGTCCCCATGGCCTGCGTGGCACTGCTGTCCCCCACGCATACTGTAGAGTTTTTTAATTAAAAAGGTTTTATTTATACAAAGGGACACTCAGAGGCAGACCCCGTCCTTGCCTTCCGGCCGCAGCATGGTGGACCCTGCACCTGGCGCCTGCTGTCCCAGCGAGCATGTCCTCAGCTCTGGCCCACCTCATCCTCACTGTCCTCAATCAGACAGTCCCGGAGCTCTGCCAAAACCCAGGCCCTAGAGAGGAAGCTGCAGTGGGTACCAGCCCCCAGGCACCTGCCCCCCCAGGCCACAGCAGGATGGGCCCCAGTACCTCTGGGTTCGGAGCTGGGCCTCGGCCAGGATATACGGCGGCAGGGGCTCCAGCGAGGGCTGCGACAAGAGGCCGGGGTTGGAAAGGGATGCAGGAAGGCCATCCTGTTCCCTCTCCACGCCCAGACAGGCGGGCAGCAACTCACCAAGTCCTTCATGTTCACACGGCAGCCGTAGCACAGCTGCTCCGCAATGCAGGCTTGGGGGTCCTCCCTGTCGGAGCAGAGCTGGGTGGTGCTCACCTTGGCACCTCAGCACCATGGGTGAGGGCAGGTCCCCCTCCCCCCAGGCAGCTGGCCAGGGGTGGTAGGGACAGGGACTCACCTCCTGGAGGCCCCCCCGGGAGAACAGCAGAGCCCCTGGGGTGTCCCGGTCTCAGTTAGGGGGGTGGGCGACTGGATCTGAGAGAGATGTGAGGCGGTCTGAACCCCAAAAGCCGTGGCACTGTCTGCAAGCAGAGAGGGGCTGAGGGGACCCTGGTGCTGCTGAGCCCCCACGCCCACTCCCCCATCACAAGAGCAGGATGCACAGACCAGCGGTGTCCACATCCAGGGTGCACATGCACAGCAGACAGCGAGGGCCACAGGTGCCGGCGGCAGGGCCGTCCCGGGGGGCCTTTGCCAGCTTCTCACTTGTCCTGTGGCCGGGGGCGGGAGGAACAGGTGAAACCGCGCAGCTCCACCGTAAGCCCTGGCCCGAGCACGAGCGGTGCACTCGGCACACACCTGCACACACAGGTGAAACACACAGGGCACAGCTCCACAGTAAGCCCTGGCCCGAGCACAAGCGGTGCACTCGGCACACACCTGCACACACAGGTGAAACACACAGGGCGCAGCTCCACAGTAAGCCCTGGCCCGAGCACAAGCGGTGCACTCGGCACACACCTGCACACACAGGTGAAACACAGGGCGCAGCTCCACAGTAAGCCCTGGCCCGAGCACAAGCGGTGCACTCGGCACACACCTGCACATACCCGCACACACCTGCACACACCCGCACACACCTGTACACAGTGCTGACGGTGGAGGGAAACTGGATCTGCAACCGGAGGATGAAGGCCTCCATCAGCCGGTGGATGCTGGCCTTTTCAGGGGCCTAGGGAACAATCAGATTCAGGGCTAAGGGAGAGCCCAGGGCCAGCACCAGGCTGGGGCAGAGACTCGTGAGGGCAGATGCTTTGGGTTCCACACCACGGGCCCCCATGGCTCTGGCCTCGCTGCCACAGCTCAAGCCAGAGGACCAGCTTCAGCAGTGTACCTGTGGGGCCCTGTCACCCCCACGCCCTCAGGGACAGGGCAGACTCAGAGGACCCTAGGGACGTGGCACTGCTGGGGGACACGGCAGGAGTCACTGAAGGTCTGCATGACCTCTGAGCCTGTGTGAGAAAGGCCACCCAGCCCACACAGCCTGCCTTGGTGAACCCACCTTGGTGTCGACGGCTGGCGTGAAGACAGAAGGGACGGAGAACAGCCGGTTGTAGAAGGCGACCTCCTTCAGGGTGTGCTCCCGCATGGGGCGTACCACCACCACGTCCCCGTGCCGCTCATCGGAGAAGCCCTGGGGAGGTGAGGGCTGTAGAGTCAAGGTCAAGCAAGGCCTGTATGTCCCCACTCCTTCCCTGCTGGGTGTGAGGGGTCACAGACCCCACCTCCATCCGCAGGACTGATAGCGAGTACTCTCAAGTGAAGGTGGCCGATGGGTGAGGGTGGGGACGGGCCTCCTGGGCACCCAGGCCCCTGCCTACCGTGTCCCAAGCCAGGAAGGCCCCTCTACCCAGCGCCAGGTTGGTCATGAGCTTGATGGCCAGGCGGGTGCAGCTGTCCCCAGTCATGACCTTGGAGTAGCCGTGAGCTCGGGCCACGTGCAGGATCAGGTGGACCCTGCAGGACACAGACTCTCAGGGTCGGGCGGGGCTGGCCCGGGGAAGGGGCTCTGGGGGCCTGGGGACTGTGGGGCCTCACCGCAGGGTCTGCAGAAGCTCCTCCTTGGCCGTCAGTGTCCTCACTGAGCAGAACAGGTGGGAAAGAGCCTCAGTCTGGGCAGCAGCAGGTGGTCTCACCAGACTCTGGAGGTCCCACGCGGACTGGGCACGGGGCTGGGGCAGCGGTTCCTCCCCATGAGCCAGGCCAGGCCCGCCCCCTGCCCCCAGCACATGCTGCTGCTGGAGGAAGTTGTCCACGGCTGCCTTGTAGGCCCCGTCGGGAGCCGCTGGCTCCTGGGAAGAACACCGCAGCACCGACGGTGGCAGGCTGAACACCTTCCAGGAGGCAGGAGAGGGCAGTGAGGCTCAGGACGGCCCCAGAGGTCGCCTCTGGGACCCCTACCCAGGGCCAGCCCTCCCACCTCCTCTAAGGCCACCACGTGCCACGGGAACCCAATAGCCTGCAGGATAGGTTTCACTTCAGCCAGGGTCTTCGCTCTCTCCTCTGGGCTCCGGCCACAGGCTGCTCCTTCTGAAAAACCCAGGTGGAGTCACGGCTCACAGAAGAGCCAGGCAGGGTGTAGGGCCACCTCCCCCCTCCAGGGAAATCCTTCCAGGCCTCGCTCTGCAGGGCAGTGCTTCCTGGAGGAGCTGTGGGATATCTGCTGTTTTCCTTCACAGAAGGGGATACTCCCTGGGGCTGACCTCAGTGCTAGGGTGAACACCCCAGGAGTCCGTCCCACAGGAGCAAGGCTCAGGGAGGCGGCCTCTGGGTCCCCCTCACCACCCGAGCTTCACACGCCCTTCTCTGTCCCCAGAGCCCATGGTGGGGGCTGGGCAGCCGCTGCTCCTGCTCCCCACCCCCAACTTTCGGAGGATGTTCTCAGGTTCCAGGAACACTGGTGCCTCCTAACGCCGGACACATCCACTGCCTCCTTCAGGGGAATGTCCCCACCAGGGCCTGAGTGCAGGGGCGGCAGCAGCAGCTCCACACGCCCTACCAGAGGAGGGTCTGCAGGGCACACCCCAAGCGGCCGGGGAGGCGGCGGCAGTGGCTACACATACCATCAATGAAGATGACGCCCGGCACGAAACGCAGTCTCTTGGCAGAATCTTGGCTCAGGCCCTGGAGGCAGAAGCATCAGGGACTCAGCCCCAGCCGCAAACTAGAGGACACTTCAGCTCAGAACATCCTTCATCTGGATTGAACACCCTCCTGGAAGGGAAAGTGACCCTTCCCCTGCCATTGCTTTTAGTAGACAAAGCCATTCAGACTTGGGGGCCAGGCAGGCCCAGCAGGTGAGGCTGCATGCCCGACGTGTTTTCCACAGAATCCTGGGTGTCTTCACCCCTTGGTAAAATGTGCTGGTCCTGGATGGCTCAACAACGTCCCAGGAGAGGAGGCTGGGGCTATGGGGCCACCGTGACCACACCTCACATGCTTCTGGCCACTCACAAAGCAAGGCCTGCTAGAGGCTGGAGCACCTCTAGGCACAGGAAAGGCAGCACCAGGGTGGCACAGAGGGCTGAGCCAGTTATCTCACACCACCCTCCTGGAGGGTAACTTCGGCAGTGCCGTGCAGCGCGCCCATCCCGAGACCAACAGCACAGCCATTACCCAGAAACAGCCTCCCCCAGACTGCACCCCTCACTGGGAGTGCGGAGAAGCCAGGCACATCCTGCTCCTGTGCCCTCCTGAGAAGCCCTACCTGCCTCGGACTTCCTGAGCTGGCCTTGAACACGCGAGGGGCACGGCCCACCACCCTGAGCCGAGCCCTGCGTGCAGCCTGGGCCTCTGCCTCCGCCTCCCTGCCACGTGCCACGCCCTCCACCTCAAACGCTGCTCCCTTTGCTTCTCCTGACAATCCCCCACTCCCGCTTCCTGATCTTCCCTTCACACAGCCGAGCCGAGACGCCACTTTCCACCAACTGTGTTAATGTGCAGGTTGAGTAAAGGGACAGAGGGCAAGTGGGACACACACAGGTGCTCTGGACACAGCTTCTGATTGGTGCGCTGCTGGAAACACATCTGAGAACCCTCCTGGTGTCCAGTCCGGGGGGCGGGCTGCTCTCTAGCCCCAGCCAACAGCCCCCCAGCCTCAGCCCAGCAGCCGGGGCCAAGTGGGTGGTGAACACGCACCTCAAGGACCTGCCGGACCATGGAGCTGGACGAAGGCCCCCCAGACCACGCCAAGAGCACCTGGGAGAGAAGAAACAGTACTGAGGGTGCCGCACCTCCGACACAAGCAGATACCCCGCCCCGTGGATGTCCAGGACATCGAGGCAGCCCTCAAATCCCAGGGTGGGGCCAGACCCCCTGTGGGAGGGAGGAGCAGGGGCTCAAGGGGCCAGGCTGCTCAGTCAGACCCCCAGGACCCAGCTGCTACCTTCTCGCCTGGAAAGATGAGCCGGTTCTTGCCCAGCATGGCTCTGAACTTGTGGATGTAGAAGGCCTTGAAACAGTCCCTGCAACACAGACCTGAGATGACAGAGCCACCTGGCCCCCAGACGGTGGGCAGCATCCTGAGCCACTGCAGCTGCCCGCCTCCTTCACCGACCGCCGTCTTCAAGAGCAGCGTCTTTGAATCCAGGCTCTGCCCAGAGACTGGTGAAAGGGGAGAGGCTGGGGGCCCCTACGGCAGAGGCTTCCCCAGGGTGAGCATGAGGCTCCCTGACGCTTCCCACAACCCCAGCAGGTATGAACTGCACTGCATCCAATAAATGAGGGGGCCGGAGCCCAGGCATCCCTGCCCACAGGCATTCAGAAGGGCCCAGCTGGCAGAGTGGACGGACTTAGGCATGAACAGGGCAAGGCCAACCCAGAGCCCATAAGAAAATTCCCACCACACAGAGATACTACCTCTCTGGGGTGCAGTGGGGAAACTCAGCAGGCCCACGGCGAGGGCCCAGCATCCTCGCTGGGTTGAATGGGCCGGAAATGGCTAAGCGGCTCACTCACAGGGTGCCTGCGCGTCTCCAACCCCCAGAATCACAACTTCTAGGGCTGGGAACTGCATTTCTGTTTTTCTTTTGAGACAAAGTTTCACTCTCGTTGCCCAGGCTGAAGTGCGACGGCGCAGTCGTGGCTCACCGTGCGTCCTGGAATCAGGCAATTCTCCTTCGTCACCCTCTGGAGCAGCTGGGATTACAGGCCTGTGCCATCACACCCAGCTAATTTTGTATTTTTAGTAGACACAGGGTGTCTCCATGTTGGTCAGGCTGGCCTCAAACTCCCGACCTCAGGCGATCTGCCCGCCTCAGCCTCCTAAAGTGCTGGGATTACAGGTGTGAGCCATCATGCCCAGCAGGGAACTGCATTTTTAAAAGACAGGGTCTCAATCTGTCACCCAGGCTGGAGTGCAGTGACAGCTCACTGCAGTGTTAAACTCGTGGGCTCATGTGATCCTTCTGCCTTGACCACCCAGGTAGACAGGACTACAGGTTACGGGCACATGCCACCAAACCTGGCTAATTTTTGTATTTTTTGTAGCGATAAGGTCTCGTTATATTGTCCAAACTGGTCTCAAACTCCTGGCCCCTAGTGATCCTCCTGCCTGGGCCTCCCAAAGTGCTGAGATTACAGGTGTGAGCCACCGTGCCCAGCTGTAATCCTCGTTCCTAATAAACTTTCCAGCCATCCGACTCTGGCTTAGAGGTTCTTGGCCCTGGCTATATGTTAGAACCACAGAAACCAATTGAGCCAAAGTGTCTAGGCGTGAGGCCTGGGAATCTGCATTTTAAAGCTCTCCTGCAACCCCCCAGGATGTAGCTTTGGCGTAGGAAGCATCACACAAGGAGAACAGATGCTGGGCTTCACCTCCTTGCTGTGGGCCGGGAGGGCCTGTGTGCCCCACACCACCAGCTGGGATTCAAGCGTGGTGGGTCTGCACGGACATGCCGTGTCTGGGCTCCTGAAACCTCGCTGTCCCCTCTGTGTCAGGCAAGGCCAGGGTTCCCCTGCATGCTGAACTGAATCATCACTGGGGAGCCCAGCTGGACCGACTCCTAAGGCCTTCACCTGGAGACCCGGCTCCCCACTCGGCCCTAGCGAGCACAGCACAGTAAAACTCTGGCCTCGGCAGGAGCCCTGCTGGCCAAAGGCCTTGCATGAAGCCACCGCAGCCTCTCTCTGTGACTCCTCCCAGCAGCCTAGTGTACTCGGCAATTTCAGATGCTCCTGAGTGGTTAAAGTACTACGCTGGCCGGGCACAGTGGCTCCTGCCTGTAATCCCAGCACTTTGGGAGGCTGAGGTGGGTGGTTCACCTGAGGTCAGGAGTTAGAGACCAGCCTGGGCAACATGGTGAAACCCCATCTCTACTAAAAATACAAAAACTTAGCTGGGCCTGATGGCAGGCGCCTTAGTCCCAGCTACTTGAGAGGCTGAGGCAGGAGAATCTGCTTGAACTTGGGAAGTGGAGGTTGCAGTGAGCTGAGATCGCACCACTGCACTCTAGCCTGGGCAACAAGAGCGAACTCCCTCTCAAAAAGAAAAAAAAAAAAAAAAAAAAGGAGTGCCCACCTTGTCCAAAATGTAACTCCCGGTCCCCAAACCTCATTCTCTAAATCTAACAGGCTCTCAGAAGATGGTCAAGGATAAGAAAAGTTTTGGAAAACAATCTCCTCAGTTCTCCCACCCCAGTCTTTTTTTGAAACATTTTAGAAAACAGAGCCCAGGACTCCTGGAGACCATTAAAAAGTGTGAGGTTGCCAGCCCCAGTGGTTCACACCTGTAATCCCAGCACTTTGGGAGGCCAAGGTGGGCAGATCAGGAGGTCACGAGTTCAAGACCAGCCTGGCCAATATGGTGAAACCCTATCTCTACTAACAATATAAAAAAATTAGCTGGGAGCAGTGGCGCTCACCTGTTGCCCCAGTTACTTGGGAAGCTGAGGCAGAACCGCTTGAACCTGGGAGGCCAAGGTTGCAGTAAGCCAGATTCATGCCACTGCACTCGATTATGGGTGAGAGCGAAACTCCATTTCAAAATAAATAAATAAATGTTATCACTCGTTCTGCAGACATGCGATGCAAAAAAGCACATGTTGGGCAAGTCTGGTGGCTCAGGCCTATAATCCCAGCACTTTGGGAGGCCAGGGCAGGCAGATCCCTTGAGGTCACAAGCTCGAAACCAGCATGGCCAACATGGTGAAACCCCACCTCTACCGAAAATACAAAAATTAGCCAGCCATGGCGGTGGGTGCCTGTAACCCCAGCTACTTGGGAGGCTGAGGCTGAAGAATCGCTTGAACCTTGAAGAGGTTGCAGTGGGCCAGGATCAAGCAACAGCACTCCAGCGTGAGCGACAGAGCGAGACTCTGTCAAAAAAAAAAAAAAAAATTATCTAACACCACTAAGCATTAAAGAGCTGAAATGAGAGGGGCCTGAGCCTGCCTCCGGGAGCTATGATTCCAGTGGAAACAATCAAACAATACAATGGTTACAAACCAAGAAAAACGTGGCAAGGGCCATAAAACAGTTACAGATAAAACGGAACATCCTCACACCCTGGCGCCTCTGGGAATTAGCCTCTGCTCCTGTCCAAAGCCTCACCTCTCCCTCAGACCCGGAGGAAGGCTGGAGGTCCCCTTCCAAGCCTCGAGCCAGTCACTGATGAACCAAGCATCTCACATGAGATAAACTTTCACCCAGAGGATCTGCCAAGTTCCCAGAATGCTCTAATCCGCCCCTAGATGTGTCCCAGCTGCCCCCAAATGCCCATTCCTCCTCCACCTAATCCCAGTCTAGACACCACGGCCCCACTTCAACTGTCCTCATCAGCTCCATTAGAAACCTCGCCAGCTGATCTGTGGCCAGCTGATGGTAACTTGTTTGCCAAGCAGCAAACGAACGCTTTCGCCTCCACTTCCACGCCAGGGGCACCGGGGACAACGTCAGACGCAGGAAGAAAAGAAACGTTTATATAAAGAAGAAATAAAGCCTCAGAAGTTGGGACTGCCCTGTCTGCCGAGCGAGGCTGTTTGCCAGGGTCTCGGCACGTCCAGGCCTCACCTGCAGAAGGCATCTCCAGCTCGTATCACCACCACCGGCTGGGCTTCCTTGCACTTCACACACTTGTGCTCACGGCTGTGGACATGTGAGGGGGGAGAAGGGAGGAACACAGATTTGGGGAACTCCTGTTTCTGAACCTGAGCTGGGTCAGAGCAAAGCATCTTGTGACACACACAAACCAAGGCTTGTGTTTTGTCCAAACTTAAAAAGGCTCTTAGGGGGATGTTTAGCCTAAAACACGAGGCTCACGAGGCACATAAAGACCACTATTCAATCTTCCAACCAAGGCTGGCACAGGGAGGAGAGACAGCTTCACTGAACCAGTTCCATACGAATAAGGGTGGCAGTGTCAGCGGCAGAGACGTCCCCAGTGGCTGCCAGGATGATGGGAGGTGCGAGCCAGTGGAATGAGCCCCCTTCCTGGGTGCTCGTCACGGCTGGACAGTCACTCCCCGAGTGCTGAGGAGGGAGGCCCGCCCTCCACGCGGTGCTCAGAAGTGACGGCAAAGCCCGACCAGGACCCTCGGGTGCAGGAGTGCAGCGGGAAGGCGAGGGTCGGCCCCGCCGGTCTGGCCGCCAGCTCTTACCTAGGCCGCGGCGCCGGGGGCGGCTCCCGGGGAGCTGGCTCTCCGTAGTCCTCTCCCACCTGACACATGCTCACGCCAGGTCCCGTCGCAGATTGCGGCTACTACAGCGCGAGGGCGCGCCCTTATGACGCCAGCGCGGCGCCGTCAGGGCCGCGAAGCGCGGCTGGGGGCGGCGCTCTCCGATGACGTCAGCGCGGCGCAGTCGCGGCCGTGACGCTCTGGCCGGGCCGGGCCGGGCCTGGACAGCGGGCAGCGGGCGGCGCGGGCCTGGCCCCGGGATGGCGATGTTCCGCAGCCTGGTGGCCTCGGCTCAGCAGCGGCAGCCGCCGGCCGGGCCCGCGGGCGGCGACAGCGGCCTGGAGGCGCAGTACACCTGCCCCATCTGCCTGGAGGTCTATCACCGGCCCGTGGCCATCGGCAGCTGCGGTCACACGTGAGCGCGCCCGCCGGGGGCCTCGGGGAGGGGGCCGCGCCCCGCCGCGGGAGGGATCGCTGGGCCGGCGGCCGCTCCGGTGCAGTCCCGGACTGGGCGCGCGGGGACTCAGGGGCGCGCGGGGTCCGGGCTCCCCTGCGCGGCGCCGCCGCTGTCCTCGGGGCGCGTTCGTCCTCCGCCCGGGCGCCCGGTCCGCTGCTCCTGCGGTTCCCGGGCCGACCTGAGGCCCTGCCCAAGCTCGGGGTCCCCGGGGACTGCGGCGGGCGCTCGGGTACTCAGAGGGCAGCAGGTGCCACCGCTCCGCCGGTGGCGGCGGCTTTGGTCTTGTGGGGCTGGAGTGGGCAGTTGTGAATAAATGACTTGTGGCTTTTGCTATCAACTCTTGTTCGGACCCGCTGTTTGCCTGTTTTGATGACGGAGGAAAGGAGTTCCCTGAAGTTTAGAGGGGCTTGTTTGGAGTCTGATGTTACGATTTCTTTGAAGGAGAACTTGGGTCACAGCAATCACTGGCTAGCCAGGCAGCCCGGTCCACAGGGGAGCAGACACTGACCCCCTTGCTGGGGTTTCCAGCGGCACCAGGGCTCAAAGCTGCTTCCTGAAGGGTGTTTCAGGAACAGAAACTCGAGGACGTGGCTTTCCTCCCGGCGGGGGCCTGCGCTCAAGTATTATGGAGCTGCCAGCCCCGTTGGGAGGAAGCCGAGATCAGAGTGTCTGCTCCACACCCTCTCCTAAGTGCTGAATAATACAGCTCTTGAGCAAAATGAGCAGTGGCAGGGTAGAGAGCGAGCAGGGCTTCCCCACAGACATCCAAGCTGCTGAGGTGCTGGAGTCTAGAGGGGTGCACCCAGGCTGGTAGGAGGCTCTAGAACATTTTGCAAGCAAAGGCAGCTGACTTCAGAGGCTCCTACCACAGAGGGAGCTGGTGGCTGTGTGCTGGGCACCCACGGAGGTGGCAGGGCCAGTGTCAGGAAGCAGAGCTGAGAGCTGGTTGGTCACCTGTGTCAGGTGGCACAGGTCCCTGCCCACGCTGGGATAGCTCTACCGACTTCTCCTGGCGCTGCTAAAGGCCCTGCTCCCGCTCCTCCATCTCACTTTGCTGTGACATTTTCGTGTGGCAGCCTCTGAAGAGGACTTTTTTTTGGAGACGGAATCTTTTCACCCAGGCTGGAGTGCAAGGGGTGCTATCTGGGCTCACTGCAACCTCCACCTCCTGGCTTCAAGCGGCTTTCCTGCCTCAGCCTCCTGAGAAGCTGGGGTGCCCCCCACCATGCCTGGCTTATTTTGTATTTTTATTAGAGATGAGGCTTGACCAAGCTGGTCTTGAACTCCACACCTTGTGATCCCCCCACCTGAGCCTCCCGAAATGCTGGGATTACAGGCGTGAGCCACCGCTCCCTGGGGGACTTCTTGTGAGCAGGTAGTAACGGGTATTTCATGTGTGTTCTGCACCTTCTCTGTTACCGAGGGCTGCAAGGCTTGACCTTGGCCTGGTTTTAGAAAGCCTCCCATGGCTTTTGGGTGTCAGCACCTTCACCTTGTGGTGACCACAGCATTTCCACCTTCCTGTCTGCACAGATCCGTATTTCCCTGTTTTCCAAATGCGTGCTTCTAAAATGTGGTTTTCATCACACAGAATCCAGGACTGCATGGAATCGTGGAGCATCTTTCCTGTGAACTTCTCTCCCACATGCTTCTCTTGGTAGAATCTGATAGCCCTCCTGGCCTCACTGTGGGTCCTGCCGGAGCTTTGCCCACAGCCTTTGCCTTTCAAAGACTTTTCTCCCTGACTTTCCCTGGCAGCTTTGTTTTCTGGCCCTACCTTTCTGTTTCTTGCTGGCGTTCCTAAGGCATGCATGCAAACGAGCACGGACAGTTGAAAGACTCTCTGGGTCCCCTCCACAGGCTCCCAGCCAGAACAGCTTCCTCCTCCAGGGTAGAGTTCTTGCGGCAGGTGTACCCTGTGTGGGGCGAGCACCTTGCTCTAGCCTTGGGCAGGAGGCCCCCTGGGGGCCCGCAGGAACTGTTGTCACTCGGGACAGTATGAGCATTAAGCCACCTATAGTACCAGAGGCCTGTGGCCAGGACCCGTGAGCATGACCCCGCCTGGAAGGCCTGTGTGAGCAGCCTCCACCTGTGCAGGGCAGCTGTTGGCAGCTGAGGGCCGGCCAGGCAGATCGCTGAAACATGGGCTGTCCAGCTCCTCAGCTTGTGCAGCAGCCAGTGTGGGGGCGACACCCCATTGGCAGTCCCCAGTGCCTGCTGGGAGGACTGGTGTGCGGTCCCCCTCCCACTTTGCAAGGCTGTCACGCCCCCACACCCATTGCCCTCAGCTACTTGCTTTAGCCGAGAAGCTGCTCAGCACCAGCCCCTGGGTGGGTGCAGACAGGAACTTCCTGTGGGGGCAGCGGGCACTGCTCCCGGCTGCTGGCTCTCCAGGTACCAGGGTGGCCATCACTGGAAACTAGGCCAAGGGCTGCACCCACCTTCTGGATACCTCATTCTGCCTCCTGCTCCTCAGAGGCCCGGCTCCCCCGCCTGCCAGCCTGGGTTCCCTCTCGGGTCTTCCTCGGGCCTGGCTCCCCCGCCTGCCAGGCTGCGTTCCCTCTCGTGTTTTCTGAGTCCTTCAGGGTGCGGATGAGGCTGTCTTCCTCCTGTCTTTCCTCTCTTCTTCCCCAGCTTTGCCTGGGACGCTTCTTCCATTGAAGTAGCTGCCACTCGGCCCGTGGCCATGCAGTGCAGCTGGGCTCCCGCCTGGCCTCTGGCAGCTTAGGGTTTGCTCAGCAGTCAGTGCGAGGTTAGAAGATTCTTACCGCCCCAGAAGGAAGCAGGGCCCTCCCCGGCAGCTGCCGTTCTGCTTTCTGTGGCCATTTAGTGAGTGGATTCCTGCCACGTGGTCGGCCGTGCTTGCTGTCTGCCCTGCGCCGTTTCCCAGGCCTCCTGGCGCATGGTGAGGCTTCACGCCTCTTCTCAGTTGAATACCCTTTCCGTGTGTGTCACGCCACACACCTTCTTCATCCATCTGCTGGCGGGCACCAGGATTGTTTCCACCTCTCCCTGCCATGAGAAGCTGAGCAGGGGTCCCGGGGCCTCCCCACGTGGATCATCTTGCCAGCACCTTCCTCCCGAAATCGGTGGAATAGGTGGCCTCCACGGCTTGAGTCCAGGGGCCAGTGCCAGGGATGCCCCAGGAAATACCTGCTGGGGTGCTCAGGTGTGGGAGTGTGGGTGTCTCCTCCGCAGACCTGCCGGGACACCTGCTGAGACCTCAGGCAAGGCGGGGGAAGTGAGCAACCTCTGTACTCTGCAGAAGGCTCACGGGGGCTGTTCACTTTGACAGGTTCACAAAGGTTAATGTGGGAGCCACCGCCGGGTGGGGCTCCATCAGAATCCAGTGGTGGGGAAAGAGGGCATGGGGGACAGCGGGAGGGACATAAGACGCTCCCTTGGCCTTCCTCCTCGCAGATAGGGCCTTTTCTTGGGAAGGACGTGGAAATCTCTTGATGGCAAACAGGACTTTGGCCCTTAATTCAGCGGAGTGGTTGTGAACTCGGGAACTGCCCGCAGTCCCGGCCAGTGGGGCTCCTACACCAGCGCCTCGACCTGTCCCACCGCGACCCCTGGTCCCACAGGTTTCCCACGGCTGAGGGGCTCCACCCTTCTCCCAGCTCCTCGCTGGGGCTCAGCTGTCCCCATCCCCAGCAGGATGTGGCCCCGGGGTCAGGCTCCTTCTCTGTGTTTGCGCTGGGGGCTCTCACTGGCTGGCTGTGCTCCCCTCCAAGGCCTGTGTGCGTCTACAGAGTGTGATGTGGCTGTAGATACCAGCGGGAGGGTGTGTGGCCATGGAGTGCACCCAGGGCCGCCGGACTTTCATTCTGGCCTCACGACACAATGTCTCCAGGCAGTGCCAAGAGACAGGGCCCATGGGAGCCTCAAGTGCCCCACAGTGGCCAGGACCTGAGCCTCTGCTCCTGCCTGCTAAGCTGTCCCAAGCCCGGTGACTGCTACCTGGCCTCCGAGCGTGCTGCCATGGCCGGCTTTGGCCCTTCCCTGTCCAGTGCTTCTGGAGGCTCTGGGGCCTGGCAGTTTCCTTTCCCACGATTGTCTGAGATTTGATCCCCTAGAGCCTGGCACTAGAAGAGTTTCCAGAGTCCCTGGGTTATCTCTGTGCCCCACGGCCCACCCAGGTGTTGTCCCCATGTGAGCATGAGCCTGGTGGGCCGAGCCTGGGGCTCCTGCTTATGGGAGCTCCTCTGGCCCACACGTGGTGGATGGCCATCGCTACGGCTCTGCCCCTAGGCAGAAAACCACAGGGGCCCTACTGTCAGGAGGGACTGGGGCCACCCTTTAGCCAGATGGGGCCCATCCAGTTGGTGGGCCTTGGATGTAAGAGTGACTGTCTCTGGAAATGGTGACAGCAGTTGTGAGAGCTGTCCCTGCAGACCCCACAAGTGCTGGGTCCTGAGAAGGGGCTCGGGTGAGGCTCGAGGTACAGTTTGGGAGACCCGAGTGGCGTGCTGGCGCTCAGGCCCCTGTCCCTTGCAGGTTCTGCGGGGAGTGCCTCCAACCATGCCTGCAGGTGCCATCCCCGCTGTGCCCACTCTGCCGCCTGCCCTTCGACCCCAAGAAGGTGGACAAGGCCACCCACGTGGAGAAGCAGCTCTCATCCTACAAAGCGCCCTGTCGAGGCTGCAACAAAAAGGTACCGCCTGCTCGGGCAGTCCTGGGAGGCGGGGGCACTCGATGGGCAGCCTCAGCCCATGGGTTCCGCAGAGGGCGGGGCTGGGGCCGTCTCACTTTCCTGTTGAGTAACCGCAGCTCCTGCACCAGGAAGCCGGCCCAGGCGCCTCCCTCCCCTCCGTCTTCATCTCTCCCTTCCCATCGTGATGACTGATGGGGGCCAGCCGGTGGGTGCAGCACCATTAGGGCCGCCTGGCCTGGGCCAAGGGAACCCATGTGGGTGGTGGCCAGTGAAGGGATGGGGCCTGAGCTGAAACCTTCCCATGCAGCCTTCCCCTGCCAGCTGATACCGGGACAGCACTGGGGACTCCAAGGTCACCAGGGCCACAGGCAGAGTCAAGGACATATAAGGGCCGAGCACCATCCAGCTGCCAGCAGTGCCAGAGCTGGGCAGGTGGGCGCCGCCACACCACATCAGAGCAGCCCAAGGGCCTGCCACTTGTCATGGGCCTCAGTGGCCCCCATTCTCTGTCCTGCCCTGGAGCCTGGCCTGTGCCCCACAGCCCTCCCTAGCACACTCACCTCAGGGTGGGGAGGCCCCAGCTAGTGGCTGTTTCTTTCAGCGGCTTCCGAGGGACTGAGCGGTTATAATTGGTTTTGAATTATTTCTCACACTGCCGCGTCTCAGGTTATTAAGCTCTACAAAGTACTCACACTGGAACGCGGCCACTCGGGGCCTTATCCTCAAGGTCAGAGGTCCAGACATCCAGAGGCTGCCCCAGATTCCAGAGTGGCGAGGCTGAGCAGGCTGTGGTCTCAGGTGCTTGGGTACCCCGTCTCCTCCCTGCTCAGCGTTCCTCTCTCCTGGGCAGACAGACAGGATCAGAACGGGTCACATGCAGAGCGGCCTCCCCACACCACAGCGGTCGATTCTCTAACCTGGGTCTTCTCGCGCAGCTGTGTCTCCCGGAACCTTGCCGGGAGGGGATGTGGCGCACCCCTCAGAGTCCAGCAGCCCTGGGCAGAGCTGGGTGTCAGGCTTGTGTCCAGGAGGACCTCGGGCACCTGCAGTCTGGCAGCCTGTTGCCCTGGATGTCAGGTGGGCTGTTGGTGGAGGATGGTGCCGTGTCCCATGGAAGGATTCTCAGCCTGCCTCTCAGTTCCACGGAGTGTCTGCCCCAGCTTGGGGCATGTGCTGAGTGGCAAGGCTTCGTGGCCTCCACTTGGCTGCTTCCTTTTTCTGGAGCATGTATGTGAACCACGCCGAGCTCTGCCTCCCCCAGGTGCCAGAGACAGCCTTGCCTGCCTCCCGCCGCCTTCTCAGGCCAGGTTCTGCCCTCGGCCAGACCATCCTCCGGTGACCTGCTTTTGGCCATGGAGTAGCGACTGCTCCGTGCCTGTGATCTAGCAGGGAAGGACCGGGTCCCCTCTGCTGGCAACACAGCTGCTTGCTTGCAGTTTTCTGGTCCTGGACACCTGAGGTCTCGGCCTTCCCAGGACAGCTCTTCCATATCCTCAGGACTGCCTTGCCCTCCTGCCCTGTCTCCTAGGTGACCCTGGCAAAGATGAGAGGGCACATTTCCTCCTGCCTGAAGGTCCAGGAGCAGATGGCCAACTGCCCCAAGTTCGTCCCCGTGGTGCCCACATCCCAGCCCATCCCCAGGTAGGCCACCCTGCTGGGGCAGGGGAGAGGGACAGAGCCCTCGGCTGTTTCCTCACTCCAGGAGCAAGTGCAGTGCCCTGTCCCAGCGAGGCTGGGGAGTTGCCCGGGGTCCGTCCACTCTGGGGTGGTAGACCTGTCCCTGCCACCCTGCAGGAAGGCACCTGTGCTTCCCTCCCTGGCACACTCACCAGACTCCCTGGGGTACGGACACCTCAGGTGTGGGGTGCAGAAGGAGGGTGTAGGCCAGACCCACAGGTCACCTCCCAGCGGGTGGATGGGCCAAGAGATGGCTCTTCCAGGGCTGCACCAGCAGACTCCAGCCTGTGGCTGGCCTGGTTGTGTGAGGAGGCCATGGCGTGTAGAGGCACAGAGGGCACACAGTTCTACAGAGGGTGGCCTGGGGCCACACCTGCGTTTGAGAGAAGCAGGTGGCAGGGCCCCTAGGCCCCCAGCCGTGCTGCTCACACTACCCCGCCCCGCCAGCAACATCCCCAACAGGTCCACCTTCGCCTGCCCGTACTGTGGTGCCCGCAACTTGGACCAGCAGGAGCTGGTGAAGCACTGTGTGGAAAGCCACCGCAGCGACCCCAACCGTGTGGTGAGCAGCGTCTGCCCGGCCCGGGAGAGAACCACCTGTGCTGGGGGGTCCGTGGTGCTGAGGCCTCAAAGGCCTCCGGGGACCCGTGGTGGGGACCTGGCTGCCCCAGCAGCACCTGGCAGGAACTGGGGAGCATCCCTAAGTCTTCAGGGTGATGCTCACTGATTAATTCATTTGTCACCCAGGCATGTTCCTCTGGGTCTGGGGTGCCTTCCCAGGCTGGGGCACTGATAGGGGCTCGGGAGGGCACCCCAGAGGCTGGAAGGACCCCCAGTCCTGTGAGGCTGTGCCACCTCGTCCTGGTCCAGCTTGGCCTGATCCCGCTGCCCCTTCCAGGTATGCCCCATCTGCTCGGCGATGCCCTGGGGGGACCCCAGCTACAAGAGCGCCAACTTTCTGCAGCACCTGCTGCACCGGCACAAGTTCTCCTACGACACCTTTGTGGTAGGCGCCCTGCCGGCCCGGCCCGGCCCCACCCCACCCTTCCTCGGCCACCCTCCTCCTGCGCGGGCCCCTAGCCAGCCTCAGGGTCACAGGGCTCCGAGGAAGCCGCAAGTAAAAGCCATTGCAGGTGGCTACGCTCCTCCAGGTTCCGAGGGGCAGGGGAGGGCCGTGAGCAGGTGGGGAGCGATGGTGGCTGAGCCCAAGTGGCCACTAGAGGGTGCCCAGACCTCTTAGGGACGTGGACCACACTGGGCAGGTCCCTGCCTGCCCACCCCACAGAGCCCCTTGAGAATGAGCGGGGCTTCCTTCCTCAAGCTTTCTGGAGGGAGCTGGAAGGACTCCCATCGCCATTGGCCCCTCCGGCTTTGTCTCCTTCTCCCAGCCGCCGTGGGTCAGGCGTGCACCCAGGCCGGCAGACCCTCATGCAAACTCTTCACTCCTGGTGCGGCCCCTCCCTGCCCAGCCCTGTGTATTCCTGGCGCTGGCTTACAATCCTGTTGACAGCTGTCACTCCCGCTGCCAGCCGCCCAGGACCCATGCTCCTGACAGCCTCAGGATGGAAAGTGTCGGAGGTCAGGGAGCCCTGGCCTGCCTGCTCACCTCGGACACCTCAGGGCTTAGAGTCTGAGCTGAAGCAGCAGCCCCCAGCCCCCCCCACAAACCCACTGGCACCCAGTCACCTGGTGCACAGTGTCCCTGGGCCCCCTCAGGGAACTAGCTGAAGAACAGAACTCCGGGGAGCAGGTGACGGTCACACATTCTCAACCCCGCAGGCCCCATGCCTGCGGGTCCTTCCTGTGTCCTGCTGGAGGGAGGCACGAAGGGTGGACACGACTGTGTGGGTGGGGGGCAGAGGGGCGGCCCTCACACCCAGCGCTTCTCTCCTCCCTGTCTCCAGGACTACAGCATTGATGAGGAGGCTGCCTTCCAGGCTGCCCTGGCCCTGTCTCTCTCTGAGAACTGAAAGGGGCAGCACAGCCACCTGCCCCTGTCTGGGGTCAAGGATGCCCCTGCTCGAGGGACAGGGCTGGGCTCCTGTGTCACACCTGGCATCTCCTCAGGAGCACGCCTCACCGGCCCAGGAGGAGCCTGCACCTGTGCAGGAGGGGAGACGGGCCAGCCGCCTAGACCGCCAGAGCAGGGCCACCTGGTCCCGCCAGCGTCGCTGGCTCATTCGGTGCTTCTGGCCAAGCAGGCGGCCTCCTTGGGCAGGGCTGGCCGCTGGGACCTGGAGCAGTCGCTGTCTCTTCAAAGCCATGATGCCCCCGCGTGGGAAGAAGGGACCAGTGGTGTCTGAGCTGCACCCGGCAGTAGAGCCAGGAGGAACCCCAGCTGCCGCCCTGCCCGCCCCGGCCCCGCTTCCACCTTGCGCATTTGGTACTGGCTTTTGTGATACTTAGGAATCCTGGCATCTTTTCTATACGATCCGGTGTGATAATCTTTTCACATTTTATAGAGCAAAGACAGAGCAGTGACTCTTCATACTGCAATATCTGTGTTTGACTAGGGATAATAGTATTTTTATGGAACATTTACAAAATTATATTTTTTAAAAGAAACAAAACAAGCATTGTGGGATTGGGGCAAGGAGGAAAGGAGCAGCGGGGCCTGCTGGAGCTCAGGCGAGCCTCAGGCCTGCCCGGGCCACCCAGCCTGTCTGGGTCCTTGAGGTTTGCGTGTTTCTCTTTGATAACCGGAAGAAATCCCAGCACCCCAGGCACCTGCAGCGGCTGCTCCCAGGAGAGGCAGGGCCGGCAGAGCAGGGGCCCCTCCTGACCTCAGCCCACTGTCACCTTCCCAGCTGACTGTGCCCCACTGCCCGAGGGGACTTGGCCCTAGCGGTGCGGCGCTCCAGGGCCTGGCCGGGGCCTGCGTGGTGGGCCGGGCAACGCGTCAGCACTCTTTTCTGTTCTTGGCATTAATTGTTGCTGTCTTTTTTTAAAATAAAAGTTTAAATAAAATGTCTCAGAGCATCTCTAGCAGCCCTGACTGGGCTTATCCTCCACGGTGTGGCATCGCCAGCTGCTCTGTACGTGGGAGGCTGCCGTGCCTTCCCAGGCAGCTCATGCTGGGGTGCAGCCTGCAGCCCTTGCGTGCCCTGGCCCAAGCCTCACTCAGCCATGGAGGGTCGCACAGAGCCATGCCGACATGGGCACTGGGCACTGGGCCCTCCTCCTTCTAAGGGACCACATGCTTCTGTCCCCACAGGGCTCCTGTTTCCCCCTTGCCTGGGCTTCGAACTCCCAGCTGCTTTCTTTGCCCTTTTTGGTTTTTTTTAAGAGCTGGGGTCTCACTCTGTCGACCAGGCTGGAGGGCAGTGGTGTGATCATAGCTCACTACAATCTCCGTCTCCTGGGCTCAAGTGATCCCCCTGCCCTGACCTCCTGTGTCACTGGGACCACAGGTGTGCCTGACCTGGATTGCTTTCTGAGCACACTGAGTGTATGAAAGCGCTTGTAGCTCTGCGACGGGTCACCGTCAGGGGCAGGGGGTCCCCTGTTCTACCATCTCTGAGGGCCTCAGGCTGACGAGAATCACCTGCTCGCCAACCCCAGAGCAGCCAGCCATCCGAGATCAGCCACTGTTTCCTGCCTCCTCCCTCCCCTCTCAGTTAAGGGGTGTTTTCAGTCTCTGTTCTGGATTTTTTTTTTTTTTTTAGATGGAGTTTCGCTGTTGTTGCCCAGGCTGGAGTGCAGTGGTGTGATCTCGGCTCACTGCAACCTCCGCCTCCTGGCTTCAAGCCATTCTCCTGCCTCAGCCTCCAGAGTAGCTGGGACTACAGGCACGCACCACCACGCCTAGCTAATTGTTCTGGATTCTTTACTAGAATGGGAGGTGGCTGTCCTGACCCTGAAGGCCACAGCTTGGGCTGGACATGCAGGAGCCTCCACCAGCCTTCAACCCAGGGGAGACACCCCTTAGGGAGCATGGCTGACTTCAGATTGCACTCGCCAAGGGCCACCGGAGACCCCACCTTCCCTTCCCACTACTCTTTGACCCCTGGTGACATGGCCCTGTGTCTGGGAGGCCCTCACCAGCCAGCACCAAACTTTGGGGAACAGCAGAGCCAGCTGCCAGCCTGCCTTTCCCTGTGCCCCTCCAGGAGGAGGCTCGAGACACAGTGTCCCCAGGAACCATGTGGGCCTCTGACTGATGCCCAGAGAGGCCAATAGCCTGCAGAGCAGGGCCAGTCCCAGCCACGTGTGGCTGTGTGTTCACCTACTCCACAGCTGACCGGAGGGTGACATGGAGCAGTCACGAGGGCATGACCCGGGGTGTCCAAGAAGCCCGGAGGCAGCTCCGGGGCCCTGTCTGGACAGATCGTGGCCTCAACTACAGCCCTTGGGGAGGTGCCCAAGTCTCTGTGCCTCACCGGGGGAGGCGGAATCACCTACAGGTCACTGAGTGGCTCCCCGACGCCTCGGGAATGGGGAGGGGCTGTCAGGGTTGGCATGGACAGGCTGGGAACTGCCTGGACTCCCAGGCTTTGCTCTGCCCCAGGCCCCCTGCTTCCATGCAGGCAGGTGCGTCGGGGGTGAATTCTGTGTCACTCTCAGCTCTGAAGGTCCCTCCTGGGACCACGCTGTGACCGCTGGTGCTGGGGACTCAGCAAGGCCGGGGCTGGGGCGGGGGCACCGGGCCCAGGTGGGGCAGGAGAAGGAAAGGCTCCTGCACCCACTGTCACTCATGCTGTGGATGGGAATGGTTTTAACCAACTGTAGCCTCTGAAAGGCACATGAGAAGCCCGTCCCCATGTGCTTGTCCCACTGGGCGGCCCTCGTCCTCAGGCAGCCCTCCCTGACCGAACCACAGCCACGCGCCTCCTACAAGCCAGCATCGCCCAGAGTCGAGGACAGAGAACGGAGCCCAGACAAGGAGACCACCCTGTCACACTCCACCAGCCCTGCTCCCAAACCCTGGGCTGCCTCTGGACGCTCAGCCCCATGGAGGAAGCTGAACCCTGTCCCCTCCCAGTTGGACCCAGGCCTTCCGCTACTTCGGCTCCTGGGCGCTGTGAGAGGAAGCCCAGGGCCCCTCCTCAGGGCACCCCCTGTCCCTGCACGTGGGTCTGGAAGCAGCAGACCCATCCCCTCCAGGTCCCCTCATGGAGGCCACAGGAGAGCTGAGAGCCGCAGGCCGGTGTCCAGGTGAAGATGCCGCCTCAGCCTTCCTCATGGGTGACCTGGTGTCTGGGAGAATCTGCCGAGTCCAGGGTAGGACTTCAGAATGACAGGAAGTGGCGACTTGGGGTCCCTCGGAACTCAGCAGACCCTGCCGTGTGGGGAGGAGGCCTCAGGCTGGGAGCAAGGCCCCCGGCTCCATCTTTCTACTTATCAAAGCCCTGGGTAGAGCCGGACGACTGCACTGGGATACAGTGGGGCTGTCCCAGTGACAGCGGGGAGGCCGGGCCCCTCCTACGGCCACGCGAGGAGATAAGCTGAAGCGCCTCGTGTCGTGGGGTGGGGGCGTGCACAGCACCGGAGCCAGAGTGCGGCCCACTCAGACCACACGAGCCTCGGGAGCTGGGATGTGGGCCCACCGCTCTCAGGCAGGGCCCTGGAATCCTGGGTGTCCCTCCCACCCTGGGGTACAGCAGGACCTGACTGCAAGGCGCCAAGCCACGGAGGGCTCCTGCCCTGTGGGGTCCAGGCCCTTCCCAGACCAGCAGTAGCATGGGGAGCGCGAACCCTGCCGTCCAGAGGGTGCCGCCAGGTCCTAGGGACCAGGGAACTTCCCCATTAGAAAGAGGTCAGGTGGGAATGGAGATTCCCTGGCCCCAGGCTGGACCCCACAAGAAACTGCCCGTAATTCTCATACCTGGGTCTCAGGAGCCATGACCAGCGCTCTGGGCCCTCACAGGCGGCGGCAGCAGCAGAACCACAGGTGTGCGTGAGGGAGGGGGTGTTTCCTCCAACTGAGGGCCTCCCAGCTGCAGCTCCTCTATCCCGAGGCCCAGCGCACGGGCTGCAGCAGCCTGACCCTCCCAGGATCCTCTGGGTGCATCTGGGTGGTGCCTTGGCATTCCTCTAATTTGGGGCCACCTGTTTTTATGCTCATGTGGCCCTAGGGAAGGAGGCAGAGGCCAGTGCTCCTGTTTTGTAGATGAAAAAAGATACTCAGAAAACCTGCCCCAAATCCTCTGCTAACAAGAGGCACGCAGGGCTGGCATTCCACTGTGGGCCCAGCCGGGACACCTACTTGGCAGCTCACCTGAAAAACCCCGGAGGCCTCCACGGGGACCCTAACGCCCTGCGCCAGGACGTGATGCAGGGAGAAGGAGGGAGGGGAGGGAGGGCGCCCTCATCTATGTCAGCCTCCCAGCGCGGAACAGCTGGAGGGCCCGGCCCCATTGAGGGATGGCCTGAAGAGGCCGCCTCCGGTGGCCCTGTCCTCCCATAAGTGCATCCCGGGGTTCTCTAAACACACTCATGGAAAAAGAGGCTTGAATTCACTCAGCAAAGCATGGCAAGGTCAAAGGCACTGACACAAAGGTAGCCTAAGGGATGCATCTCTAACACTGGGCTCTCGGCACAAGCAGAGACTTTTTTTTTTTTTTGAGACAGAGTCTCCCAGGTTCAGGCAATTCTCCTGCCTCAGCCTTCTGAGTAGCTGGGATTACAGGCACGTGCCACCACTAGCATGTGCTCAGCTGATTTTTGTATTTTTAGTAGAGACGGGGTTTCACCACATTGGCCAGGCTGGTCTCAAACTCCTGATCACATGATCCGCCCGCCTTGGGCTCCCAAAGTGCTGGGATTACAGGCGTGAGCCACTGCGCTCGGCCAACTCTATTTTCAATAAGGCCCCATGCCCAGAGGTGGGGGTGGAACCCCAACATCTTTTAGGGAGACACAGTTCAGTCACCATGCTGTCCGTCAGCACTCTGTCGATGCTGTCCCTGGCATTTCTGGAGGCACGGGGGCTCCAAGGACCGTGCAACTTTTGCCCGCAGCCCTGACCCTGCCAATGCGGTAACCCAGGGTGCAGGCCATGGAGAAAGCGCCGTGCTGACCTGCAGCCGGAAGGGACGCCAGCTTCCCCACCCCAGGCCCTCCTGCCCCAGGCCCACCCCCGTTCGCAGGAGCCCTGGACAGTCCTCATCCGGATCCCAGGCATGGTGCAGCCCCAGCCCCTTACGCAGCGGGCTTTGTCCTCCTTGTGGCTGGGAGGGAGAATGCACTCAGCAGGTCACCAGTTCCTCCATGGCAGCTGCCCAGTGGCCCCGCAACCTCCCCACTGCCTGCCTCCCAGGCAGGTGTCAGCTCTAACATGGCAGGTGGGAAGCTCAAAGGACACTGGCAGAGAGCAGGTGGCACAGCTGGCACCAGAGGAACCTCCAGGCATCCAACTCTGCAGGACGACGCTGGGGACCCCACAGACCCCTCTCCTGGTGCCTGGCGCTTACCTGCTGATGCCCAGCCTCCATGCCACCTCAGAGAAGGTACTGCCACTTCCCACATGCATATGCCCATGGACACACACACAAACACCCCTGTGACCTGCAGACACACATGCACACTGCCTCGGTACTTGAAGGTTCAATTCTCACCTCATGTGCCCCAAGTCCGAGGGCCACCGTTGCTCTCCCTGGTCTGTGCTAAGGCATCTGCTCCTGCAGTGTCCTGTGTGTGACAGGTGGTATCGGTAGGGACCGTTGTAGCGGGCAGCACAGCCAAGCCCGTAGCCTGGGCACCAGGAGGACACCATGCCCAGACGCCCATGCCACCTACCAGAGATGAGCACTCAGAGGCGTCTCTCCTGCTGGGAGCCTGGGCCCCCATGCTCCCTGCACTTCCTTTCATCAGACCATTCAGGCATTTGCCCGTGAACCTGCGCTGACCGCTCCCCACTCCCTGTGCAAACGGCTCATTGCCACACCCTCTTCTCTCTGCCCGAACCTTCACTTCTGCCACATGGGATCTGGGGATGGACGATGGCTGTCCCCACTCCTGGTGCCCTCCCTGCCCAGGATCTGCGACTAGTAAGTCTTTGAACCTGTTTCCCATTGCAGTGGGGACTGAATTTGTACCTGCCACAAGGAAGAACCAGGGGCTGCCCAGGCTGGGTTTTCTCGGGGACGCGGGGGACACAGGGCAGGCTTCCAGCACCAGAGTGATGGTCAGGCAGGCATAACCTGGACGCGAATCAGACAAGAGGCGCAGGGCGTCTGCCAATGTGAGCAAGTTTCCGGGAGGGACTCCTGGGTGCAGGCCAGACAACCGGGCATTACACCATTTGCCAGGCGAAAGACACATCCTGTGAAAGGCACACGGCGAATACCACGTCCGTCCCCTTCATCTCCAGCGCACAGGGCTGCCAGCCACCGGGCACTGCCACTGAAAGCCAGTGTAGCCGGGGCTCTGACAACAAGCATGTCTGCCTCTCGGGACCCCCATACCACACAGAACGTGTCCACTGGACCCCAGCTTAACAACCACCCTTCAGGCCAGGAGCAGTGGCGCACATCTGTGATCCTAGCACTTTGGGAGGCTGAGGCTGGCAGATCAGCTGAGGTCAGGAGTTCAAGACCAGCCTAACCAACATGGTGAAACGCTGTGTCTACTGAAAATACAAAAATTAGCCAGCTGTGGTGGCGGGCGCTTGTAATCCCAGCTACTCTGGAGGCTGAGGCAGGAGACTTGCTTGAACCCGGGAGGCAGAGGTTGCGGTGAGCCGAGATCGCACCATTGCACTCCAGCCTGGGTGACAGAGCAAGAGTCTGACTCAAAAACAAAACAAAACCCATCCTCTCTCTGACCGTCCAGCCCTCAGTGGGGGTGTGAGCAGCCGCAAACAGTGGTGAGTCCCCTTCCCGGAGGGTGACCAAGCACACAGCCGCTCCCGGTCTGGCTGAACATTGAGATTTCAAGATTGGGTTCACACTTCCATGGGCCCATGACCTTGGGCAGCATGGAGTTGTCCCGAGTCGGGACTTCGGCCTGCATGAACTGCCTCTGCTCCCACAGGAGGGGCCATGTCTCTGAGTGTGGGGACAACCAAGGCCCAGCTGCCAGGCTCTCCTTTGGGGGCCTGGGTCTTCACCTGTGTGTCTCCACTCGAGACACAGGCAGGACCTAAGTGCCCCCAGGGCATGGGGCAGGGCCTCTAGAAAGGCCAGGCTGCCTGCAAGCTCCTGCTTCCCTTCCATCCAGTTCAACAAGCCCTGCTGACCCCCCAGCATGCACCTGACCACAGGTGGGCATTGTGTGGGGAGCAAGAGCTGAGCCCCCACCCCAGTCTAGCTCTCAGGGGCTGCGGTTCAATTCAAGGTGAGGGTTTCCGAGGTTTGCGTCATGAAGTCTTATCAGTAAAAAATGCGCACTGGCTCACACCTGTGATCCCAGCACTTTGGGAGGCTGAGACAGGAGCTCAAGACCAGCCTGGCCAACATGGTGAAACTCCATCTCTACTAAAAATACAAAAAAAAAAAAAATAGCTGGGTGTGGTGGCAGGCACCTGTAATCCTAGCTACTTGGGAGGCTGAGGCAGGAGAATCATTTGGTCCAGGGAGGCAGAGGTTGCAGTGAGCTGAGATCGTGCCACTGCACTCCAGCCTGGCAACAGATCGAAACTCTATCTCAAAAAAAAAAAAAAAAAAAAAAAAAAGCCTCCACAAAAATCTCTGGGTGTGGTAGTGCACACCTGTAATCCCAGCTACGCAGGGGGCTGAGGCAGGAGAATCACTTGAACTCAGGAGGTGGGGGTTGCAGTGAGCTGAGATCACCAAGATCACTCCACTGCACTCCAGCCTGGGTGACAGAGTGAGATTCCCTCTCAAAACAAATAAGGCTGGGTGTGGAGGCTCACACCTGTCATCCCAGCACTTTGGGAGGCCAAGATGGGCTAATCACCTGAGGTCAGGAGTTTGAGACCAACCTGGCCAACATGGTGAAATCCCATCTTTTAAAAAATTAAATTAAGTGGCCGGGCGCGGTGGCTCATGCCTGTAACCAAGCACTTTGGAGGCCAAGGCGGGCAGATCACCTGTAGTAGGGAGTTCAACACCAGCCTGACCAACATGGTGAAAGCCCGTCTTTAAAAAGAAAAATTAGCCCAGCGCGGTGGCTCAAGCCTGTAATCCCAGCACTTTGGGAGGCCAAGGCGGGTGGATCACGAGGTCAAGAGATCGAGACCATCCTGGTCAACAAGATGAAACCCCATCTCTACTAAAAATACAAAAAATTAGCTGGGCATGGTGGCACGTGCCTGTAATCCCAGCTACTCAGGAGGCTGAGGCAGGAGAACTGCTTGAACTCAGGAGGCGGAGGTTGCCGTGAGCTGAAATCGCGCCATTGCACTCCAGCCTGGGTAACAACAGCGAAACTTTGTCTCAAAAAAAAAAAAATTAAAAAGCAAAACGAGGTCAATGGTGACAGAGATGCATACCCAGATGGATACACATCTCCAGGCACTATGTATTTACATCCACGGAAAACCAGAAAAGCAGGAGGACATACGCATGGGATGAAAACGTCAACATAAATGGAACTGTGACCATTTTTGCCCCCATCGGCAGTTCCTGGGGTGGGCTCCCTGCTGGAAAACTGCTGTTGGGCTTCTGATGCAGGCAGATAGGAGGGGCCGGGCTGCCAGGCCCACCACAAGTCATCATCCCGAGGTGGCCCTGGATGTCCAGGGAAGAGGGCGAGGGCGGGTCTAACAGGCTGTAGGCCAGGGGTTTCCCACACAGGGGCACGTAAGGTTAACCCCCAGAGCCAAGCAGCCAGCACTGATGACCAGAGGACAAGGAAGGGATAGAGACGGCTGCCCTCTGTCCCCGAGGCAGCACACGTGGGAAGGGAGACGCTGAAGTTTCCCTCTGTGGGGCCTCCTTGGGTCCAGCCTGGACACTGCCCTGTACGTCACAGCTGGAGTGAGTCTGAAATGGATTCAAGCGTCCCTGGCCGGGGGTTGGGAGAGTTGCTGGGGGAGCCCTAGTACCTGACCCCAAAGGTGCTCTGAAGCCTCAAACCCTCTGGGGCGTTCCCAGGGTAAGATCAGCCACTCTCCACGGGGAGGCTGCGGCTGCCCTGGACAGCACGAGGCTCTAGCTGGATTAGGACATAAGCTTGCTGGGGCTTGGCGGATGGCCACACAATGGGTAGGTGGGCGGGGAGGGACAGTGTGGGTGGAGGCTTGGCTCAGGTATCTGCAAGCATTATCTGTGTCTGTGAGGGGGAGAGAGAAGGAAGGGAGGCTATAAATAGAACCCTTTCAAGGCAAGGAACAGGTGAGCAAGCAGAAGGCAGGCACGTGTCTGAAATCCACACTCCCGCCAGGGTGGTGCCAGGCCGTGGTTGTGGGAGAGGCGGGAACCTTCTTCCAGGGTCGCCCCCACCTGTTCTTCCACTCCCCCCTGCCAAGTGGCAGACAAGCTGGAGTGGGGCTGGGTCCCACTCCCACTGCGTCCTAACCTCTCACAGCCTTGGTCCTCTCTTTTTCTTTCTCTTTCTTTTTTTTTTTTTTTTAATTTTTTGAGACAGGGTCTGTTTCTGTTGCCCAGACTGGAGTGCAGTGGGGTGATCACAGCTCCCTGCAGCCTCCACCTTCGGGAGGCTAGTCCAACAAGCCATCTTCCCTCCTTAGCCTCTTGAGTAGCTGGGACTGAAGAGGGGCATTGCCACTTCTGGCTAGTTAAAAAAAATTTTTTTGTAGAGATGGGGTCTCATCTTGTTTTTCAGGCTGCTCTCAAACTCCTGGGCTCAAGCATTCCTCTGTGTCAGCCTCCCACAGTGCCGGATCACAGGTGTGAGCTGCTGAGCCCACTCTCAGACCCTTGGTTTTTTCACTGGCAAAGCGGGGCTGATACTACCCCAGCTTCTCACACCCTGGACGTGGGATGTGGGACGCCCCTCCTCTCCAATGTCTCTCCCTCAGTGCTTCCATGGACTCACCACTCCCCACCTTCCCCACCCCTGGCCCACAGAAGGCAAAGGGCACCCAGCTCTTAGGTGGAAGCCACGGTGGGGAGGCAGGCCTTCGGCACCAACGTGGACATGCCTATGTTCACCCCAGCCCAGAGATGCCCCACCTGGCCCCCAACTTTATGAAACATCAAAAGGGACCCAGACACTGGACACAAGGGTTCCCAGCTCTTTATGGCACAGAGGATTCTACAGGTTGACAAAGGTGGGAAATGGCTGGCCCAGGTCACTCTACAGCTGTTGCAGAATTCATGTGATTTGCCAGTTTTATTAAACTTCCCATAACCATTCTGACCCCTTGGGAATTCCAGAATTCCAGAATTCCAGGTCCAGTCCTGAGTCCCCCCTGCCCCCCAAAAAGTGCTTTCTGGCGGCACTAGGCAAACTCCTAAAGGGCTGTCTCCAGCGACGGAGCCTTGAGAGACTGCAGCCCACCCAGAAAGGGCCACTGTCCCCAGGCCACCGGTCCCTGCGGGTTCCAGGGCACCAACCCTGGGCCGCCACTAGGGCTGGTCAGTCGGGTCAGCTTTGGACTTCCAGGGCTCTGCCCATGAATCCGGCCGTGTGGGTTTGCAGAAGGGATGGGAAGGCGCGGCCGGGGGGAGGGCGTCATCCGCCGCAGCAAGGGTTCCCGAGGACTGGGCTCGGCCGGCGCTTCCACGCTCTGTGGACAGGAGCCCAGCTCGGTTTCCACTCAACCTTGAACTCTGCCCTTTAATTCACGGCGAGTGGGCGGCCAGGCCCGAGGGGTCGGTGTGTGACTCGGCGGCGCGCGCGCCAGGGAAGTCCCGTGGGGAGGACACCGACGGCCACGCGCTCCCCGCCCCGCCCCGCCCGCGCACCTGTCCCGGGCGTGGCGCCCGCGGCTGCTGCCCCGCCCCGCCCAGCTCGCACCGGGCGCTGGTTGGCGGAGGCGGCGCGCTATGCTAATAAGCCTGACCCCTTCCGCACCTGCCTGGGCCGGGCGGCCGGGCCCGCGGACACCGCAGTCGCGACCTGCGCTCGCCCCTCCCGCCCCGGCCCGCCCCGGCCCGCCCCGGCCCGCCGCCCGGGAGGGACCATGCCGCGCTCCTTCCTGGTGAAAACGCACTCCAGCCACAGGGTCCCCAACTACGGGCGGCTGGAGACACAGAGAGGTACTGGCTGCCCGACCTCCTGACGGGACTAGAGCCTGCGGGGCGGGAGAGAGGCCCCTGGGAGCCGGGGGTGTGGGGACATCTGTCCCAGGTGGGAGGAGAAGGTGCCAGCACTTCTGCGCGGTGGCTGCGGCTCCAGGGAGGTAGGTGGCCCACGGGCGCCTCCACTTAAGGAACTGAGCCCCAACTCTGGCAGGGCGGGCGGATTCTCTCCGCTCTTGGAGTTTTCTAAGCCTCCATGTCTCCCTGGAATTCACCTCTTATATACGGCCTCCCGTCCCCACCACTTCAGCCCCAGCGAAAGGGACCCTGGGGTCATCTTACTGGCACACGGGTTTGGGAGGCGTTGCAGGGTAGTGGGAGGGAAGGAGGGCCGTCTGGGACTGCCCTGCTGAGGGACCCGTGGAGCATGCTGACCAGGGGTGGTAAGCACAGGGAATGGGAAGAAGGGGGACCCCTGAGCTCTTCCTGCTGCAAAGGCACTGCCCCTCCTGCCTCAGTTCGGGTGAGCCTCCTCCCCCAACCTCCCCTCACCCCAGAAGCCCTCTTGCTCACGCTGTCAGGCTTGCCTGGGCAGGCTGGGCTAAGGGGCTGCAACACACTGGCTGGGCTGGGGAGATGCGTGCTCAGCAATCAGGATGTCCACTCATTCCCACTGCCTGCTAGACACAGGGACACTACAGGAGAGGACTCTGTCCTTCAGAGGACAGCCCGCCACATGGGCAGTCAGAGCAGTCCTCACCTGGCTTGGCAGCTTCTTGGGACAAAGCCCACTGAGGGGCCCCAGTGGACGCAGCAGTCGGGACTCACGCTCTGCGGCTGGGGGGAGAGGGCAGGAAGAGCACTGCTGAGGCTGGGGCCTCCAGAAACACCCCCAACAGATCTTTATCCCAGCTCAGAACTGGAGCTGGGGGCAGGAGGGTCCCACCTGGATCCCCTCGAGGCCCAGGCTGCCACCAGGGGGTGCCAGCTAGGACTGTGCTTTTAAAATGTACATTTTGAAATCAGTTTCATGAGTCACAACGAGCAATTCTATAAAATAAAATAGAACAGAAACTATTGGAGTGCCGTGCTCTAGGCGAAGGACGCTGGCTTGTTATGTGGATGTGGATGTGCGTGAGTTCAGACGTGATGGAAAACGGAATTTACATGGGTCGTAGTCCCAAGTTTCAAAGTGCAGCTGAAGGTCCAGCCATACAGCGACCGCACCTCACCATCCGAGTGTGCCAGGCTGGGTAGCTGAGCGGGGCCCAGAGGGTGACTGTCCTGAGCAGCCTTGCTGCCCCACAGCACTCTCGGGTCCTCTCCTCACTGCAGCCCCAGCCACCTGGCTTTCTAATAGCCAGGGGGCCCTGGTGACTTTCTGCCAAGATGTTACCCCAGGATACATCTGAGGTGCTGGGGTTTGGGGCCCCTCAATCTCTCCTTTTAAATAAGTGGCTCCTATGGCTCCCCAGGGAACCCCTGAAGCCAGCAGGATACTTAACAGTCTCTTTGTCAGGGCACAGTGGCTCACGCCTGTAATTCCAGCAGTTTGGGAGGCTGAGGTGAACATCTGAGGTCAGGAGTTCGAGACCAGCCTGACTAACATGGAGAAACCCCATCTCTACTAGAAATACAAAAGTTAGCCAGGTGTAATGGCAGGTGCCTGTAATCCCAGCTACTTGGGAGGCTGAGGTAAGACAATTGCTTCAACCCGGGAGGCAGAGGTTGCAGTGAGCCGAGATCGTGCCACTGTCTCCAGCCTGGGAGACAGAGTGAGTCTCCACCTGGAAACAAAACCAAACAGTCTCCTCCCCAGGATCTGGACAGCAGAAGGAATAAAAAAGCAAGTAAACCCAGCGATTATGGGGAAATCGTGCAAAATCCCAGCAGAAACACACAGTCAGCCTGACTGGGAGAGGCTGTCTCCTGGCCCGTCTGCCTCTCGGCTCAGCCACTGGGCCCACAAACAGGGTCCCAGCTCTGTGATGATGCCTGGAGCCAGAAAGGTTGCCAAGTCTTAGAGATGGAGACAAGAAACGGTGACTGTCTCCTGCAGAGGCCCCAGTGAAGCCGGGCAACCCTGGGCTCCCCAGTGCCGTCTCCCCAGGATTCCCTTGGATGTTCCCTCTTACCCTGTCATTGCCCCACTTCTGGGTGGGCAGAAACCTGATGACCCTGTAACTAGGAGAACTGAGGGTGGGAGGAGGTCAAGTCAGGAAGGAGTAGCAGACAGGAAACGTTGCTTTGAATTCCGTTTCCCTTATCCTCACAGCACTTGTGATGGTCTATTTTTCCAGTCCTACTGGGTGTGAGCGTCTCACTGTGGTTGCAATTTGTGCTTCCCTGGCGGATAAGGGTGTTGAGCATCTTTGCATATGTTCATTGGCCATTTATGTATCGCCTTTGGAAAAATAGCTATTCAAATCCCTTGCCCAGGTGGGGCACAGTGGCTCACGCCTTGTAATCTCAGCACTTTGGGAGGCCCAGGTGGGCAGATCGCTTGAGGCTAGGAGTTCGAGACCAGTCTGGCCAATGTGGCAAAACCCCACCTCTAAGAAAAATATGAAAATTACCTGGACATGGTGGCAGGCGCCTGTCATCCCAGCTATCAGGAGGCTGAGGCAGGAGAATCACTCGAACCCGGGAGGCAGAGGTTGCAGTGAGCTGAGATAGTGCCACAGCACTCCAGCCTGGGTGACACCGAAAGACTCTGTCTCGAAAAAAAGAAAAAAAATTAGCCAGGCGTGGTGGCACACAACTGTAGTCCAGCTACTGAGGAGTCTGAGGCAGCAGAATCATTTGAACCTGGGAGGTGGAGGTTGCAGGTTGCAATGAGCTGAGTTCATGCCACTGCACTCCAGCCTGAGCGAAAGTGAGAGACTGTCTCAAAAAAAAAAAAAAAAAAGGCTGGGCACGGTGGCTCACGCCTATAATCCCAACACTTTGGAAGCTGAGTTGAGTGAATCATGAGGTCAGGAGTTCAGGAGTTCAAGACCAGCCTGATCAACATGGTGAAACCTTGTCTCTACTAAAAATACAAAAAAAAAAAAAAAAAAAAAAAAAGGCCGGGCGCAGTGGCTCACGCCTGTAATCCCAGCACTTTGGGAGGCTGAGGCGGGTGGATCACGAGGTCAAGAGATCGAGACCATCCTGGTCAACATAGTGAAACCCCATCTCTACTAAAAATACAAAAAATTAGCTGGGCATGGTGGCGTGTGCCTGTAATCCCAGCTACTCGGGAGGCTGAAGCAGGAGAATTGCCTGAACCCAGGAGGCGGAGGTTGCGGTGAGCCGAGATCGCGCCATTGCACTCCAGCCTGGGTAACAAGAGCGAAACTCCATCTCAAAAAAAAAAAAAAAATTAGCCGGGCATGGTGGCATATGCCTGTAATCCCAGCTACTTGGGAGGCTGAGACAGGAGAATTGATTGAACCCGGGAGGCGGAAGTTACTGTGAGCCGAGATTGTGCCACTGCACTCCGGCGCTTGCCCATATTAAAATTGTATTATGTCTTTTTATTGTTGATGTGCAAAATCCTTAATATGTTCTAGTGTTCTAGATGCTATTCCTGACCAGAAGTCTGACTTGCAAATATTTTCTCCTATTCTATGGGTTGTCTTTCTCTACCCAAAGCCTCAGCGTGGAGGTAGAAACAGAGCCAGAAATCTATTTTAACACATACAGAGTAAGAAAGGATTGAGGGCTGTTGGGAGCGTTTGGCCTTGGGGAAATCCAGAATTAATTTAACTCTTACCTGCAGACTAACCTGTTTATCTGGGGGCTGCTTCCCTTGAATGGATGAACCACGTGGTGTGTGGGGTGCCAGCCCCCAAACACAGGGACCACCATCCCAGGGAGGAGCCCAGCCAGGGGTAATTCTGAAAGCCCGGGTCAGAGCACCCCAGCCATGTGGCTCGGCTGTGTTAAGAGAGCAGCAGAGTGGCCATGAGCCAGCGCCAGGGAGGCTTCTGAGCTCACTGGCTTCTCTGCCTAATTATCCCCAAAAGGAGATGCCTTGAGGGGTGACTAGAAGCTGATGAGTTGTGAGGGGGCTGATTTTACACTCAGCCGGCACCTTGCTGCCAAGGATCTGACTTACGGCTGCCTTGTGGACGCCTGGAGGATGCTGGGCCAGGCTGGTGCCCCTCCAGAGGTGGGTGGGGGCTTATTGGAGGTGCCACCCAGCTGAGGCCTAAAGGGCCCTCCTTTGTCCCACGAGGTCTGTTTCATGTTGCTGAACCCCAGGGGTCCCATGAGATGTTTCTCTTCTTCGCGTTTAAAGAGGAAGTGAGATTCACTCTCTAGACCGCAGGGCCTTCTAGTTCTAGATGCCTGCGCTCCTGGCCACGCCGTGACTTCCCTGCACAGCAGCGTCAGCTCCTTTGCAAGCTGGGTCTGCGCTCGGGCTCCCCGCCACTCCTCCCGCGCTGCTGGGCTGCTGATAGGCTGGGATATCAGGTTCATGGATCGGAATTGGAAAACACCAAGTGCTGGGCACTCGGTCTTCATCTTTATATTTATCTCCCTCCACCCTTCTAGAAATTGATGGCGCCTGCTCTGCCTGTCGGGGGCTAGTGGTGCCCCTTCTCCCCCAAGACAGGGAGGCCCCTTCTGTGCCTGCTGACCTTCCCCAGCCCTGGGACCGCTCCTCGGCCTTCGCCTGCATCTCCCTGCCCCTCCTGCCACAGCTCAAGGAAGCTCTGGGGGCCTCTGGACCAGATGCTCTGGAAGTCAGTGGGGTTGACCCTCGGGGCAGCTGGGCCCCCAGTGTACCCCTCAAAGACAGTCTGAATCACCTCGACCTGCCCCCACTGCTGGTGCTGCCCACGCGGTGGTCCCCAATCCTGGGCCCAGACCAGGACGGGGCTCCAGAAAAACTGCTTGGGGCTGAGCGGATGCCGCGAACCCCAGGCGTCTTTGAGTGCTTCCACTGCCACAAGCCCTACCACACGCCGGCCGGGCTGGCCCGGCACCGGCAGCTGCACTGCCACCTGCAGGCAGGGCGCGTGTTCACCTGCAGGTACTGCGACAAGGAGTACACCAGCCTGGGCGCCCTCAAGATGCACATCCGCACCCACACGCTGCCCTGCGCCTGCACAATCTGCGGCAAGGCCTTCTCCAGGCCCTGGCTGCTGCAGGGCCACGTCCGCACCCACACAGGTAGGACGGGCCAAGGTCTGCAAGGACGGTCTGGGCTGGGGGTAAGGAGGAGGGTGATTTTAGAAACACTAGCACTGGATTCACATTTGGCCTCTGCCTCCTGACTTATCTGCTCCCTGGCCTGCTATACAAAGTCCCACAGACCAGAGGCCAGAAGTCCAAAATCCAGGTGTTAGGAGGGGCTAGTGTGGGAGCCATGCCTGTAATCCCAGCATTCTGGGAGGTTGAGGCGGGAGGATCACTTCAGGCCAGGAGTTCGGGACCAGCCTGGCCAACATAGCAAGACCCCAATCTCTACTAAAAATAGAAACTTAGCTAAGTGTGGTGGCACGTGCTGGTAGTCCCAGCCACTTGGGAGGCTGAGGCAGGAGGATGACAGAAGCCCAGGAGGCTGAGGCTGAGGCTGCAGTGAGCTGTGGTCATGCCACTACACTCCAGCCTGGGCAACAGAGCGAGACCCCAACTCAAAACAAAAAACAAAACACGGCCGGGCACGGTGGCTCAAGCCTGTAATCCCAGCACTTTGGATGGCTGAGGTGGGTGGATCACGAGGTCAAGAGATCGAGACCATCCTGGCCAACATAGTGAAATCCCATCTCTACTAAAAATACAGAATTAGCTGGCATGGTGGTGGACACCTGTAATCCCAGGTACTCGGGAGGCTGAGGCAGGAGAATCGCTTGAACCAGGAGGCGGAGGTTTGTGGTGAGCCGAGATTGCGCCATTGCACTCCAGCCTGGGTAACAACAGTGAAACTCTGTCTCAAAAAAAAAAAAAAGAATAAACACAGAAAGGAAGAATGAGCTCCGGGAATCAGCTCCAGTCTCCACATCAGGCCCAGAGGGCCCCCTTTTCTCTGTGGGCTGAGACGGGGTCTGGCTCTGTTGCTCAGGAAGAATGAGCTCCGGGAATCAGCTCCAGTCTCCACATCAGGCCCAGAGGCCCCCTTTTCTCTGTGGGCTGAGACGGGGTCTGGCTCTGTTGCTCAGGCTGAGTGCAGTGGTTTGATCACAGCTTGCTAGAGCTCTGACTGCCCGGGTTCAAGTGATTCTCCTGCCGCAGCCACCTGGAGTAGTGGACCACAGATGTGCATCACCATGCTCAGCCAATTTTTAAATTATTTGTAGACACAGGGGTCTTGCTGTGTTGCCCAGGCTGGTCTTGAACTCCTGGGCTCAATCTTTCTTCCCACCCTGGCCTCCCAAAGTGCTGGGATTACAGGCGTGAGCCACTGCACCCGACTAGTTCACACTTCTTTTCTTTTGAGATGGAGTCTCGTTTTGTTGCCCAAGCTAGAGGGCAGTGGCACAATCTCAGCTCACTGCAACCTCTGCCTCTGGGGTTCAAGTGATTCTCTGCCTCAGCCTCCTGGGTAGCTGGGATTACAGGTGTCCGCCAACATGCCTGGCTAATTTTTGTATTTTTAGTAGAGACGGGGTTTCCCCATCTTGGCCAGGCTGGTCTTGAACTCCTGACCTTGTGATCTACCTGTCTCAGCCTCCCAAAGTGCTGTGATTATAGGCGTGAGCTGCACCCAGCTCTAGTTAACACTTTTCCTAACTGGAGGTTCCCTAGCCCTTAAGTCATGACTCTCGTGACTAGGACCTTCAGTCACACCTGGGTATAGGCCAGAGGGAAGGCTTTTTCCAGGGCTCTGAAATCCATTATGGTTTTCCCAACCCTTTGATGAGAACACCTCCCAAACACCTGCTTTCCAGGCCAAAGGACCCCAGGCCACATCCAGGTGGAAGCCTGTTGGAGCTTGGTGCCCTCAGCCTGGGAGTGAGAATTGTGGGAGGTCCCGCAGGACCTGGCCAGGAGCATGCCCAGTGTCCCACCAGCAGGAATGCAGGTGCTCTGGGCCCCTCAGGGGCTACAGGCTGTGGTCTTTTAGGACTCTATGGGGCTACAGGACTGAATAGATGATTCCCAGTCACCCTTCCCTTTATATGTGTTGGACCACGGTCCCAACAGGACTTTGTCTAGGTCCCCTGTTGTCCTGATGGGAGGTGGTTCCTAAAAGCTGCCTCCTCAAGAACCATGTCTCCACCCCTGCTCTGGATTCTGCTGGAGGGGGCCACCCCCCTCCACCTGCCTGTCAGTGGCCAGAAACAGCTGCCAGAGGCCCCTAGGACTTCCCCCGTCCTCTCCCAGTGGCCAAGGTCCCCAGGACTTCCACCATCCTCTCCCAGTGGCTGCCAGAGGCCCCTAGGACTTCCCCCATCCTCTCCCAGTGGCCAAGGCCCCTAGGACTTCCCCCGTCCTCTCCCAGTGGCCAAGGCCCCCAGGACTTCCACCATCCTCTCCCAGTGGCTGCCAAAGGCCCCTAGGACTTCCCCCATCCTCTCCCAGTGGCCAAGGCCCCTAGGACTTCCCCCATCCTCTCCCAGTGGTCAAGGCCCCTAGGACTTCCCCCGTCCTCTCCCAGTGGCCAAGGCCCCCAGGAGGGCTCTTGCAGCAACAATGGCAGATCCAGCGCCTGTGGCTGCCTGTGCTCCTGGGAGGGGCTTCAGGCAGTGTGGTCTCACCCAGGTGTGCCACCCCGTCCCCACACAGTTCAGCCTTGGGTGCTCAGGCTGTGAGCATTTGTAGGGAAGGGATGGGATCATCCACTGATGGTCAGGGTGGGCGCTGTAGCCTTCAAGCCCCCTTCCGTGGTGTCACCACCCCGAGGGCCACTCACTGACCCCCTTCTTCCTCCCACAGGGGAGAAGCCTTATGCCTGCTCGCACTGCAGCAGGGCCTTTGCCGACCGTTCCAACCTTCGGGCCCATCTGCAAACGCACTCTGACACCAAGAGGTACCAATGCCGGCGCTGCACCAAGACCTTCTCCCGTATGTCCCTCCTGGCACGGCACGAGGAGTCTGGCTGCTGCCCGGGCCCCTGAGAGGCGCGTGGTTGGCGCAGGTAGGAGGGATGGCCCTCACCCTGAGAGCTGGCGTCCCTCCTGCTGCCAGAGGAGCCTCGAGTCTGGGAGGACAGGGCTCAGCCTCACACCTGGTGCATCTGCCACATCTGTGTCCAATCAGAACCAAAGAAGTCCATCAGGGACCACTGGGGCGGAGAACACTCACCCACGCAGCCCACTCCGCTGAGCCCCACTCAGAGGAGACTCCTCTCCCAGGGAAGACTTTCATCAGAACAAGAGCCCTGGTTCCACCGCATCGTGGTCACGGCTCTGGGTCTGCCTTCCGAGAGTCAGAGCCTGTGGGGGTGGTCACCTGCATGGGTTGGCAGTGCCGCCTGCTGACTCGAGAGGCTGCCTCGTTCCCTGGCAGCAGAAACGAACAGTTCTGACTTGTGGTGAGCACAGCTGTGCGGTCCATCCTCAGAAGGCGCAACTACCTCTCAGCTGGCCCCCACCAGCCTTTGGTGTGGGGTCTGGACAAGCTGTCCTGTGTCACACGCCTACACGCATGTGCACACACGCTCACACATGTACACACACGTGCCCTCCCCACCTCACTAGACTCTCCTGAAGATGGAGCAGGAATGGTGTTCTGGGTGCGTTGGGATGGGGTGGAATGCCCTGGACCTGTGCCTTTGGGATTTGTCCTGCTCAGAGCCTCAGGGCACTCAGCTTCCCAGGCAAGAACAGCTGTCGGGTAATAAAAGGTCTCTGCACACCTGCTTGTTCCATTCTTCAAAGCTTTGAGTACTGCCCAATCCTCTGGTTCTGTGGAGGATGTGGGACTCTGAGAAATTCCTCAAGGTAGCAGGATTCGGGGATTGCCTGGGCCCTTTAGACACTGAGTAGGTGGGAGACTCTGGGTCAGAGCCTGCCACTGTGAAACACTCTTCTGAGAGGTGGGGAAGCTGCCATCTGGAGAGCAGGGGCACTGTTATGGGCAGAAACCACGCAGAGGCGGGAAAGCATCCCATGGCACAGAGGAAAGGCTGAGAGGCTCTATCCTGGGCTAGGAAGAGGGCTCTCTTAGGGCACTAGGTGGAGACCAAAGCTGGGCAGACAGCGGGCGGCTAGGTGCAGGGGCAGCAAGTCCTCCTGGCTGCCTGGTCAGAAGAGAGGACTCGGGGCTCCTGCTGCAGTCCTCAACTGCTACTAGGGTCTGACGTGATCACTGCCATCTTGCGGAGGGTCTGCGCTTCTGTCCACCCATGGTACCTGAGGCAGCTTTACCTACCTACGTGCTGGGCTGAGACACTGCCAAATCCGCAAGGCTACCTACACACAAGACCCCCTCCCTGGAGTTCTGCTCCCATTGTCCAGTGGGGTGATGACATTTCTTTCTTACGCGTGGCCTCTTCTCACCGCTGAGCTGCTAGGCAGCTGCCCACTGGGCTGGTCCTCCTCAGCATGTCTTCACCTCTCCAGCTCAACCCCAGGGGACATCCAGGAAGGAGCAAAGAGGCCCCTCCCAGTCCCTGACACCTTTGCTGATGAGGATGGTGGGAGGGAGGTTTCTGGGACGGGACACTTGTTCCTCGGGAGGGCTGGCCTGCTGTTAGCTCCTCTGCCTCTGGCCCCAGCCAGACTTCTTCATCCTGGCCCTGGGATGGAGCCACATGGAGAGCAGCAAGGGCTCCCCTCGATCCTGAGCCCACTGAGCCTCCTGTCCATCCGTCCATCCATGGGAACATTCAGGAGGACTCACAGGGAGCACTCACTAGGCACCTCGTCACTTGGCTGCTCCATTCCATCCTGGGCCATCCTCACCTGCAGATCAGCCTGGCTAACGCTGACCAGGTGTTGACGGGCCCTCGTACATCCAGAGGAAATCTGACCTAGACTTTGGGCTCCTCTCAGCTCCAGCCGCTACCGGCCTCCATGTGAGCTGGCGGAATGAAGATGCTCTCTGAGAAAGCCTCTGTTGCATTCCTGGATGGGGACCACTGCCTCCCCTACAGGGATTGGCCGTCCCCAGCGGGAAGCACCCACTCTGCTCCCGTAACAAAGGACCCCAACCTGAGTGGCTGAAACAGCAGTGTCTCATCCTCCCCCAGTTCTAGAGGCTGGATGCCCCAGGTCCAAGTGCTAGCAGGCCTGGTTCCTTTGGGGGGGCGGGGCTGCTCCAGGCTTTCTGAAGGCTTTGGGAGTCGCTAGTGAGCCTTGGCTTCTGGTGGCGTCTCCCTGTGTGTGTCTTTCTGTGTCCCCTCTTACGAGGGTGCAGTCACACTGCCCTGCTCCTGTAAGCCCCCATCTCAACTCATCCCACCTGCAAAGACTCTATTTCCAGGTCTGGTCAGGCTTGGAGGTCCTGAGAATTAGAACTTCAACATAGGAAGTGGGGGTCACCCCTCAATCTCCACGGGGGGAACACAGGGCTTTGCCAAGAGCTGCCTTGAGGGTACCTGCATTCAGTGCTGAGGAGAGGGGCTCCTCACCCTCCTTTTTCCCTCAGTCTACAAACAATCATGAGGGCCAGGGGCTGGGGTTCACACCTGTAATCCCAGCACTGTGGGAGGCCAAGGCAGGCAGATCACTTGAGCCCAGGAGTTTGAGACCAGCCGGGGCAACATGGCAAAACTCTGTCTCTAACAACACAACAAAATTAGCTGAGTCTGGTGGCACAAGCCTGTAGTCTGAGCTAATCAGGAGGCTGATGCAGGAGGTGGAGGTTGCTGTGAGCCAAGATCATACCACTGCACTCCAGCCTGGCCACAGACCGAGACCCAGTGCAAAACACACACACACACACACACACACACACACACACAAATACAAAGGATCATGGGGGACGGTGGTTCTTAACCAATGGGATTTACTAAAACCATCTCCTTCAAATGCTGCATCCAAGTCACCTTCCCCAACGGCCGCAAATTGCTCCCTGACCCAACCTCCTCTCCCTCATCCCCATCATGGCAAAGGCAGGGGACAGGCCAACGCCCAGGTCTTGAGGAGGAGTGAAGCTAGGAGCCTGTCCTCCAGGGCCCCCTCCCTCCCTCCCATCTCCTGGAGCTCTGGCCTCCTCTGCTTCAGGGTCAGGCTGCCAGCTCTGAGGGGCTCCACCAGCCGGGAAAAAGGCAAGAGCACCAGCCAAGGTTTGTGCTGTCTCAGCATCTCACAGGAGGGCTTTTTTTTTTAAGTAGCATCCAGATGCCTAAAGGAAGCTATATTGTAAATTGTGTTCTATTTCTGGGCCCCAATATCTAAATGAGGCTGTTGCACCTGTTGGGAATGAAGGACAGGAATTTCACAAGCCGAAAATAAAGCCGAATGTTTTCCCTTCTGTATCAGCCCATGGAAAATGCTCTTATATTTATATCTGGGCAGGCAGGGGCTGGGAGGGAGAGGATGGGTTGGCAGAGAGAGGGGCAGGGGAAAGGCAGGATACATGCCGGGGGGCTGGGGTGTAATGAATGGAGGAGCCACTCCACTTAGGTCTGGCCCAAGTCAGAAGCAGTGCGGCGGCCAGCCCCACCCCGGACACCCCTGGCCACTGCCCACTAGCCCCGCCCTGCCCTGCTTCCCACCTGGCCTCTCCTTGTTCTGCCTCACCATCCTCAGGTTAACCTGTGGCGGTCACTTAAAATCCGGGCTTCTGGGGCCCTCTCCAACACCTGCAGCTTGACTACCAGGAAGTGTCTCAGCTTTGCTCACAGTTGCCAGGGGCTTGAGGCCTGGCCAGCTGTTCCTCCCTGGCCAGCTTTTCCTCCCTACTAAAGAAAAGTAGGGCCCAGGCCTACTCTTCCCACCCTAACCTTCACTGGGCACATTTCCACTCTCCTCCCTAGGGAAGGCCTTCCCAGCAAACGCGTCCAGGTACACTGTCAGTCTTTCTCCCGGGTGGGAGGCGGGGCAAGGACAGGAGGCTGCAGGACCTGAGCACTGGAAGTAGGTGTTTCGTTATGACCCAGTGACGTCTGGCTGACTGGAAGCCCAGGACATGTCTGAGGGTCTTGGACAGGAATAAGAGGGTGTCCGAAGCTCTGAAGGGCAGGGGCTGCACCCTCCTCACAGCAGGAAGTCCCCCGATGACACCTTCCCTGATAGCACATGGCAGGCTTCAGACAGGACCCACACCAGGGTGTGCGGGAAGGAAAGTCAGTGGGGCACCTCGTGCCTCACGTGGTTCTCTGACTCATAATGGAAATGCAAAGAGGACGCCTGGCCTCCTTAAAACAGGTGTTGAGGGACAGCGGGCCTCTGGGTGACCAGGTCCCTCACCCCACTCGCTGTTGAAAGAAGCTTCTCTCCTGAACGCCAAAAGGCACTAAGGTTATTGCGTTTGTGTCCAAGAGCCCAGAGCTTTCTATAAATACCATTTTGGCCCAGAATAATCGGGGAGATTCTCTAAGTGTTTGAAAATAGCCTGCTTGTTACTATGTATATTCAGAGGACCCACTCCTGGCCTCCCCTCGCGTGGCTAAGTATAGCTCCCTGGCAGAGTTCAATGGAACAAAAGCTTCCAGGCCTGTGCTACCTCGTGGAGAGCGGAACATTCCCGGAGGAGCACCTCAGCTGCCCAGACTCAGAGGAGCTCAGAGAAAGGCTAGCACTGACCTGGTCACCGTCCATCTCCCATTCTTGAGCTGGATAAATATGTGGACTTCTCAGCAAACCAGAGGCATTCTTGCCAGATCCGGGAGCAAGGTGCTCTGGGGCCAGTTTTGTCCTTTTTGCGGGGTTGTTAGTTACAAAGCCTTGGTTTCTTCATCTACAAAAGAGGGATTGTATGAGCTTCTTTATTTATTTATTTTTTTTGAGACAGTCTCACTTCGTCGCCAGGCACCAGGCTGGAGTGCAATGGCGCGATCTCGGCTCACTGCAATCTCCGCCTCCTGGCTTCAAGCAATTCTCCTGCCTCAGCCTCCCGAGTAGCTGGGACTAAAGGTGTGCACCACCGTGCCCAGCTAATTTTTGTATTTTTAGTAGAGATGGGGTTTCACCTTGTTGGCCAGGATGTTCTTGATCTCTTGACCTTGTGATCCGCCCGCCTTGGCCTCCCAAAGTGCTGGGATTACAGGCGTGAGCCACCGCACCCGGCCTAGGATTGTGTGAACTTCTGTATCTTCATCTACAAAAAAGGGATTGTGCAAACTTCTATGTCAGAACTAAAGAGAACACCAGGTAAACAACAGAAGAACCAAAGACCGGCTGGGCGCAGTGGCGGCTCATACCTGCAATCCCAGCACTTTGGGAGGCTGAGGTGGGTAGATCACCTAAGGCCAACTTGAGGCCAACCTAGCCAACATAGTGAAACTCTGTCTCTACTAAAAATACAAAAATTAGCCAGGCGTGGTGGAGCACATCTGCAATCCCAGCTACTCAGGAGGCTGAGCAGACAATCGCTTGAACCAAGGAGGCGGAGGTTGCCGTGAACTGAGAATGCCCCACTGCACTCCAACCTGCATGACAGAGCGAGACCCTGCTCCCTCCCACCCAAAAGAAAAGAAAAACCAAAGACCTTTAGGACACCTAAAATAAACTGCCAACTTAAGGAATACCCTCAGCTTCGACTCCTCTTAGAATCAGCGGTGAATCTCCTCGAAGCCACCCATGGCCTGGCCCACGGCACTGCCTGAGAGCTGCCTGGTACCTGTCCTGGGTTTGGGTAGAGCTGCATCATGCAAATGGGCAAAGGCAGCAGTTTCAGACCTGGGGCCCAGCCTAACAGGGTAGATAGACGCTTCCCATCTTGCCCAGGGTCAGGTGCCATCTCTGGGAATCCCAAGGAAATGCAGGGGCCACGTTCCCATAGGACGCCAATCAGCCCTGTTGCCCCCAGCTCCTTCCCAGAAACCCCCACCTCAGAGCCAAATCTGGGATCTTAAGGTGGGCCCCTTCTCTTCCACAGCTCCCCTGCTTCTCCCTCCTCCCCCCACTTCTGTGCTTGTTCTCTGTATGAGGGTAAGCCTGGGAGGCATCTGTAGGAAGATGGATTACTGCAGTATTGCTTATTAGCCCCAGATACCAGCCCCCTTTCCCTCCCCCTGTGAACAGGCACGGGGAGGCCCCGGAAACTTCCGAAATGAAGCTGAGAAGTGAGAGAAGGTGGGCAGTGAGATCACACAGCTCTTCTCATCCACACAAGGCCCCTGTGAAACTCAACTGTTTTACACTGGCCAAAAGAGGGGCTGGATAGAGACAGAGCCCAGCCAGCAGGGCCAGGTCCTGTGACCGTCCTGTCCACCGAGGATATCTGCAGTGCAGTGGACATGTGGACATGGTGTGCCCCCATTCCCCCACTCCAGCTGGGCTCTGCTCAGCACATCGCAGAATATGCCGCTCTCACAGGGGGTCTGCAGGCGCTTTGAGACCCAATAAATGGCTTCTGCTGGGCAGAGCTGCTCTGCTGTTTGTTGCACGCACCAAGGGTGCAAAAGCAGCTGGGGCCACACGACTACTGGCACATGCCCACCACACGGCGCAGGAAACAATCACAGTTCTGTGATGGCTCTCACATTCATGGCTCAGCCCAGGGTCCACACTGCTCATGTGTAGGGACCCAACGGTGGGGCACGCAGCTCCTGCACATGCCAAGGTCCACTCTCTGCAGGGCACAGTCCCACACAGAGGAAAGATGGGCAGAACTTTAAGTACACAGACCTGGGTCGTGGCAGGAATGAGGTGAGCCCGCCACTCCAAGGGGAACAATGGAAAGAACTTCCTGACAATGGTAAAACTTAGTCTAATGGAAAGTAAAATGTGGAAACTTTCATCTTCCACTAAAAGCCTGACAGCTTCCCACATTTACCTTCCAAGGAGAAAGTGATTTCCTAATACTGTAAAGTGAAGCGGGTCAACATTTGGGAGCCCTGAGTAAAGCAGGACACCAAAACCAGGGCAGTCCAAATGACCGACGTTAGGAACTCCTGCCTGGGTCAAAGGCCAGTGAGACAGATCAGTGGATTCTGTGAATACCAGGAGAAAACGTACTGATGGGTGGACCTCAGATTCCACCTTGCAGCTCACCTTGAAGAAAGACTGGTGGAGTTTTGGTCCAGCACGGAAGAACAGCCACACTGATCCCGAGAGGCCACAAAAGCATGCTCCCCTGTAGGTCTGGAGAGGACAGATTCTCTCCAAATGCTTCAACCAAACCACCTAAGGCAGAGGTACCCAGGAGGGCCCGGCTATCCACACCCGCCACGCCAGATGTGAAAAACCATCTGAAAACCAAACTTTTTTGGTTTTGCTTTTTCTGAGACAGGGTCTTTGTCGCCCAGGATGGAGTGCAGTGGCACAATCTTGGCTCACTGCAGCCTCGACCTTCCAGGCTCAAGGGATCCTCCCGCAGCCTCCCACATAGCTGGGACTAGAGGTGCAGGCCACCAGGCCCAGCTAATAGTGTGTACTTTTTGTAGATACTGGGTCTCATTTTGTTGCCCACGCTGGTCTCAAACTTCCGAGCTCAAGGATTCTGCTGACCTCGGCCTCCCAAAAGTGCAGGGATTACAGGTATGAGCTACACCATGTCCCTGGTCTAGTTTCATTTCTTTTTTCTTTTCTTTCTCTTTGAGACAGGATCGTGCTCTGTTGCCCAGGCTGCAATGCAGTGATACGATCATGGCTCACTGAAGACTCAACCTCCTGGGCTCAAGCGATCCTCCTACCTCAGCCTCATGAGTAGCTGGGTATGTGCCACATGCCTGGCTAATTTCATATTTTTTGTAGAGACAGGTTCTCGCTGTATTGTACAGGCTGGTCTCAAACTCCTGAGTTCAAGCAATCCTCCGGCCTGGGCCTCCCCACGTGCTGGGATCACAGATGTGTGCCCTGTCCCCGGCTGATCCTAATTTCTAGTGAGGGTAAATACAGATTTGTCCCCCTACTCCAGAAAGGGATGTGCTTATTCTTTGGCAACAAATTTCACCCGATTATCAGTCCTGGGAGGCTTGGGCAAGCTGGCCTTTCCGTCCACCCTGGGAGACTTGGGCAAGCTGGCCTCTCCGTCCACCCTGGGAGGCTTGGGCAAGCTGGCCTCTCCGTCCACCCTGGGAGACTTGGGCAAGCTTGCCTCTCTGTCCACCCAGGCAGAGTGAATCAAGCCCCAAATATTCCCACCCAGAATCACCACAGTGTGGGAAACCAAGGTGGAAAACGGGTGAGCTGGGTGCCGTGTCCCTGAAGGGAAATTCTGCGGTGAGTGGCTCGAGCACAGAGACGGCAAGGCCATCTGAGCCACCAGCCCAGCTGGCCAGGTTTCCAGCCACGTCCATACAGTAAGTGATGGTGCGTTTGCAGCTCTTTTTTGGAAAACTGGAAGCTACAGAAGAAGCCGTATTTACTCAATGATTTAACCGAATGCACATTCTGTTATTTCTGAAAGGTGACCACACTCACCCAAGAGCTTCTCTGGGGATCAATAATACTACGGCAAGGCCGGGTGTGGTGGCTCACACCTGTAATCGCAGCACTCTGGGAGGCCGAGGTGGGTGGAGTTCCAAACCAGCCTGGCCAACGAGGTGAAACCCCATCCCTACTAAAAATACAAAAATTAGCCAGGAGAGGTGGCACATGCCTGTAATCCCAGCTGCTCAGGAGACCAAGGCAGGAGAATTGCTTGAACCCAGGAGGCGGAGGTTGCAGTGAGCCAAGATTGCGCCACTGTACTCTAGCCAGGGTGAGTTGACAAAGCAAGACTTAATCTCAAAAGAAATAGTAGTAATAATAACACTCACTGCAGATAAACATGTGTGCGTCCCTTCAAAGGGCTCTGTCAGCTACAAGAAACCATCCTTATCCCCACAGGTGAGGAAACAGGCACAGAAAAGTTAAGTAGCTTGCCTGAAGTCCCAGAGTGAATCAGTGGCAGAGCTGCTCTTTAAACTCAGGCAATTTAGACATAAAGTCTGTAATTTTTTTGCAGACGGAGTCTCACTCTGTCGCCAGGCTTGGGGTGCAGTGGTGCATTCTCAGCTCACTGCAACCTCTGCCTCCCGAGTTCAAGCAGGTCTCCTGCCTCAGTCTCCCAAGTAGCAGGGACTACAGACATGCACCATCACGTGTGGCTAATTTTCATATTTTTAATGAGACGGAGTTTTGCCATGTTGGCCAGGCTGGTCTCGAACTCCTGACCTCCAGTGATCCATCCACCTTGGCCTCTCAAAGTGCTGAGATTAGAACCATGGGTCACTATACCCAGCCAATGTATAATTTCTGTCTCTAATTTATATTGTCATTCGGTAAGAAATTCTGAGATTTCCTTTTACTTTTTTTGGACAAACTCTCTGTTGCCCAGGCTGGAATATGGTGGCATGATCACCACCACTTGGCTCATTACAATCTCTACCTCTGGGTTCAAGCGATTCTCCTGCCCCAGCCTCTCAAGTACCTAGGACTACAGGTGCATGCCACCACACCCAGCTAATTTTTTTTATTTTTAAATAGACACAGGGTTTCACCATATTGACCAGGCTGGTCTCAAACTCCTAACCTCAGGTGATCTGCCCGCTTCAGCCTCCCAAAGTGCTGGGATTATGTGAGCCACTGCAACCAGTTGTATTTTTTTGAGACAGAGTCACTCTTGTCAGCCCAGGCTGGAGTACAGAGGAGCAATCGCAGCTCACTGCAACCTCTGCCCCCCAGGTTCAAGCCATTCTCCTGCCTCAGCCTCCTGAGCAGCTGGGACTACAGGTACCTGTCATGACTGGCTAATTTTCATAGATTTAGTCGACACAGGGTTTCATCACGTTGGCCGGGCTGGTCCCAAACTCCTGACCTCAAGCGATTCGCCTACCTCGGCTTCCCAAAGTGCTAGGATTACAGGCGTTGAGCCTCCAAGCCCGGCCTCCTTTCACTGTGAAGTCAGAGTGGGGCATCGCATCAGGCCAGCAAACATGGTGCTGTTTTTCATTCTGGGGCCAGCGTGTAGGGTGAGATGGTGGGAGGATCTGCAGTGCAGGAAGACAGTGGATCGAGAGCTGGACTCAAGCAGCCCTGTGGGAAAGCCAAGTCTCTCTACTGACTACTGTTTAGAAGGAAAGAGAAGGCTGGGCGTGGCGTGCATGCCTGTAATCCCAACACTTCGGGAGGTGGAGGTGGGAGGATCCCTTGAGCCCAGGACTTCAAGACAAGCCCGGGTAACACAGTGAGACCCTGTTTCTACAAAAAACAGAAAATTAAAATTAGCTGGGTGTGGTGGCTAAGGCTGCAATCCCAGCACCTCACGTCTCTTTTTTCCCCTCTTTGTTGTGTCCTGGAATCCCGGCACTTTACAGACCAAGGCAGAAGGACTGCCTGAGCCCAGGAAGTCAAGTTTGCAATGAGCCGTGATCTTGACACTGCACTCCAGTCTGGGCCAGAGTGAGACCCTGTCTCAAGATAAATACATGAAAAATAAAAAGTATCTAATATAGGAATAGAAGAGCAAATACTGTTATCCTCTCACTTACAAGTGGGAGCTAATAATCGATAAGAACCAATGAACACAAAGAAGGAAACACCGGACACGGGGGTCCACTGGAGGGTGGAGGGTGGGAGGAGGGAGAGGAGCAGAAAGGTAACCACTGGGTACTGGGCTCAGTCCCTGGGTGATAAAATAACTTATACAACAAACCCCCGTGACATGTGTTTACTTATGTAGCAAACCTTCAAATATACCCCCAAACCTAAAAGTTAAAAAAAAAAAAAAAGGATTGAACTGTAAACCCCTCTGGAAGAAACATTTCCTTGTCAACTTAAATTTTTATTTCTAAAATGCCCATACTCCCCGAGTCCTCGCTTCTTTCTACCTCTCCAATTGCCTGGCTTGATGGTGTTTCACATTTGCTGATTGCTTCCAGAAAAAACATTCCCACTGAAGACCTCCCAAATGCAAGCGGGATGGAGCAAGCTAGACACATGCCTTCCTTCCCCGTCCCTTTCTTTTCAATGTCCCAGATGCCCCGGCTTGGGCAAAGGACAGGAAATGCCAGGCAGCAGAAAGCCCGGGAATCAGCCACAGGAGGCCGTGCAGGCTGCACTCGGGGGCCCTCTGCTGGCCCGTCCGGGCCAATCCCCCAGGGCTGCAGGTCCAGAGCCGGCCAGGACACTCAGCCTTGACCGGGGTTCCCCTCCTTGCCCTAACGTGAGTCGGGGCCCACCCACGGGTTCCAGCTGCCTGGGCTCCCACTCATCTCCCAGACCCTCTCTCGTCATGAATCTGGACCATACACAACCTCTCCATACCATACTTAGCGAGCACCCACGCCTGTGGCTGGAGTCCAGTGGTGTCATCACGGCTCACTCCAGCTTTGAACTCCTGGGTTCAAGTGATCATCCTGCTTTAGCCTCTTTAGCAGCTGGGGCTACCAGTGTGCGCCACCATGGCCAGCTCATTTTTTAAAACATTTTTTTGTAGAGATGGTAGGGTCTCACTATGTTGCCCAAGCTGGTCTTGAACTCCTGGCCTCAAGCAATCCTCAATCCTCCCAAATCCCAAAGTGCTGCTGGGATTACAGGCCTGAACCTCTGTGCCTGGCCTATCTTGGACAAACAGGTAAGCTGAGGGTTCAGGAGAGCCTGGGCTAAAGGCGTCAGTGTGGGGACCTGAGTGTGACATCTTTCAGGGAAGTCGTTCAGCCTCGGTTCTCCACTAAATAAGGGAGTCTGCCTACAAGCACACTGGCGGCACCTGCTGCCAGATGGCTCAACTCTGAGTATGGCTTAGAAAACTGCAACAATGAAAACAAATGATGATTTAGCCACCAGGAGGAAGAGGACAACAAGGTATGTGATTGGGAGATGGAAGAGAATTTCTTATTTCTATTTACTAATAATCAATAGTTGTTATCTAAAACGTTAAAAATAGGCTAGGCATGGTGGCTCACACCTATAATCCCAGCGGGTTGGGAGGCAGGCAGATCACTTGAGGCCAGGAGTTTAAGACCAGCCTGGCTGATAAGGTGAAACCCCGTCTCTGCTAAAAATACCAAAAATTAGCTGGGCATGGTGGCACGTGCCTGTAATCCCAGCTACTCGGGAGGCTGAGGCAGGAGAATTGCCTGAACCCAGGAGGCGGAGGTTGCGGTGAGCCGAGATTGCGCCATTGCACTCCAGCCTGGGCAACAAGAGCGAAACTCCGTCTCGAAAAAAAAAAAAAAAAAAAAAGAGATCAAAACCATCCTGGCCAATATGGTGAAACCCTGATTCTACTCAAAATACAAAAATTAGCCTGGCATGGTGACAGATGCCTGTAGTCTCAGCTACCCAGGAGGCTGAGGCAGGAGAATCGCTTGAACCTGGGAGGTAGAGGTTGCAGTGAGCTAAGATCCTGCCACTGCACTCCAGCCTGGTGACAGGAGATTATCATCTCAAAAAAAAAAAAAAAAAAAAAAAAAAAAAAAAGAGGCTGTAATCCCAGCACTTTGAGAGGCTGAGGCAGGTGGATCACCTGAGGTTGGGAGTTCAAGATCAGCCTGATCAACATGGAGAAACCTCGTCTCTTAAAAAAAAAAAGAGCACCCTGGGCAATACAGTAAGACCTCCATGTTTACAAAATAAAAAATAGCCAGGAGTGGTGGCATGCATCTGTATCACAGCCACTCAGGAGGCTAAAGTGGGAGGATCACCTGAGTCCAGGAGGTTGAGGCTGCTGTGGGCTGAGGGTGCCACTGTACTCCAGCCTGGACAACAGAGTGAGACCCTGCATTTTTGTTTTTTCTACTGGACTTAAGCAATCTGCCCTCCTTGGCCTCCCAAAGTGCCAGGACTGTGTCTTCTTTTTCATCACGGCCGCGACAGAATATAAATGCAGGTGACCGGAAGCCCCCCTCTCTCTGTGTAGCTGAGTGAATACATCCTGTCCACATCAGCTCTTTAACAGGAAGTGGTGGCTTTGCATAAAACAGAAAAGTGACTGTAACTGCAAGATAAGTTAAAAATAACTGGCCAGGCGCGGTGGCTCACACCTGTAATCCCAGCACTTTGGGAGGCCGAGGCAGGTGGATCATGACGTCAGGATTTCGAGACCAGGCTGACCAACATGGTAAAACCCCGTCTCTACTAAAAATACAAAAACTAGCCAGGTGTGGCGATGTGTGGCTATAGTCCCAGCTACTGAGGAGGCTGAGGCAGAATTTCTTGAACCCAGGAGGCGGAGGCCGCAGTGAGCCGGGATCATGCCACCTCACTCCAGACTGGGTGACAGTGGCTCTAACTCAAAAAATAAAAATAACCACCATCTGCAACACAAATTTAAAATAGTGAGACAACGTGTCGCACTCTGACAGGTGACCCACTGTACTGATGAAGACGTGCAGGCACTCTGAGACTTCGGCAGAGACCTGAGCAATTGACTGACTTCCACAAAGGGCGACTTGGCCTCGCAATTCCACTTCCAGAAATTTCTCCTGCAGAAATACATGTGCACGCACAACTGCGTGGAAGGGCACTCTTTACAGTAACAATCCAACGTCCGTCAGCCCCGACCAGGAATATTTAGACCACAAGCAAGCAAGCGTTTGCTGAATCAGGGTATCTGTAGGACACGCAGGGTGGGAGGACACGCTGCGTGCCTGTACTGTGCCTGTCAATGAAAAACTACACACAGACCTCACAGGCCAGGTGGAACAGCTCATACCTAATCCCAGTACTCTGGAAGACTGAGATTAGAGGGTCCCCTGAGGCCAGGAGTTCAAACCAGCCTGGGCAACATAGCAAGACACCCCCACCTCTACAAGAAATGAAGAAAAAAATCAGCTGGGTGTGGTGGAGCGCACCTGCAATCCCAGCTACTCAGGAGGCCGGGGAGGATCCCTTGAGCCAGGTCAAGGCTGCAGTGAGCTTTGATAGCACCACTGTCCTGCAGCCTGGGCGACAGGGCGAGATCCTATTTCCAGCAAGAAATCAATTTATAAGTAGGATGGTTCCGGTAACAACCAGGTAGCCGGGCAGAGCGGACACCTCACAATGCACGCTGCTGTTTTCTGAAACCTGAGCTTTTAGTTTAAAAACTGAAAGCAAAATTTTAAAAGGAGACAGGGAAAATGGGAAGTTACTGTTTAGAGAGGACAGTTTCTGTTTGGGGTGATGGGACAATTCTGGAAACAGCGGGGACGTTGCAACATGAATGCTGACTGGCGGGCTGCGCGCTGAAACGTGGCATTATGCTTCCCTAGAGAAGTGAACGCTCACACCAGCACGCTGTGAGCCATGGCTGGCTTGCCCGTGCGGGGCCACCTTAGCGCGGGCTGCAGGCTTCCCAACCCCGGGGTCTTCTGTGCGAGCACCGTGGGGGGACCCTGGCCCGGGAGACGGCTGTGGGCTGCGGGACACGGCGGATCCTGACACTTCCTCCAGGGCCTGACCACCGGCCTGTGCGCGCCGCCTACCCAGCAGGGCCGTCCTAAAGCTTCATGGATCTCAGAGACCCGCCTTCCCTCAGCCCCGCACAGAGCCTCGCCCGGACCTCACCATGGGCCTCAAGCCCGCCCCCCGCACCCCCCCACCCGCAGTGGCGGCTCATGGACCCACACAGCCCCCCTCACAGAGCCTCACGCGACCCCCCCGCACACACACAGCCTCACACGGGCCCCCCCGCACACACACAGCCTCACACGGGCCCCCCCGCACACACACAGCCTCACACGGCCCCCCCGCACACACACACACACACACAGCCTCACACGGCCCCCCCGCACACACACACACACACAGCCTCACACGGGCCCCCCCGCACACACACAGCCTCACACGGCCCCCCCGCACACACACACACACACACAGCCTCACACGGCCCCCCCCCGCACACACACAGCCTCACACGCCCACCCCCGCACACACACAGCCTCACACGCCCACCCCCGCACACACACAGCCTCACACGCCCACCCCCGCACACACACACACAGCCTCACACGCCCACCCCCGCACACACACACACAGCCTCACACGGGCCCCCCCGCACACACACACACACAGCCTCACACGCTCACCCCCGCACACACACACACAGCCTCACACGCCCACCCCCGCACACACACAGCCTCACACGGGCCCCCCCGCACACACACACACACAGCCTCACACGCCCACCCCCGCGCACACACACACACAGCCTCACACGCCCACCCCCGCACACACACACACACAGCCTCACACGGGCCCCCGCACACACACACACACAGCCTCACACAGGCCCCCGCGCACACACACACACACACACACAGCCTCACACGGCCCCCGCGCACACACACACAGCCTCACACGGCCCCCCCGCACACACACACAGCCTCACACGGCCCCCCGCACACACACACAGCCTCACACGGCGCCCCCCACACACACACAGCCTCACACGGCCCCCCGCACACACACACGCAGCCTCATACGGCCGCCCCCCGCACACACACACGGCCTCACACGGGCCCCCCGCACACACACTCACATGGGCCCCCGCACACACACAGCCTCACACGGCCCCCCGCGCACACACACACGGCCTCACACGGCCCCCCCGCGCACACACACACGGCCTCACACGGCCCCCCCGCGCACACACACACGGCCTCACACGGCCCCCCCGCGCACACACACACGGCCTCACACGGCCCCCCCCGCGCACACACACACGGCCTCACACGGGCCCCCGCACACACACAGCCTCACACGGCCCCCCCGCGCACACACACACAGCCTCACACGGCTCCCCCGCACACACACACACAGCCTCATATGGCCCCCCGCACACACACAGCCTCACACGGCCCCCCGCGCGCACGCACACACACACACAGCCTCACACGGGCCCCCCGCACACACACACAGCCTCATACGGCCCCCCGCACACACACACACACACACAGCCTCACACGGCACCCCGCACACACACACACACAGCCTCATACGGCCCCCCGCGCACACACACACACAGCCTCACACGGCCCCCCCACACAGCCTCACACGGCGCCCCCAACACACACACACACAGCCTCACACGGCGCCCCCGCACACACACACACACACACACACACAGCCTCATACGGCCCCCCGCACACACACACACACAGCCTCATACGGCCCCCCGCGACACACACACACAGCCTCACACGGCGCCCCCCAACACACACACAGCCTCACACGGCGCCCCCGCGCACACACACACACACAGCCTCATACGGCCCCCCGCACACACACACAGCCTCATACGGCCCCCCGCGCGCACACACACACACACAGCCTCACACGGCCCCCCCACACACACAGCCTCACACGGCGCCCCCCACACACACAGCCTCACACGGCGCCCCCACACACACAGCCTCACACGGCCCCCCCGCACACACACACACAGCCTCACACGGCCCCCCGCACACACACACACAGCCTCACACGGCCCCCCGCACACACACACACAGCCTCACACGGGCCCCCCGCGCACACACACACACAGCCTCATACGGGCCCCCGGCGCACACACACACACAGCCTCATACGGGCCCCCCGCGCACACACACACACAGCCTCATACGGCCCCCCCGCACACACACACACAGCCTCATACGGCCCCCCGCACACACACACACACAGCCTCATACGGCTCCAAGCACACACACACACTCAGCCTCACACGGCCCCCCGCACACACACACACACACACACACAGCCTCATACGGCCCCCCGCACACACAGAGCCTCATACGGTCCCCCGCACACACACACACACACACAAAGCCTCACACGGCCCCCCGCACACACAAAGCCTCACACGGCCCCCCGCACACACACAGCCTCATACGGCCCCCC